GTTTGTCTGCTCACTTGAAGATCAAAATAATGTATTTTCTTCTCCATCGACAAATGCATTTCCTTTCATCTGCACGATTGCCTCAATGATTGAGGATGAGATTGAGGAAATTGGCTATATTGAGAAGGGGAAGTGCAAATGAATTCTCTTGAATGTAACCATATTTCCTTGCATATATCTGATGAGATGAGCTTCTTGTACACTCAATTCGACTCTGCCATCCGCAAAGTACACAAAAGAGACGCTCGAGCTCTGTATATTTATTTTCTCTCACACTTCCTGCTTGAGCTTTTGAGGGAAAAGAACAATGTTTGAATAGGACAATAACTTATTCCACTCGCAGAGCGCGCCTGAGAGCCCACTTCATAAATAGGAGAGTTTAATTATGGAATACGCGGAATTTATGGTCTCGCCCCAAAATTAGCATTGAGTATAGGAAACACTCACTAAATTATTTCCACAATTTACTGTCAGGGCTTTCGGTGTGAGTGGAAAGGTATGTAATATATAAACATTGGAAAGTTTAGTTGACGGAAGGAAGGCGAGAGAACAAAGATTGTGAAGAAATGTGTAGTTTACAGCTCAATATACAAGCACAAAGTACATGTATGGCTTTTGGCAAAAATATTAATTTTAATCTCTACAGATTAGCAGGTATTGTGAGAGTAACTTGTAAACGTGTTCATGGCTATAAGCTGGCTCAGCAGTGCTTTCAGTTTCTAGAATTTTGCTACAACTTTACTACCTCATATGTAGGAGCTTATTGTCCATGTCGTTGGCTAAGTCGTCCGTTATCACATTTGCATTTAAAATATGTATGACTGTTGCACTTTGTTTGCAATTTAAATAACAGAATATAAATATGATAGTGAATAAAAAAAACCCCGACAATCTGAAATGTCAGTTCGTTTTTTTTTTTATTTTTCAATCAGTTTCATTGAATCCAAATGCTGGAAATTGCTGGAGTGGTAAACAATTAAATGAAGTGCTCCTCGACTTGCAAAGATGCATACGCTTCCTCATTGTGAGCGTGTCTTCTTATAACTCTATAATTAAGTTATTATCGATATTATGAGGAAGGAAACTGTCTATTGAAGAGGGAAAAGATTTTTACAGAAACTTCAATGAAATTTCATACTTTACAATATAGAGAAACCTCAATCCCTTTTCCTATCTGACACGAAGAAATCCCGATGCTTTGTGATAAAGAAAAATTTCCAATTCAATTTTACGTTAATCTAAAACAGTGAATGGGCGTTAAATTTGACTCTGTGGTTTTTCTCTGTAGCAAACCAACCCCTCGTTGGGAGCTTTTCACAACAGATAAACACCCATAAACAATGTTGTGGCGAAATAAAATAAGCTTGAATGAGGGATTTCTACTCTTGTGCTAAAATCCCTTGACAAAGCCAAAGATTTCAATCTCTTGAATCAATTTTTGGGCAACTTCAGTGATTTTGCTGAAAAGTTCCTCACCCGAGGCTTATCTTTTTCGGTCCCTTTTGTGAAAATTTCTTTTCACGATGACATGACTTGTAATTAAAAAAAAAATACAACAATGAAGAGAGACATTAAGAAATAAAAATTCTGTTTTGGATTGAGGATCTGCAGTTCTGACATGTGCGACAGTAAATAAGTGTGCATGATGTAAAATAATACTTTATTAGCTCCTTGTAAATTCACGATGAAAATATGGTATTCTAGTGTTTCTCAGCAAACACAATATGACCTATTTTGCAGAGAAATGTGATATGCATATTTCAAACAATTCTCTGCATTTTTCAATTTAAGAGGAAATTGTGGCACGTCTCCTTATGAAGATAAACTATAAATCGTGAGTAGTGAATTACTTAACTAAAGTTATCAATAAATGATTTTAACTCACAAGTGAATTGAATTTAAACTTAGTTCATGCAATAAATTGTCAAAATAAATGTGTAAGTAAGAGTTTGTCAGTGTCATTCGCGTGTATTCCAACATTAACATATTTGACAATGTCCAGCAAATACACTTAAATAATTCAAACACGTTGAGTGTCAATTTTAATCCCATTGTAATGCATTTACTATGTTGTGATTTTCCATTTCGATGACCAACTTTTGATGATAAAGTTTCAGATGAGGACAAACTTTATCATCCCCCAATGACAAAAGTTGACATTGTTTCAAGAATTGTGATTTTCACAAAATCAAACTAAATTTTTGTTCTCTCTGACTCCTGGGAGACACACAGTAAAGCCACCATTCTATGGTGTTTTTTTCCGAAAACACCTGAGCTACCGAATAATCTCAGTGACATTCTTGAAAAACTCTTTATGTAGCTGAAATACAATTAGGGAAAAAATTTATTCTCTAGTACACGTTTATTTGCACATGATATCAACAATGTGCACATGGAGTTCTTGTGTCGTTAGTATAAATTACATGGAGTACAAAAGGCACGAAGATATACTATGTCTGGGGCTCTCAATTTCCCGTGTTTGGTGGCACTCAGTGTGCGTCTCTCTCTTGTGATATTTAAAGCCATTCCGAGGGGAGAGCAATTCATCCCCCGCCTAATCTCCCCAAAGTGAATCCCTGGGTGTAGAGAGGAAGGGTAAAATTGACAGTCTCTCTTCATACATTTCACATCTCTCAGTTTGCATGGCACGCTGAGTATCCACAATTATGTTGTACGGAGATGAAACTTTCAGCTCCTGCTTTATGACACTGCCCTTTGTCATAAATGGAAGTTTTCGGAAAATACACAGCTTAATTCACACAATACCATAATATTTTCCTTTTCATTTCAAAGCCACTGAGCGCCACAAAATAATAGCCACGTTTCAATTGCATAGATTCGTGTAATGATTACCCATGATATTTGCAAATGAGTCTCTTAAACGAGAAGTATGATGACTTTCCCTATTTGAAACTCATGACGAGGACATTGACTGCTAGAAACAATCTCTGGGCAGCGATAAGATACCTTAGAATATGGATATGTTTTCATGGAACTTTGCAGGCATTTGAAACTTCGTCTCTAATAACACATTAATGTGCTGGCTGAGGCCAAGTCTTTAAGGCATAACATCAGAACCAAGAGAGTGTATTTTGTTCTTATTAAGTTAGACGTAATACTGAAGTATCATAAATTCTACTAGTGATTTTCAATAGATATTGAACATTTCCTCCCAAAATTGCCTGACATTACAATCGCGATTTGCAATGTTGACTGTGATAAATTCGCCTTATGTGACACGATATTCGGGCGGAAGATTGCCACTTTCTGTAATATATGTATTTCATATTAAGTTCACAATTTACGGTTTATGTAGAGCATATTAATGCACGCAGGGCCGCAAGCGAGTGGAAAAAAGGCACTAAAAGAGTGTATGACACCGAAATAATTAAACGTTTATGGAAAAGGCGAGTAATTGCGTCACGCAATGAGCAAAGGGGCGTCCCGCCGCCCCTTGAGGCGTCCCTCGCGGAGCTTTTGTGGTGGAGACGCCTGGTATCCGGTTTTAATTAATAATACACCACTGAAATTTATGTAATGAGTGAGACCGGCAGCATAAAACGTCGAAATCACGTAAAGCAGTGTGCGGTTTGTTGGAACATGAAAGTATTCTGTTGTTCATGCTACACCTTTTCAGTCATGAGACGTGCGGTTTTAAAATTCAGCCTTTTCACCAGCACAAAAAGTGTGCATTGATTAATGTGTGGGTGGATTTTCTTTATCACACACAATGAGAAAATTAAATTAAACTGTCCCCTCGGAATATATACATACATATTTGGCGGGAGGGGTGAGAAATAAAAGAAAATAATCCATTTTTCTCTGTCTTTGCCTCAGAAAGGCTCTGCATTAGGGAAATTGGCTCTGGTTTTCTCGAAATATTCGGCGTTGAGAATGAAAAACGACTCCTAATCCTTACCGCGCCTCGGCAGTGAATGCTCATCATCAGGGAGAGAGAAGACAAAAGAAAAGCGAGATATCTAATGATTCGCGGTACAGAGTCTGGGCCCCAGATTACTTTCATACTCCAAAGCTCATTCCTTTGATAAATTCTCGTGGGTTTTGCTTTTATTTCTCGATCTCTCATTTTCTGCCTCGGGCTCAGTGAATCAATAATCTCTTAATTTCTCAACGCGCCTCGTAATTTATTATCCCGCAAATCTCTCACTGAAAGCTGTTTTTGTCGACTACGTGATGGAGATGCTGACTTTATTTTATAATTAAAAAATTAATAAGGTAAAAAGTGTATAAAGAGAACAGGTAGTTTTTATGACACATTTCTATTTTGTTTTATTACACAGATAATCGTGTTCGTGACTGTAATGACATTATAAGTAAAAGCAGTGAAAAATCTCCTTGTTGTGTATAAAATTAAACAATTAGATTAATATGATAATCTATAACAGCTCAATGCTTTAATTTCCCAACATTTTGTCGGCACATATCAAGAATTCGATATAATATGCAAATACTTGGAATATGTATTTCCAGGGGCATCGGCATTTCACATAATCCGCACACGAAATAACATAGAAAACATGCTTATGAAATCGTAACACAGTCAAAGAATAGATAGACATTCCACTTTGCGGGGATTTTCCGAGAGGAGCGTTCAGGAAGAGATCCTCCCAATTGATACAGTGAACATGTGATAAGTAAATTCCTCGTGTGATAGCAGGAAGAAAAGACCAATAATCTCGTTTAATCAATTTCATTTGCTTTACTATTTGAGCAAAAGATAAAAGCGATGAAGCTCTCAAATACTTCCACTCTGTAGAGAAATTCTCTCGCGCTTATTCTGACTCTGCGTTATCTTTCGTATGTGGTGGGGATTTTTGGCTCTCGGAGTGAATCTTCTCTTTGGCTCTCATTTTCCTGAAAAAGAGCCGCCGAGAGAGAATTCACCAGGTGAAATCCACTTGTTAGGAAAAGAGAGCCTTCAGTCTCAACGTGCCGCTCAAGGAATTCATACGCAAAAAGCTCTTCGCGGTGCTTTCACGGGTGAGCTTTCCTTGTCCCACGCCAGGTGAGACACCCAGAAAAGGTGTGTTTGTGTGGTGGTGCGATTTTTTGCGCTGGCATCGTTCTAATCTATCGCTTGAACACGGATATTTTGGGTGCCGCCGAAAATAATGATGTAACAAAGGGTTCTGTTTTCATGTTGACCTCACAGTCTGAACTCCCCAGAGTGTTTAGGCGCCTTTTGAAACTTAGACGCGCTTTCAAAAACTCATTAACGCGAGGGAAGAACTGCACTAATAGTGAGTTCTGGAGATGGTAAAAGTTCGGAAGTTTAGATAAAGTTAGGCTAATGTGAGTTGGCTGAATTTCGAATATTTCATGAGATATGGAAGGAGAGATCCCTTAACAGTCTATTTTTCCCCCTAAAACTTCTTAACCCTGTACAAGTCACAGAGAAAACTGCCTGCGGTCACAAGGAGGAGAGAAACTCATCTTGAATCGAACTTGAAGTCCATCCCCAACACCCCGAAAACTAAGTGAATGGCAGAGCAACTCACAAGTGCAATAAACAGAGTGAAGAAGTGTTGCTGTATGCTCTAATAAGTTATTTATGGAAATTTATTGTGTATTTTTTCGGCAAGATACTCTCCTCGCTTTGTGTACACACGACTGTTTGGATAAGAGCCGAACTCTGTGTAACTTTACAGTGAAATACAGTGGAAAAGAGCGCGCACGTTCCTCATATTTGCACACACACCTCATAACATTTCGTCGTGCGGATTTTGTCCCGTGACCTCAAAGGGAAAATTTCTGCCTGGAAAAGTGCGCTAGAAAATTGTGTACTGGAGTGTCTATTCCATGATAATGAACAGCGTAGGAACTTTCTTTTGCGCACAGGTAAATAAATCGTCAAAAAATTCTCATTAGAGAGAAAATGTGACTTTAATGTCTATATTTTTACCATGGGGGCGAGAGAGAAAGAGATAGATCGTTTTCGAATAACATGACAATTTATTTGCGTGAGTTTTCAAGCAAATATATTATCATGACGAAAATGTTGATTGAAGTTCATCTCTCTTGTAGTGTAGATAAGAACGAAATACATACATACATAATCCGAAAGACAATAGAATTAGTAAAAATTCTATTGGCGCGTTTAAGCATAAAAATCCGATATTATTATGTCTGTCATTATTTTCCGTGCCATATAAATTCAGTTGAATTGATGAAAATTTCATCTGAATTTATCTGAAAATATGACTAATTTGGAAATTATCCGAAATGAATCACTGCAGGAATCCGGTGATTATTTAGAGAAATTTCCTCGCATACCCGTTGCAAAGTGATGTGTGCTTTCAATAGCGCATATGTTTCAAATGTTGGAACAATAACATCAAAATTGGTTAATGAGAGCATTATTGTGAAAATGCTACACATTTGTTGATTTAATTGAGCACTTCTCTCGCACACGATATTATTAATAGAACATACAAATCATCACTTACAGATGATGAAAAAAAAGCATTGATGGAAGTACGAATTGTCTTTCGACGAATTCTTTATCGATATTGAAAGAATTTCCCAAGCAATTGAAATACACTCTAATTTCCGCAATGAAAGAATTGTGCTGAAGGAATTTCTGTGTACCTTTGCTATGCTGTAGCGTATCTCTGTGGGGAATCTGGTCTAAATTAAAATAAATTTCAATATCATAATGTAAATATGAGAGGAGGAATCTCATATTTTTTTAAGCACAGCTCTGGGAGGCAGGAAAGAAAGTTTCCCCAGTGCGGGAAAAGATGGAAATGCTTGGACGATTCCCGAGCGTGGGAGTGGAAGTGAAGAGGCGAGAGGACTCTTGAAATATTCAAGCATTGTGAGTTCTCCTTGAACGTGTTGGAATCCATAAAGTTACAGTAGAACTTGAAGATGATATCGATTATATGATTAGGAGGGAAATTCGGGTTTTCCTCTGTGACATTGAGGAAATTCACTTACACCACTTGACCTGTTGTTCGATTTCAATTTATAATCATGAAAAGCCATTAGTGGTGCAAGCACGGGAATTGTTGCATTTCTATTGTTAAGAGCTAAGTTGGGAATTTGAATAATTTTCACCGTAGATTCTCTAAAAAATACTTGCAAACGAAAAATGTTTAAAATGCGAAAGGTATTTTTTTTCTCAGTGGACACGTTCAGAAATTTCTTTGTGTAGTGCTATATAAGACAATGCCAAAGTTCCATTTTTCAGTTCATTACAGCTTGAGAAGAGAATTGATAGCAACATGTACGGTGCATTCTATCTTTTGTGCATTAGTCTAACTTTTTTAGATGTTGCCGAACCGAAGTCTAATATCAGAAACAAATATTTCGTTGAGGATAAAGAGTTTCCCTACCACGTGTTTTTGAAAGCTCGACAGACAGAATGCGCTCCTGATAAAATCTCCTGTGGTGGCTTCATCGTGAGTTCTCACTGGGTAATGACGGCTGCTCAGTGTATCTACAGAAAGGATGCATCAGACTTGCATATAATTGCTGGATCTAAATATCCTGCGAATGGAACTGTCTACGGAGTGTCTGCTCTGTTTCCTCACCCGAACTACAATCGATGGATTCGAGACAACGATATTGGTCTAATGAAGACCTCAGAGAAAATCGTAGAGACTAATCTTGTTCGTCCGATCACTCTTGGCTACGATTATCTTGTAGGCCACATGAATTGCGTTGCAACTGGGTTGGGTCCTAACTCAGATGTTCTCAAATGGATTGAAGTAGAAACTGTAACTAATGCTCAATGCGAGCTGGCATTACACCAAGACAATCACCCATTTATAACGATAAGGAAGGTGTGCACTAAGGGAAGACATTTAGTAGGACCTGCCCAGCGTGATTCTGGTGGTGCTCTTGTGGTAGCAGATCAGGCCGTTGGAATCATTTCGTGGGGAGATTATTTCGAATGTGGTAAACCTGATGCTTATGAAAGGATTTCTTCGCATAAAACATGGATCACCAATACAATGTCCAGCATGTAAAACTAATATGTAGTGCTTGGATGAAAAGGGGTAATATATAATAACCTTTAACTTTTGAATAAACAATATGGCATTCAAAAATATGTTTTTCATTTACGGAAAAAGTATCGCGTTATAAAAGTGTTTTGTGGATCTAGTATCAATCAATGAAGAACAATTTATCAGCGAAATATATTGAAAATGATTATAATATTAAAGAGAATTTCTAGGAAGCAAAACAATATGCATTCAATTCAATCTTACTTTATTTCTGCAAAGCGTATTTATATACATAATACGGTTACTGAGATGAGATTAAAAAAAAAAACTTCTTCTACTCTAAAACCAATGAACAATACATGAAAGATTGTTTGAAAGTTTTGAATAATACATCTCAACTTTAAAAGTATTTACCTCATTAATGGGTGCTCATGTACATCTTTTCCCCTTCATCTTTAATGCACACCTCAAAGTGGTTGGAAAAACATGGGTAAAAGGGGTAAAATATTTTAATATTTCAGGCAATAATCTGCGTGAATATCATGAACTAATTGTCTGCTTCATTCTTAATGAATATTCTTGAGAAATTAAAATTAATGTAACTTGAGAAAATGTCAAGGGAGCAAGAAGGGTGGTTGAGACACATTTATTACAGTGAAATTTCTCACTCCTAAATTTGTATCTCTGCCATATTTCACAACTGTGTAACGAGGGTTGAATAGTGAAGGTTTGAGAAGTTGCCAGACGTAAATATAGTCGAGATTACGTTCATTTCGTGACTCTGAAGGATGAATAGGAATATTTCTGAGAAGTGAAAAAATAGGTTCCAATTTTGATTCCATCGCGAAATCTAAACAATTAACTTATGCAAATGAATCTCTTGTACAATTCTCAGAAGTTTAGGGAAAACTTTTCATTTCCCTCACTGAAATTTGTTGAATGTCTTCACTTTCTTTCCATGAAAACTTTCTCTCAAGCATTGTTAAGTGGTTGGCTTTGTTACTGTGAAATCCATTGGAATATCCCTACAACATGAGCAAGATAAGGCGCAGAACTAAGATCTCTTTGTTATGCAGAATACGTTCCTTGGGATTTCAGATATATTTTTTAGTGAAAATCCAATTTTTCGTATATATCGTCAAAGCCGAAAATCGCGATTCAATGCGCTGAAATATGATTTTGCATTGAAGTTTTTACTTCGTAATCCAGACTGCAATTTGTGATTGCGCTTTGCCATATATTATATATGGAAAAGCTTTCAAAAGATGTAAAGGATTTCTCGATGAAATACCTTTCGACATTGCAACATAAAATAAATAAAAATCAGAGATAAATCTCAAAAAATACATCTATGCATTTCTATCTACAACGTCTACAATATTGCAAAATTAGTATCTACAGAAATCTCAAATACAGTTTTTGACAATTATTGCACAGTTTAATAAATTCCACAATTCCCAACAATTGAATTAAATACTGAAAAAATTGAGAAAACTTTTTATACATAAAGTGTGGAGTGAAATGTATAAGCGGACTTCCCGTGGTGAACACAATTGGAATTCCATACTTGCTTTCTGTGGCAACTGATAAACAATTGAAGGCTTCAAAACTACTCACCCACACTTGAAAATTCAATTTCGTCGGGAAGGTGTTATTTTTGCACGAGGCTGCAATACAAAGGAGACACTCTTGAGCTTCATACATTTGAAAGAGAGTGAAAAAGTGTGTTAACATTCATTCTTTTGTTCACTCGACTTTCCCCTTGTATACAGACTCTTGGAAGATGAAATTCAACACGAAAAACCCTTGAAAATCTTTCTATACTGAACACTTGACGGAGATTCATCATCTATTCACAAGATATTTTCTAATAAAAAATATAGGGTTCACGGGGAGATATTGAAAATCAAGGTACGGATTTTAAGTGTATGCCCAAGATCAGGTCTAATTTGAGAGCTTGTCAAAAGGTTGGTTTCCAATTTTATCCGTCTTTCCAAGAAAATACAAGATACATTTCTCATTATATTATATGACTGTTGATTTTAATTCAATACAGAAAATATATGTTAATATCACATGACTTAATCGAATAACCAATAAATATCTTAAGTTCTAATTAGGTTTTAGCGCATTTACCTGGAAATATTTCGAAAAATAGTTCTAAATTCATAAAGTTTTTCCAATTCAAACCAAAAAATATCATAATACGGTAGGTATTTTCGAAGCATCAGTTATTGGACAGAACGTGTTTTTATGTAGATCAATTGAGTTTTATTGCATTTTTTCTCACACCCCTTGCTATGTGTGTACTTAATTCCAATGCGGGTGGGATGAATATGAAATCCACCGGCACGACTGCAGAGAAATGAATTTATATCGCTTTCCACTGTACTTATATTTAGTCTGGTGCTATGGAAAAGCGCCCGAGGCGAGTGCGTCTCACTAAACTGAGTTTATTTGCTCAATTCTTCCACACAGTGAGCGAAAATATGGCTAAATATTGTAGCAGATTGTGCACCCAATCGAGTGGGATGCAAATGTTGGCAAATTGTGTGACTCGCATATCAAACAATTGCGCCGTTTGATTGATCAAAGACACATACACAATTTCACCTGATGAGACTTCCTCTGCACATAGAAATTGAGAGTCGGAGATAGGTAAACTTTCCCTACCCAAATGTGTCAAATGCAGAGGCGCGCGCCTTGCTATGCAATCTGTAATGGGAACAACTCCAACTCGATTACGATGGTTTCGTGTGTTGCTGAGAAGAGGCTTTTGTGCAAAATACCAAATTGATGTACTTTCCAGCTTCTCTTGTCATGGCAAAATAATATCTCTCGCTATGTAGCTTCTTCCCTCCATCAAGTGAGCTCATTCGGAGGCTTTTATTGACTTGTGCGAAGAGCTTTTTGTCACACTTCCTATTGATGGGTAACGGAAGATTGACGAGGGCAATCATTTGCCATCGGCGAATGATTAAAACGTACCTCACATGGCAATTAATCTCCTTGCCTAGTGACAAATGAAATCAATTTTATCTATAAGAAATCTGAAATGACATTATTATTGAGACCTTCTTTATTGCCAGCGGCCCTTGACTTACAATAGAGAGTACATATAATATTTATGGATGACTGGGAAAATTTTTTGTCGTTTATGGTTTATATTGATTGATGCAACTTGAAATTCCAGTCAATTTATACGTTACGCAGTACACATGCCACAGCTAAAATTGATATGAAAATGCTCTCGTGAATGGTGGAGTGCAAAAAATGCAAAAACGAAAATTCAACAAACACATTTGTCATACTACAGAAATGTGGTGATGACACTGTTTGTCATCACGTACATGTAGTTTCAAAGAAAGAAAGGAAATTTTGCGCTCTATTTAATCAATTTCAAATGGAACTTCTTCGTCGAGTGTATCAAAAGTGAATCAAAATTTAATATTTTCCAGTAATCGTAAGAAGTTTATGAATGTAATTAACTATTCCGATTGCAAATAAGAGCATAAAGTTTCTCTCAGCAATAAGACAAGAAAGAATTTTTGGGGGAAGTTTCACACTGTATTTCACTATAATGAAATAAAACAGCTTGTCAGACAGAATTTGCGTAAACATTAGTGCTTCATTTACTTCTTCTTTCGTTGGCATAAAATATTATCATTTTAATTAGGAGAAAAACAACTCTTTTTCATTCAATTAAACTACGAAATCCGATTATCCCGGTGCAATCCATTGTGAATCTCACAAATGACTTTTTAGGACGTTCTAATTTAATTTCCAACGATAATGGTACCATACAGAGTACTCAGCAATGCACCCGCAGAGATGAAATTCATTTCATTACTGATACTAATTAAATTTAGTGGGAATTTTTCCGTGTTTTTAATTGGCAGACCGGCCAAAATGAACTGACTGTTGGTGGTAAGCTGAACTCTCGCCGTGTGGCAGTGGAATTTTTCACATAAATACAATCCTCTTGCGAATCTCCTAAAAAGTTCACATCATGTGAGAGAGAGAGAGAGTTACTGTGCTAATTATGTCTCCATTCCACTCTCCAGTTTTAATCCAATCCTCAGATGGAAATTTTCCTCTCAATAGCTGGAAAAAAGTTTTCCAGCACGGCTCTCAACAACTTCATGGTCGCCCTTTTTTCACCCTCGTCCAAGACTGAGTGTTGGTGTTAATATGCCGACGAGGAATACTCTTGAAACATCCTGAGATTGTTAATGTTCGAGTTTTCCCTAGGATGGATTCTCATTGCTGGTTGTTTTTATTGAAAGCATTCAGTTGAGAGGTTTCGGTACAGCAAGAAAGCTTTAAGGAGCCAACTTTAATAAAAAGTTTGTTAGCATTTTATAGAAACATTACATAAATTAAAGGAAATGCTATGAGAAATATCAGATTTCCCTCCATAAAACATTTACCTTTACACTCAAAACGAATACCAGACTATTTCCATCTTATTAAAGAGCTTTTTTGATTGAAAACCTCGCCTGCAGCCTTGTCCAAGTTTAGAAATGAAATTTTATTCAATGGAATACATTTTGGCTTGAATGGAGAGATCTTCCCTCTTTGCCAACGTTAATCAGCATCCCTATGCGAGGGGAGCTGCTCGCATCAGACAAAAAGGGTGTTCAGAAGCTTGAGAAGGACGCTTTTGGCTTGTTTTCCAACCCGCTGAATTATTGATTTTCACCCCTATGCGTAATTTTATTCACTTGGAGCGAAATGTAATTTCCACCTATGATTTTCATCCCACCAGCATTTCCCTCTACATGAATAAGATATGGGTGTTTTTTTCCGAGTATGAACTCCACCTAATTGGATGAAAAAGGTCTGCAAATGTCTCTCATTTGAAATACTATGACTTTGATCACACTTCTTTAACAGGTTATTTTGCATGCGAAATTCCTTTTCTCTTGTCATATTACTTGGTTGGTGAATATGTTTTGTGTAAGGAAAAGGGTCGAGAGAGATGTGAAAGACGTCCTAAAGAAGTTTTAAATTCCGTTTGACATATTTTATGTCAAATAAATAGACTGAGAACTGTCATTTATGAATAACGCGTCAATGATCTCCAGAGCAGAGCAAAAGTTTAAAGAAATTATTTATTACGACATCTTTTGCTTCCTTCCGTGACAATTTTCCAAGTAGTGACATCATGCGAATTGTATGATGAACTTGGTTGGAAACAGCTCAACTAATCTCGGAAAGCTTAGTGGCAACATATGTTGTGAACATGACGGAATGCGACCCATGTGTCACATCACAAATCCTTTACACATCATTGAGATTTTCCAAGTTGACACAATGACAAATGCACTACCATAATATTGGTAACTATATTTCTCAGGAGTATAGTCAATATTTGAAGATTTTTCATCTGCCACAGTGAGCAATCTAGTTGAAATGAACTGATATTCTGTCATACAGATAGCAAGATTTTTAAACTAAAGACATCTAAATCTGCATACTTGATACAATGATAATCATGATGAAATACTTCTGTTTTCTGGTACAAAAGTGAAGTGTCGTGACTCAATACAAGAATCTCTCTGCTTAAAAGTGTTGGCATGATTTGATGAATTAGCAAATTTCCTGAGGACACCGCGGTGCTGCATTAATTTATTAGTCTGGTGGCGATGATGGAATATTGATTGTACACGAATCCATTTATTTTCCAGCGTACGTGAAAACCCAAAGAAAATTCCACATTAACCCACACCCACCGCTTCTTCACGGGGAGTGCCTTCTGCACGCACAACAGGTGGTTCAAATTGATAGCTATAGAGACGATATTATGGCGCTTGTGTGGCTCCTTTTCAGCACAATTCCCAGAGTGATTTTCAGCACTTTTCCGCACCCCTCGAGCTCCACTTTTGGTTCGCCCGAAAACCGCGAGTGACGCAATGAGTTCACAGATGCTCAGTTTTACGATGATGTGACTCATGTTGGTGCTTTTATGCCACTGAAGACAATTTCCCATGGCTAAGTTAAGTGGACGCGAACATTAAAGTTTGTTCCTTAATTCGCCCTTTGATCTTTGCCTCCTCAACCCAGTATTTAAGGGGACGCTATTAAAGAGATTAAGTCTAATAATGAAAGAGCTTCTAGGCGAACCCCATGATAATCCCCACTAATGCCACTAATCCATTGGGTTGTGCATTTTTCTCAAGAGGGCAGGACAAGTTGGAACTATTTGATTATCCTTCAGCAAATATTAACCTCAGTGCAAGGTTAATTTTAATTAAGAATCCTCAAAATATTCCAGATGGTCAGCAAAGGGTTAGTCTGGGATCCGGGGTTTGGAACATTTCATTTAATATTTACTTAGGGGTTTTCCCTCTGCGGCTTCTCCGTCCAATAGCAAACGGAAGCTCAGCCCTGGAAAGCCCTTTTGCTCCATCATATTGTTCATAACGGACAAAGTTTGCACTAGGAAAGCTCTGCTGGCGATACAGCAAGTTTTGGAATAATATACACTGTAATTAATTCTTTTACTTTTCAATTAATGGATAGGTTGAGATAATGAGAGCGAAAAACTCTTAGTCAATGATATGCATGTATATTTACGTAAGTTTGGGCAAACTGTTTCCACTGCAATTTACGTACAATTTAGTTCTTTTCCTGCCTAAGAGTATTTCCAAATTAATATTCGCGTGACTTATGACTCAATGAAGGCTCGATTGATGCAATTAATGATACGATTGACCGATAAATGTATAATTTTGTGGTATTTGACGAGTCTGCTAAAAGGCGGTTGTTTGCATTTGGAGTTAGCAATCAGGCATTTTGGGACATACTGCACAGATGAATAATCAAATACGACTCACCATGAAACATTTCCGCAATTTGAGTCTGAAAATTACAATATTTCTCTCTCACCCCTTGCGAGCCACATTTGGGGCACTCTCGGCTCCGCCGAAGAGAGAAAAATGACGAAGAACCAAATGTGGAAATTAGGAAACCGCGATTATGCTTTTTCACGGGGCGTGTATCAGATTCGGAATCCTTTGTCATGATTTTTAATGACTTTCTCTATCGAAGCATATTGCGTGGCCGATGAGAGTAAATTGAATTTCCCATCTCCTTTTTCCAGGCACTGTATGAATGAGGGACACCCGGGGAACGTGAAGTAATTTCGCCAGGCTCTCTTGCTTTCACTCCACACGATGGCTGTGACCGTGGAGGAGGCAGTTCTAAGTGCTTTGCGGGGTCAGGTGAGCGGAAACACGAAATTGCCCGCCCCCCGCCTCATCAAGATCTACGTTGCCAGCAATAAGAGAGGTGAGATCATACTGTTGTCTGTGCCAAAGACGTTCTATTAGTCCGCCGAGGAAATTTATTTCGGCACGAGTGTGTTACACTCCCCTGCAAAATACATTATATGCCCCATTTTATATCAGCGACAGAGTTAATAAATGTTCTAGAGAGAGGAAATTGGATGGAATATTGCCAGCCTCCTTCGCGATGAGTTGGCTTTCTCAGTCAGAAAGGAGGGCAAAGTGCTTTGTTTCATGATTTAACTACACACAGAGTGAGGCGATTGAGTGAACTCTGTAGAGCTGACTGACAGAAATCTGTCCCAGAGAAGAATATTCACTTTTAGTCATATATTTTTGAAAATATACATACATAACTAAAAGCATTTAAGTGAGAGAGTTATTATTATTATTATTTGTGTCTGCGCTCTAAGAACTGTACCCTATATACAGAGAGTTGCAGCATACTAGTTACAAAAATAATCAATTGCTTCACTCTGTGAATCTGCAACCCTTTCACGCTAAGTGCCTTCGATTAAAAAGTTGGTCGACACAATCCAATTAATTTGCATGGGAATCCAATTAAATCTCCAAGAAAGCCCATCAAAAGCGATAATGCCCTGGACAAGAAAAATTCCTACACCCCTAAATCTTGCCCCACATCAACTCTGTTGCAGAATTTAAGGAGGAGAGACGTGTACTGCTAGAAGTCGTTGGCCCGGAAATACAATCATTTTACGACGATAGACAAATTGAGGTAATGGAAAACATCTCGAAAGTACTCAAGCGGAGATACTGAACATGCATTCAATTTCATTCTATGACGTCATTTGAAATTCCCGCAAAAGATGGAATTCGTCGACATGCACTTCGGCACAGGAGGCGGAGAGGCAATCGTAGATGCAGATCCTTACCGCCTGGACGACCACTTGAGCGAAGTTCGAATTTGCATGCGTGACTCAAAGAGTGTCTTCTTTCTTGTGAGTATCTTTAGGTGAACATTAATTACATGCTAACAAGATTCTGCGTTTCTTTTGTGAGGAAGGCACTTATTGGCAATGATGCGGGCTCGTTTGTCCTGCCTACCTCCATCGAGGCAGACGTGTTTGAGTGTGTACAGAAGAACTGCTGTCCAGAGGAGAGAAACCTTCTTCAGACGTGCTACAGTGACCAAAACAATGACAATGTTTTCAATCTCCTCAAGCCAACAGAAACCGTCAGGTGAGCCATGGATTTTCAAATTGACGTTCTCTTCCACAATGGGTATACCTACTTATTAAATTTTCAACACAAAAGTCACGTCACGAGTTGAGGAGCAGAGTTAGAAAGCTTTTGTGCTGAAGCAATAAATTTTGCTGAGAGGTTTGTGAAGTTTTATGAATTAACCGAAATAACGAAAAACATGACTATTCGGTCGATTTACTCTACTGTGGTTGATGATTTAATAGAACTTTCTATATTCAATTTCATGCTAACCAAGAATACAAAAAATACATAAATCGTCGAATTTTCTAACTTTAATGCAAATTTATTTTATCCCTCCTGGTGGCGCCTCATTGGTACTCCATCGGCGAAAAATCCGTATAAATTTTATATAAAAGCCCTTCGCAGTTCTCAATTTCAATTTGGCGCTCGAGAAAAGAATATTCATCGATTTGGGGAACGCGTTTTCTGGAGTGAGAGGCGCAACACGAGTTCCAAAATCTTCATTATTCTGCCTTTGCAGGCACCAGGAGAAGCGTGAATGGGTGAAAACGTGCCGGGAGATGAAGGATGTGCTCGAGAGGACACTGCGAAAGAGCTTATCGACTTTCCCTGATGAGGTGCTGGCGCAAAAAATGCGCCTCATGCTGAAATCTGCGCTGGAACGAGAGGTTGACACGGCTCTCGGTGAGTTGTATGTGTATGTCCTCGATGGTGTGACTTAATTAATTCCCTGTGACACTAGCAGGATGCTCTCGTGGAGATAATATGATGGCGGTGTTCCGAGAGTGGTCTTCGCCATCAGCATTGCGTGATGGTGCCCAACAAATCAAGAAGCAATTAACCGAATGTCTATCGCCGGACAACATGCAAAATCTCACGTGAGTTACCAGCACATTTTGTTAGTCAATTTCACCGAATGGAGTCAATTTTCTGCGTGACTCTGTTGAATGTCTTCATGTGTGAATCACCCAAAATTTCTCTCTATATCGTCCGAACGCTCCCAATCCACCCTTTGACCTTTCGCAGGGGCGCTTATTTTATTATCCCACCCACAGGGTTGAGGGTGAAGCGGCGGAAATTGACCCAGACACTGAGAGTCACGAAGATTATTTGGCTGTGTTCAAGACCACCATCGTTGAGAAATTGAGGGCGACAATCGATCGGAGTCTCATCAATGATCCAGACTGTATAAAGGGCAGAAAAAAGACAGTTCAGGTGAGCCCATTGCATATTAAATCATCCCTATATCCAATTGACATTTTATCCTCACTAGTAAATAAGCAACGCGTGAAATATTTCGAACATCAATAAATTTATCACAACCACTAAAAGCATGAATCCAGACACAAACAACATCCCTGTATATCGGATGAAAATGTACTTTGTAATAAATTCGTAATCATACACCGTCATTTCCGCGCAAACAGGAAATATTTCACGAGCATTCGATACATTTGGTGTTTGTGGGCGAGCACGAAACCAGCAAGAGTCTGTTGTCGTCCGCGGTGCCCGAGAGATTGCGGTCAAATGTGATGCAACACTATCGATCCGGGTCCAGGCATGCACCACACTTTATCTACGGTCACCACGGGTCCGGCAAGAGTAGCCTCATCGCCGAGCTATATGGTCAGGTCGTGAGATGGTTCGACAACGCTAAAGTTCACCGGGTGATAAGATTTGCGTAAGTTATTAAACCTACATACATATGATCTAGAGAAACAGAGATCGATCCTAGGATATTTTCACCAGGTCAAAAACTCCACGGTCGGCATACAGTTTGGAGCTATTGCGAGTAATTTGCCAGCAAATCTCAATAATATTCAACATTCCCGAGGGATACTTACCGAAGGATGCCTCATTTGATCCTTTTTACATCAACAACTGGTTCCAAAACCTATTGAAACGCTGCGAGGATTTGCCCAATGACGTGCTCTTTCTCTTCATCGATGATCTCCACAAGCTCAATCCGCTTGACTGTGACATTGTGGCCGCTCTATCGTGGCTGCCCATTAGTCTGCCATCCAATGTCTTCCTCATCTGCTCAACTACCATCCCTATCGACGCCCTCAAGCTCACGCCCATCCAGAAGGAGCGCTTCAAGAGTTCCGAAAGCCTCTTTGATCTGTCTCAGGAGAGTAACAGGACCACATTGAAACGAATGCGACAGGATGAGGCCTTTGAAACGTACGTGAATCGCCTATTTCGCGAAATTGAGGGTGAATTCGGAAAAAGAGGTCTAGCGAGGTTGGCTACTTACCTCTCGTGCACGGAGTACGGGCTGAGTGAAACAGAATTGCTGGAATTGCTCATGCCAATTCACAACAGCGACGCACTCATTGATTCCAACGAGGGAGTTTTCAATTTCTCCACCTTCCGGGCAATCCGCAATCGAATGAGTGAGTATTATACCTTTTCCGCTCAATTGATTCCCTTTCCATGTGCTCTGATGACGACCCTGGCAAATCCCAATGAAGGGACTTTTCTTTCCGCTTTCCTCAGTGCCGAGCGAAATCTTCGGCAGATTTGTGAATTCTCATCACTTGTACATTAAGGTATTTCAGGGTGAGGGTTGTGACACTGTACTTTGAGGAGGATTTAAGTTTAACTAAGAATTTTGATGGAAGGCCTGAGCAAGGTAAACATACGCTCTGGCGCCTTTTCTATTGAATGTACTCATGTGTTCCATCCAAATTTCATGTTTACTGGAATTTATCCAGTTTCATCTTGAATATAATCCTCAATAAATTTTACAGTGTTCGGTTTACTCTGTAAATGTCTGAAACACGCGTAGTGTGCTCCTGATGAAAATCTCACTGTAAGCAATAGATGATGTTTCAGGTTATCCTTGAGAGATCACAAAAGCCAGAAATAATACTCATTCATCCCAAATGCAAGAAGGATGTGCGCTGGGTGTGATGGTAAATTTTAATTTGCACAGAACCCCTGATTCGGGAGAAATTGATGTCGGGCAAGGTGTTGCTCCAGTGGCGTCATGACTTGTGTGCTCAAATTGCAAAGTCACGGTATATGGATGAGGAGGCCAGGCGGTTGGCGCACACGGAGCTAGCGAACATCTTCTTCAGTCAGGACGGTGAGGAGAGTGACGAGACGACTATCAGTCATCCCACAGACAAATCTCCGCAGCAACAGCAACATCTGCAGCCCACTGCTCATGAGGAGACTGTGAGCAGTCGGCCTAGCAATATGCTACCCTGGGCAGAGCTATCCTACAGTGTGCGCCACGTGGAGGAGTCCTGGCACCACTTGATGCGGTCCGAAGACACGGAGAAGCTCAAGACCATCGCTATGTGTAATTTCGACTTTCTCTTAGCGTCGGTGAGTGCCTTCTACTTCTTTGTACTTCAATGAATATTTGGAACGACAGACTGACTAATTAAGTATTGATTTGTCTTGCTTTATTAAAATGTCCTGCTGAGAATATATCAAAGAGAATGTTCAAAGACAGTCCTTGTGGTGAGAGGCAATAAATCGCCTTACAGACCTTATTACACACCTTTCATCTTCATTTATAATTCAAAAGGTTAAGCGTAGCCACCAAAACGTGTCGAACGCTTTACGATTTTCAATGAATTTATTAACTATAAGTTGATAGAATTTGCTGGCCTTAGTATCATGAAAAGTTCCAAATTAAATATAAAATTTATTACCCAAAGTTAGAATGTGTGGATATGGTTTACACGGCGAAATAAAAAGGGATCCTGTAATTCAGAAGACGAATTCTTCATTCGATAAATTTACATACATACATACTGAGCAATTTTGATTCACTTGAGCACAGGAAGGAAACATATTGAAAGAAATTCTGAAACAATAAAGTGAGTAAACGCAACTCTTGGCTATTAAATGGCTCTGCAAATTGGATTTTGTCGAGCAATCACCTTTGCGAGTGGCTATAGTAATTTCACAATATTGGCAGAAGGCAGAAGAGTATGTCCTATTAATTACTGTAAATATTTAGACATTTTCTTCCTGTTTGCCAACGAAATAAATAACACTTTAAGTGAATGAGGAATAAAAGAGTGGGAATTCCTCGAAGATTGAGAAGAAAACAAATCTATTTTTATACCAGAGAGGTGAAATGGATGATTCAGAGCAGAATTCACGAAAGGGATGTACCCGAAAATTTGTGAATATTACCGAAATTTCATGCTCAATATCTTCCAAGATGGAATTTTATATGTGTGTTCCCTGTCAATTGAATTGCCAGGATGTTTTATTTATTTCCACCTAGCGGTAATAATATTGGGAGAAAATCCAATGTCCAATGGTGTAATAAAAAGATTTCATGCTCCATAAGAAAACAATCTTTTGGACATAATCATAAATAAAATGCTCTCTTGCGTCTCTGGTCGATTAATGCTCCTCTGCAGTGAAATGTTGCGGAAGATATAAAGTGAAGATGACGTCCTGACTTGTCTCTTCTAATCATTTATCCAAATATTTGTTCCACTTCAGCTCCAAACGGTCTCCATCAGCTACTTGCGGTGCCTCATTGAGCATGTCCGGTGTCACATTCTCGACAGGGACATCGAGCTGATTTACTACACCATCAGGAAGTCGAGTGATGTCCTCACGAGGGATCCCATGCAGTTGGGCGCCCAGGTGAGATCCAGAGGGACAGTTTTGGGATAGACATGCTAAGTGGAAAATAATTTTGCAGGTGATTTCATGGCTCAGACCCATTTCTGAGCATGACGAGAATGACAATTCCCTCCTCAGCATCACTGTGAGATCAGCAACTGCCTGGTGCGATGGCTACACTGTGCCTGTAAGTCTTTAGCAATATCTACAATTATTAATTTGTAGCGTCACCATCTACATTGACAATCAATTGACTTTCTTTCAAGTTAAACCGAAAGGTTCATGAGTGTCCCTTTCTTACGATTGTAGTTGCTGGTCCCTCTGTCGGGATGGCTTCCAGTTCCTCTGCCATCGCAAATTCGTACAATGACCGTGTCGGGCACCGGACAAATCCGCACGATTGATTTGTCACCATCGAAACAACACCTCATTATTGGTCCCAAAACGGGCGACGTTCAGCTGTGGCACATCATGAACAACAGTCTGGTCCACACATTCAAAGGTATGAGTGAAAATCCTCTCACTTTCGCCCATCAATTGTACTTTTCTGGGTTGACTTTTAAGGGCACAGCGGACCCGTGACATGCCTCACCGTGGCCAGGGAATTGAGTTATCTCATAACCGGATCAGAGGATACATCTGTAATTCTCTGGGACATGAGGACGTTGACAATGAAACAGCGAATATGGTAAATCCCCATTCTTTTCTCTATCCATTCTCTCCCGTGTGTGCAACATTTTACGAGGCACTTCCCTTCTCTGCCCACAGGGAACACATAGCTGCTGTCATTTGTGTTACATATGCCTTGAATAATACATATATCATTAGTGGCGGAGACGATTCTAGCATCATAATATCATCGATGGAAACGGGAAAATTGGTAAGTGAATCATTTCTGGATGTTAAGAGGGAAACAGTGAGCCATGACAAAAGCACATCTCGAAGGGTAATTTCGTGTCAGTCTGAATTGTGGTGCTTTTCTAAGTCGCATCGATATTTCATTTTGCTAATAAACAAACACGAATATAGTATTTTATATGGGAAAAGATTACTATAGCCTGTTAGAATGATGGATTGAATCGCGATTTAGAGACGGTTTTCACACTCGTCCATCCATCTTCCTCGCGAAATAAATGAATCTCACATGCTATTTGTAATTTAACCCTTCAATTCCACTTTCCCAGAAGATTAATTTGTGTTGATATTCCAATTTTAATACCGTGAGCTCATTTCAACGGATTACGTGGCAAAATTGTGTGCCTCATACGTCTCTTTTCTCCTGAAGGTTATGAAAATCGACCACCATCGAGGACCTGTGACTGCCGTTCACGTGAGCAATGCAAGCGATGTCTTGGTCTCTTCGAGTACCGACACCACGGTTTGCCTCTGGTCTCTGGAAAATTTTACACTCCTCAACACGATCCAATTGAACAGTCCGATAATGAATTTTGAAATTTCCAGCGACTCGGTGAGTGTCTGAACGATCAATTAATTTCACTGTGGTCACTGTGGGTTGAGGAACTTGATTAGGTGGTCGCGTAAGTTCAATTTAGTGTGAAATTGAAAAGGCGAAGGGGATTAATTTGTGGGCTGAGATATTGACTCGTCTGAGTAACCCATAATGAGATTTCCTACAAACCTCCAACCTGGGGAAATGGAACCAAAAACACTCCGTATGCGGAGATAAGGCATCATCATTAATTTATGTGACATGAACAACAATGCACTGCTGGTTTATGGGCACACTTGTGGGTGCAGAAATAATTTCAGGAGAGAGATAATGTGACTGAAATCTATATATCGCTACAGATACTTTGACTATTTGCGTACGGAACTTGAACACTTTAACCTTAACTTAAACCTATTTCAAAATTATAGATAATCTGCGCAGAGTTTGTTCGATTATTCATTATTATTTACCGAAAGCTTTCACACAAGAAGAATGAAAGTGAAATTTTTTTATTATTTTAGTATTGTGAACATGATATTAAATCTCCGATAAACATACATCTCTTCTGCTTTTTTCCCCTCTTTTGTTTTCTTGGAAGTGCTTTTACTCTTTTCCTTAAATACACTCTATTTCTAAATTGTTATCATAGACAATATTCAAAATTGTCAAGTGCTTTACGTGCACACGAGAGAAGTCACAAGATGAGCAAATACCTCCAGGAGAATTGCGTTCCGCTGAGTGCTTCAGAGAGAGAGGGTGGAGTGGAAAAGCTTTCAGCGAAAATCTGGTGAAAGCTCCATGATTGACTCGAACTAAACGTGAGAGGGGGCGATACAAGATTCGCCCATGAGACTGTTTTATGCTAATATCCAATGAATTGAATGTCACTGGCAAGAAACGATTAATATAAAGTGGGATTTTCCATTTGCTCTTTTTTTTGTGACACCAGTGGAACTCCTCCTAAACATTACATAATGCCACATGGAGAAAGTTTTTGCCTTGGGAAAATATAATTGGAATCTGATACTTCCATTTGAGCACGGCAGAGCGAGACTCTCAATACAAATGTCATTCTTAGATTGGAAATGGATATTGCAAGGATAACGATAAGAATATCTCGTTTGCTTTTGAGAAAGCTATCACGTAAAGTTAAATAAATGTAATTTGATGGTTATTCCAAAATTGATTTTTCAATTTGAGGCAAACATTTGCATTTTCTCCCGGGGTTTGGGTATAAATTAATGAACTGAAGCTCTTAATTCAATGAATACGCTTTGCCTATAAGACGTTGAGAGTTCATCGCAGGTGATATATTGAATTACAAAGTCTCCTCTCTTGAAGTTTTACTCAACTCGGAAGTAATTAAGGTTGGCGCTTAAGACAACCGAAATTCACATGAAACGCCAATTCTGCGAATTCCGTGCTTAAATCCCTCTCATGGGTGGGAAACTCAATTTTGTGTCAAAATCTTTCTCTCAAAATAAGTTTTTCTTAAAAGCCTCTTTGCAATTTCGCCCTCAGAAATCCCCATCAAAGGAGGGGATAAAAAGCCCTGATTTATATACAATCTCTTCTCTGAGATTTGAGGCTTTTTCTTCTCTATGCTTGAATCGAAAAAAAATATTTGGTGAGTTGGACAAAAGGAATGCTAAATTGATATTTATTTGATATCGATTTTATCATATCAACCCCACGGGCTATCTTAGAGTGAAATACAACTTTTCTTTCTGCGTCTTTCGTGAAAAATTGCCTCTATTGAGTTATCCAGACAAGGCCAGAAAAAAGTGAAACGAGTATCTAAACATGGGCGAAAATTTCCTTTTAATACCCAGCAATTTGTTATGATGTGCTAAAAGTCTTCGAGAGGGAAGAAAGCTCATTTGACGAGGAGGAGAAAAACTCAATTACTCTTTAAAGGATCTCCGCTGTTGTGAGTTGAAGGTATACATTGATTTCTCAATTCAATAGCAACGATGCAACACACTTAGCACAGTGTGAGAAAATGGGTGTTGGGCTCATTGAGTAGAAAAGTGGGAAAATTAAACAAGAAAATTGTGAATGGATAGACCATCCCTTTGTGCTGAGGTGCTTTACAATGTCTCCCTATTTTCCCTCTAGGTATTCCTGCTGGCATTGTGCGAAGATAATGGATTGTATCTGCGAGCGCTGGCGACCGGAACAGAATTACATTCGCTCAAGGGACATAAATCGAAGGTAATTGGGTATCCTAGAGAATGTTTATTTATTTAGACGAAGACAGGGTGTGAGAACATAAATGTGTAAGACTGACAAAGACCAGCGCAGATCCGATATTGGCCAATAGATTTTGTGTAAAACGTAAATGAAAATTGATTAAACGTCTTTCTGAATTCCGCAATAATAACCCAATTAATTTTCTTCCTGAACATCAGTGGTATTTCAAAAATATATTCAAAAAGTATTTTCTATTTTTCCGCGTACTCCTTGGGCAATCAAATGCGGATTTTGAACAAATTTCACTTATTTCATGCGGACGAATCGTTTATTAAAATATTGTTTTTCAAGAACTTAGACAATTCTTCGTTTTTTTTCACTTGAGACACTCTTCAAAAGATTTCCCGAGGGCCAGAATAAATATTTCCTGGAATATTTGTTCGTGAATTTATTTATATTTGATATGGGAATGAAATACATCTTGCTGCCAAACTCAAGAGCCGCACCCCTCAAAAAGTAACTTTCACATCGAAGTGAAAAGAATAATTATGCTAGAAGTAACCGAAGAATGTTGGCCGAGAGTAAATCGTGCGAAATATTTCCCAAAAGCCTGTGCGATGTGTAATGGCCAAGAAATATGCTGAAGTTTGTTCTTTTATTTATCCTCTCTCACCCTCATTTTTTGGGTAGAGGAAGTTGAAGACATGGCGATAAAGTTCTCGTGATTTGGCCGGAGACAACTTGACAGATTAACTTGTTTGGCAGGTCCGAGGAATGTGTATTGCCCAGGACAGTCAGCGAGCAATAGTGGGATGTGAGGACACCAAGGCTCTGATATATGACATGCACTCAGGACGAATTATCAGATCTCTGCCACCAAATCCGGGCTCAGTGACTGCGGTTTACTGCACGAATGACGATGACTTCCTCATCACGGTCGGTGGGAATAAGATCACTTTCTACTCCTTCCGCCATGAGGATTCTTTCGCACATTTGAGACCCAAGAGGCGCAAAGCCTCGCGCCATATTTCAGCACAGAAGCAGCAATACAACGTGGGCAATGTGCCCATCACGTGCTTTGACATCTCCAGGGACTCCCAATTAGCCGCCTCAGCCTCAGGACGCAGTGTGGCTATTTGGCAACTTAATACCCCGGAAGTCACCACGACCCTGAACTATCATTCAGGACCTGTGACAGCGGTCAGTTTCTCGCCCAACGGAGAGTTCGTGGTTTCCGGATCGGAGGACAAGAGTGTCATTGTGGTGGGACTAACTCTAGGATTAGTTGTGACCACTTTCAAAGGCCATGGCGCGACTATTCACGCTGTTGTCGCGATGATGGATTCCAGGAGAGTCTTGTCAGCCGACAGGGATGGAGTTTTGCATGTGTGGGTAGCAGATTCTGCAGCTATTTTGCAAACTGTTCAAGGACCTCATAAGCAACTAGCCGTAACCAACAATATGAAATTTGCGGTGAGTTTGACGTTAAACAGGCGGGGCTTAATAGTGGGCGTAGGTTATTATGATGACGATGGTTTGAAAATGTTCATGCTTTCAATTCGAATATACACACTCATTATTTCTATAGCTTTCGCTTCTGTTCTGAAGCTTCATTTAGAATTCAAACAATGCTGTCACTGACGTTGATGGTTGTTCAAGCCATCCGGCGGAAGTGTTAATTAATTGAATTATCAATGCCAATTGGTGACATCGTATTGCTTTCACTCTCGTAATATACTTCAGAATTAATTGATATTTAGTTCATAATTAAATTACGAAAGCTTTCTGCAGTATCTCACAAATATGACCTGTCGTCTCTCAAGAGTCTCACGGGCCACAAGATGAGAATAATTATCAATTGTTAAATGTCTTTAATTGTCATCAAATTGAATTTGCAGGTGTGCACAAACGGTGACAACAGTCTTCGCATTTGGTCACTGACACGAGAAGATGAGAAGTACACTGTTTCCCACTCAGATGATATAACTTGCTTTGTAATCACCGTGGATTCACTCTACGTGATCACGGGCTCGCGTGACATGTCACTGAAGGTATGGCAAGCAACGGGAGGGAAGCTGGCTCAGGTTCTCGTGGGACACACGGATGCCGTGACGTGCGTGGCGGTGCCCGTAACGAATAAGAATCAAGTGATTTCGGGCTCAAAGGACTCCAATCTCATCGTGTGGGATTTACACACAGGAGAGGAACTTCACACATTGGCTGGCCATTTGGCGCAAGTCACATGCGTGAAGATATCAGCTGATGGCACGACAGCGGTGTCTGGAAGTGATGATAAGACACTAATTGTGTGGGAAACAAAGAGAGGACTTGCGCTCACGTCGCTTCAACTTCATGTGCCATTCACGCGATTCGACATCAGTCTGGAATGCTCAAGGATACTCGTGAGTATTTTTAAATTGAGATAACATTCCTTTCACCTTTGGCATACATTCGGAGTAGTATAAGTCAAGGGTTTGAGATAATTAAATAACCTTTGAATAAGCATTGTTCACTTTGTCTGCAGTCTTTAAGCACAACATCGTTGGTTTATTGAATTTCATACTAGTTTATACGAGAACATGTTTGAAGAAAGCCAATCCTTCATATTTATCATTGACGACTTTGGTCTCTGGGTACAGAACTTTGCCCTCAAGATCAAGTCCAATGATTGCAGTGTTAACAGTACTTCCTTTCTCTACTGTTGTCAGTCCCACGATGATCTTATCGTTGGAGTCAGGCAGGAATTTGAAACTGGAGAATCCTCGCTCATTTTGCAGTGGTTCAGCCTGGATATCCTTGGATGTGAACGAAGATAAGTCCTCGTTGGCAAAAATCATCTTGTTGCAACCGATCTTTTCATCATCGACATCTGCATAGGATTGTGCTGAACACTTCCTCGGCATGAAGATCCATTGTTTGTTGATAGCCGACCACATGACAGCCTCGTGAATGAGGAATCCTGGGAAGGGCATCTGGACAGCATTCCTCATCTTGTCATAGATATTAAACCAGTTCTCATGAACCACTTCGCCAGTTTTAGACACTTTCTTCACAAACATCTTGTTGCGATCCACAACGTTGCTCTTCTCGTAAGTTTCAACACCGACAGAGCCGACATAGAGATGATCATCCTTCACTGTGGCCCACTCGCATTTGAAACCAGTGGTTTCATTTCCATTTCCATCGCCCAAAATCACCCAGGGCACGAGAGCATTATTCACCAGATCGTAGATGATTCCTGTCTTGTCATCGAATGTATAGGTTTTCCCGTTGAAAAAGAGCAGCTCAGAAAGCTCCGCTCCTCGCCCACCAATGGCATACTTAGTCATGATGTCGTAGGCGTTCTTCTCAAATGTGATGTCCAACTGCGTATCGCTGATCTTTCGAACTGATCCTATCCGACTGCTGGACACGTACGTGTTCTTCTTGTCCTCATGAACTGCTTTCTTGTCAAAATCCGCAACAATTTCGAAGCCATACTCCTCTCCAGCTGCTTTCTGCACGTCCACAGGCCCTCCCAAGGATTGCGCGGACAGACAGCCCAGGATCACCACAAGGCACAATACTTTTACGAACGCCATAACTTTGGAGGCACGGCAAAATTTAGGCTCGCCTTTACTCGAACGTTTTATCAAGTGGAATGGGTTTTGGAGTGTCCAATTCTCACTTCTTAAATAAGACGCTCTTATCAGTCTCGTTTTGGCCACTTAGGAAGCGCTTAAGATCACGTTTAGGCCATTCGTGGCTCATGAGTACTTGAGATTGGAGTGAAACTTGTCACAATGTCGATTTTATCAAAATTTTCAGTTACAAAAACGTAGATTTATTAAGTCTCCATCTTTGTGCGAAGGAATTATGCGGCATTTCGGGCTAATTCATCACTTTTGGGCTGGATTCCCATCAACACGGTGAATAAGAAATTCACGTGAAGGTGGAATGCATGGTAATTTGCATAGGATTTGAGGCAAAGGAATCATGAATTCGAGAAAGGAGAAGTCAAGGAGCACTTTAGTCCTCCCGTCAACTGTACTTCTGAGTCCATTATTATGTCGAGCGGCCCCAAAAGTCCACTTGTAGTGCTCCTCAAGTGGAATCAACAGATCCCCCTTGAGAGACTGAGAAAGAGATCCCACAACTTTCGCCAAGTGAATTAACTCTCGGGAAACTTTTCACTCGCTTTCTTGGCACAGATTCAATTAGTTGACAGCCAGAACTTCCCCGTGATTTGTCTCCACAACACACCGGCGTCTTATGTGAAGCTCCCCACTTACTCAGCTCCGGCCAGGGATGTGGAGGACCTGAGACCGGCGGGACCGAAGCGACCGACGCAGCGACGATTGCTGAAGAAGGAGGTGTCGTTGGACACGTACACATGGCAGAAGAAGTATGGCCATCTCACGTCTTCGGTGATGATGGCTCAGGTGGATGAGAGACTGAAGAGGCGCTTCTCAGTATCGGCCAGCATGGAGGAGATCTCGAAAATTGCAGAGATGAAGTCCTTGGCATCACAGACAAGCCTGTGCCCGGAACAGGCCGCCCTCGCACAATCACAGCACTTTGACCAGCTCGAGGCGCTTTGGAACAAGAGATCGCCGCCAAGGAGGAGACTTAATACGGTGAGCATTACAAAAATTTGCATTAATACTTGCTCTAAAAAAAATAATTGTTTTTTGTTTTCTAGTCCGTCTCGCGACAGTCTTCGCTCGTGGAGGACAGAATATCATCTGATGAGGATGAGTTCCAGGAGGAAAGAGCAGGTACGTGGATTCTATGTCCATCCAGGCCCACATCCCTGCCCGTGAAACTCAGAACACCATCCCCAGAAAGGCCTGCTTTCCAGCCGGACTTACTGAAAGAGGCTCTGGCTCTAAATTGCTGCTCCACTAGTGAAAAGATACATGAAAAGACGCAGAAACGACGGCAACGAAAGTCAATCGTCTCCTGCATTACTCAATAAACTTTCATAGTATCTTTTATGTTTATTTTTTATTAATAAAGTTATTATTTTTTTATTTGCAAATCTTTTATTTTGGTTAAAGTTTGAGTTTCTCTCTGATTTGTAATGGAACTCAGTGAGGAAACATATTTGATCTGGACCTTTCCTTACAGATGTTCTGGCGGATTAAATAGGATCTTGCATCAATTAAGAATATACTCTACCACACTCATTTCAAGACGCTTCCCATCTCAACGCGACCATCAAATTAGTTGTAGTGTTAAACTCAGCCATGAGGCCATCAAAAGAGGACGATTCTCTAAAATTCAACTGATATCGTCACTCTGGTCGTTTAAAAACCGTAAAAAAAACTTTTAGGAGAGACTATAAACATTTCCAACCAACTGTGAACCTCAAGTAATGTTAAAGCCAAAGAAATTGTACACTCGGCAGATTTATACAATTGAATCATTGAATCACTTTGATTTAATGAAGGCAATAATAGTGAAATAAAGTTGCCTTCAAACACCGATTAATCCATCAAATGAACTCCACCGCAATGATTTAGCCCAATAATGTGGTCACAATCTTATGTCGCCGAGTGTATTCAAATAGAAAATATTATTATGGACAAAGTTCACCCTTGTTAATACTCGTTTTCTTTCCAAATTCTACGATGTGAGTTGTCAGATGTATTTTGAGAGGAAATGAATTAAGAATATAAAACCAGTAGGAATTCTTGTTAAGCAATAAATGTCTTTTAGAGTACTTTTTAGAATAACAATGAAAATGTAATAAGAAAAACTCCGACAATCACATGAAAAGCACTGACTTTGAGTAAGCGAGAAGAAGCAAAGAGAGTCTCTCGAGGAAATAGGAAGAACTTTTTGCACAAATTGCTTGGAGAAGTGAATAAATGTTTGTCAGCTTCTTTTGCTTCTCTTATTTTTTTTCTTACTGTTTCTTTTCTTTGAGGGCAAATAAAGAAAAAAAAACTATTGACACGCACTCCACACATTCCAGAATTTTCAACCTCTGTTGACATCCTTTTTTGGATCATTTCTTACCAATCTTTGTGTCATTCAATGGCATTATAATTAGATTACAATAAATATAAAACGTAAAAAAGTAATTGTAGTGGAATAAGAAATTCAATAATTGAAAGAAAAAGCATTTTGTGTAAAATATACCGATGTTGTAAGATGATAAAGAGAAAAACACAATGAGATTTATTGCCTATTTACGCCATTTATTGAATCTTTCCATTACTTGCATCACCTTCCTCTCAACCTTCTCAACATTTAAGACAGAGTTTATTGATTATTTCTGTGTCCCCTTTAACAGTTTTTATGTTCACATTAGACATATCGATTATATTGTTCCGAAGGAAGAAAAAAAATCTTTTAAATGTGTAAGTTTATCTTACAAAAAGAATAAATAAGAGAATGTAAATCCTAGAAAATGACATTATGTGAAAATGAAAAAGTTAAATCATTTGCACTCTTGCAGGAAAATGTTTCTTCGCCAAAGCACATTTTAATCTGTTAAATTTTCATTTGTCTTTAGTAAATAAAACAGAATAAATCTGTACACAATGCAATGTTTATTGAAAATAAAAGAAATGTCTTCTTCCGAGTGTTTTATGTTTCTTTCCTTTACTTTTGGTATTCTTCGCCCACATTAAAACCTTATGACCAAAATGGATAACAAAACAAAATGCGATGCGTGAAAATTGCTATAATAAGACTAAAAAATATCCTCCATATATGTATAATTTATGTATCTCCTTCTACTGCATTATTTCATTCAATTCTATACATTTTTACCTCACATGTTCTCCCATCGCGCATTTCTCGCCTCATTCAACTTTTCTTTCAACATCTATCTTTAATATGCTCGAATTACAAATATGCACTGCACTTCTCATCTCACTGCTTTGCTTCTATTTCTCTTTTTAGTTTATAAACCTAAACCACTAAAACTCCGCTAGTCATTTATAGTAACTTCGTCGTAATTGAATGTTATCCTTCTCTTTCGCGGCTTTAATACAAATAATCATTTTACTTGGCACCGTAAGTGCTGTAAAAATTCGTAATATGAGAGAGAATTATCTGCACGATCGTCCAACAATTTCTCCGTGAATTGGCTTCTGTAGCTGCTCGAATCTCTGCACGGGAAAATGTAACGAATGTTAATTCACAAAATATATACATTCCCTTCATTAGCAAGTATTCTCACCTTATAACTTGAATGGATGCAGCAAATGGTTTCTCCTCATTCAGACCCTCAATAAATGCATGTAATGCTTCACACTCAGGCGTTCCAGTGTTTTGCAGCGTGAAGAATAGATCTGGAATATCATTCACAGATGGAACGCCTAGAAAATTACGGAGAAAAATGTTATTTATTCTCTATTTTTTTTAATAAAAAAAAAAATGTAAAAGAAACTCACCAAAAACACTGGTCACAATGTTCGGTTGAGCATTTGTCCCCACGAATATCAGTATTTGCGCTCCACAGTCCAGCAAGAAGATTGATCGAGAATCCAGTCTGCATGAGCCGGAATGAATCATTAACATTATGGATCAATCAATTAACTATTTTATCAACTTACTTCTCCGCCGACAATTGCATTCTGCTGGGCTCCACCTTTGCCTTGGGGTTCTCAAATAGACTGTCGATATTGTAAAAGTCCGGATAGACGTACCTCATCAACTGATCCAACGGCAAAGTCTTCATCTCGCACATGGCAAATACACGATCATCGAGTCTCGTGCTCGTTCCCACACGGAAAGCGGGCTGCAAAGGAAACAACAAATATAAAATAAATGTCTTCATTATCTCCGTTGTTCAACAACTCACATGCTTGAGAATTGCCGATATGTAGAGCGGCAAGAGGGCGAGATTTTGAGGCGCTATAACTTGACCCGTGAGTCCCGATGGCAGATTCTGTGCAATCTTGAAGGCAGAGAGCACATCCACGGTGGCATTGATGAGTGCGTCCCGCGCGTCCGCCACCGCGGCCGTCAGCGAGCGATCAACAGCCATTTTGGCCAACAGTCCAACCATGCAATGCACATCGGCAGAATAGAGAATCTCCGTGAGATTCACCGCTACGGGCAGACAGAGTGTGTGCACACGAATCCGTCGTTCTCCTTTGCTACTGGTGTACAGCAAAGCGGCCTGGAAGCACACACTCCGCAGATCCGAGAGGCTCTCCTCATGCACAATTTGCATCCCAAAGCCCGCGTCGGGATTGATGTTCGGCAACGACAGTAAGTCCGTAGAACGCACGAAGAAATTGCCGTGGAATGTATGAATTGCCAGACCTCGAGTGCATCTCACGCGCATCACAGCCTCAAAACCAATCTTGCGCGTGAGATAGCGCTCGAAGGAGCGCTTAAAAGACTCCACCTGCTGCACTTTTCCATGACTAAACAGCGGAAAGTGATGAATGCATCCACCGCTGAACTTGCTCACACCCGCCAGCGTCGCCAGATCACTGTACTGACTGTTGAGGAGAAAGATGTCAACCGCAATCTGCTGCCCTGAGCACTCCAGTGCGAGTCTCTTATAGAAATCCGTGGCCGGCCCAAGATGAGGCACCTCTTTGGCGCTCCTATTGTTCGGATCCTCACGCGATTGCAGTGCTCCCGGGCCCCAATTCGGCAGGCAAGCTTGGAACACTGTCACGCGACCTCCAGAGGGACTCATCAGCTTGAAGGCCGCCTGTAGAGCCGCCCCGAGAGCACACTTAGACTCGTGCCCTTGACCAAACCTCTTGGGCAATTGCGTGAGCAGATCTTTGATCAATTCTCGGCACTCCTTGAGATTCACCAACAAACTGTCCGGACACGGCAGAAAGACATCCTCCACGTCCAGCACTGTGATCTCGTGCGGCTGATTGAAGCCCTCCGCCAAGTGGTAGAAATTCACGGTATTACTGAACGTGATGAAGCCCACTTGCGTCCTCACATCGCCCGGCAAATTGTCGAGGTGCTCCATCAGGGTATCACAGACAGTGTTCAAGTAGCCCGACTGCACAGCAATGGCAGACACGTCCAGCAGGAAGAGATAAATGGCCGGCTGCGGTGGACGCAACATGTACTCACTGGGAGCGATGAATTCTATTGTGCTGGACCGCACTTCCGGCCGCCTTGTCACGTCGCCGTACGTCTTGCTCACCGGATCGTACTGAAACTCGTCTGGCACTGCAAAGAACACAGAGAGGAAATTAAGCAATGGACAGATTTAATTTAGTTAAATTACACTCACATTCATTAACCCTGTAGCATAAGTTGCACTTCCACTTCTTGGAGTCCACAAAGTGCACGAAGGGATTGATGTATGTGCGACAAGCTCGACATCTCACTATTGTGGAGCACTGAATAACTGGAAGATTCTGAAAATTAAACATATCCATAAATACCTACTCTACCAAATAAGAGAAAAGATATGAAATCATGTTAGAACCAGCGTGATTCATTTCGAAATATTTAATTCACGTTAATACTCAAAAAACAGCAAAATATTATTCTAAGTTATTTGATTTTGTAACGCTAATTGTTTTCAACAAATCATTGGAACAAACCAATTTAAAATGCAATTTTTCTAGACTGCAAATGCCCCTGAGCATTATGACAAAAGTCTTCTCTAAGAATACTCTAAGTTTACTCTAGCCTAGAGTAGTTCTTAGATAACCAGAAAGAGCAAATTTGCGTTATCACTCTAGCAAATTGCATGACATCATAGACATTTTGCACAATAACTACCGTTTCCACCGCAATTTTTGTCAATTCACTGTAGAATTGTGTTCTTATGATGATCTAAAAAGCTGATTAAACCACCTCGTTTCATAATAAATGATACCAAATAAACAATTCAGCAAAGAGAATAGTTCTGATAAGAAATAGACTTCGTCACGAGTTTAGATTTATAAACAAACAATTTACAATAATTGCGTTAGTAACAGTGTGCTTATTTCCTCTACTATAGATTCTCTCTCACTACTCACACTCAAGTCTCTGAAAGGATGTATTAAAATGCCCATAGGAAGTCTCGTCTTGTTCAGCAACTCTTTTGTCTCCGGTACTTTCGTCAAAGTACATCGAAAAATGCTGAAATAGAAAAAAGAAGCACATTTAGATGGATCGATTCATTGCCAAAAACACGCCATAAGATGAATTTATTTCCCTCAAGTGCTGATGAATGAGTACTGAATGCTCTAAACGTGATCTTCTGTGACATTTCGTCACACATTTCACGTGTGATCGCATCAAATATGATTGGTCGGCAGTCTTTTGGATGATAAGAGAGAAGAGAGGTGTGCTTAAAATGCGACAAATAGAATCAGCAAATCTCATTCCACCTGATCAAACGAGACAGTTGAAACAAGTGACAAAAATCTTGGGTGTCAAGCGAAACTATGGCATTTGTGAAGTATTTGTGTGTGATCTTAATCTTGACTTTGTCTTCCGCTTTGCCGAATCCCCGTCAGGAATACGATGACGAGTATCGCTTCGAAATAATAGGAGATTTTGACCAAAAAGCAATTTCTCCCGTTCAACCCAATACTTATTTCTCGGATATTCACATTGGAACAGTGAAAGTGCTCAATGACAGTCTTCTGGACATCAAATTCACCGGAGATGTCTTCGATCTTGTCACCAAATACGCTCATAATGGCCGAGGATCTGAATTATCTGAGCTCCTCTTTTTCAATGGCAAAATGTACACATTTGAGGACAAGACAGGCATAATTTTTGACGTCACAGACAATCGACTCGTGCCTTGGGTGATTCTAGGTGACGGATTCGGCAACGAAACCAACGGTTTCAAGTGCGAATGGGCCACAGTGAAAGACGATCACATTTATGTTGGATCCAATGCAAGGGAAAATTTCCTCAATACCGGTGAAATTGAGAATCGCAACAATTTCTACGTGAAGAAAGTGAATAAAGATGGTAAAGTGATTCATGAGAACTGGTTCGAACACTATGACAAGATTAGAAATAGCCTGGAAATGCCCTTTCCCGGATTCATCGTTCACGAAGCTTGCGTTTGGTCACCTATCAATAACCAGTGGATCTTTCTGCCCAGAAAATGCACTCCCCAATCTATCTTTAACGTCACCGAAGACTACATTGGATGCAACAAAATCATCTTCGCCAGTGAAGATTTCTCCACAATTACACACGTAGACATTCAAGCAAATCCTCAGCCTCCAGAGCGTGGATTCTCAAGCTTCAAATTCCTCCCAGATTCTGATGAAACAATCATTGTTGGATTAACAACTGTTGAGACTCCAGAAGCCGTCACAACGTCAATAATAGCAATAGATCTCGAAGGAAGAGTTCTCTTTCCAGAGACGAAGATAATTGATGACAAATACGAAGGTTTGGCTTTTTTCAAGCACGTCATTAGCCAAGGAAACCTTTTGGAAATTGTGTCCTGGAAAATAATCCTTTTGACAGTGTTTCTTCTCCTCAGATAAGTAACTATAACAAGTTCTCTTAATCAAAAATATGTATATGCCAGAAATGATATTTATCAAATCAGTGTTAAATGTTCACTTAGTAAATTAAATAGAGAAAGATTCAGTAAATTTGCAAAAATAAATCAACATGGTGGAAGTAAGATGAAATCTTGTGAATCTATGGGACATTATATGAATATAAATATTTCTCCAATAAATATTTCTTTTTCTTCTACATAACCCTTTAGAGTCAGCAGATCTAACCCAAAGTAACCGGATATTCTTGTTTCCAATTGCAGACCATCTGTATTCCTACACTCATTACTTTCACAATGTTTTCTACATTTTAGAGTTGAGTAATGTCCCGAACCAAACAGAGTTTCTCAATTCCAGATAAACAAACAAATCTGTTGATCACCATTTTTCCATTACTATGGAAAATTAGTATAAAATACCGCACCCTTAGATACCATTCAGTTAAGAGAAGTCTTGCCTATTCACAATGTTTCTCAAGTTCTATTCCATCGCCTTGATCACTTGCCTGATCATTGGAATCATTGAAGCCGCCCCGCGAGCGCTTAGGTTTATTCCCTTTGCCGTCATTGCTGATCTGGACAAAGATTCTATCAAGGATGCGGGAAAGCAGTTCACCAGCATCGTCAAATACGGAGAATTGAGGGACAATGGAGAGAACTATGATCTGACCATGAAGAGTCAGAATCTTCACTACTTCACGCGATTCGCCTACAACGGCAGAGGAGCTGAACTGTCCGAATTGTTGAACTTCAACAGCAAACTTTTCACAGTCGACGACAAAACAGGTATCGTGTTTGAGGTAAAATATGGTGGAAATCTCATTCCTTGGGTGATCCTTGCCAATGGCAATGGCAACAAGCAGGAGGGCATGAAAGCCGAATGGGCAACAAGGAAGGGAGACAAAATGTACGTTGGATCCACAGGACTAATGTGGTATAATGAGAAAACCAAGGAAACAAACAGTGACAGTATGTGGGTGAAGGAAATCAGCAGGAACGGCGAAGTAAAGAGCATCGACTGGCACAAGCAGTACGAAGCTGTGAAAAAGGCTCTTGGCATGACTAATGGATTTGTCTGGCATGAAGCCGTAACCTGGTCATCTCATAAGAAACTGTGGGTATTTCTGCCCAGGAAGTGTACAGCTGAAAAATACAGTAGACAAATTGAAGAGACAACAGGATGTAATAAGATCATTACCGCCAATGAAGACTTCACCAAAGTCAATGCGGTTTCGGTAAGACAATAGCCAAAAGTTTGTCTAATTCAATCTATTCTTCAAACAATTTGGGATTATCTTTTCAGATTACTGACAACAAAAATGATCCTGCCTCTGGATTCTCTTCTTTCAAGTTCATCCCAGGAACTAACAATGAGCATATCTTAGCGATTAAGACCATTGAAAAGGATGGTGCAACAGCAACTTATGCGAAGGTTATCACATTGACCGGCAAGACTTTGCTCAGCAAGAAAATCCTCGATACCAAGAATGAAGGTGTCGAATTCATGAGAAACCCCCAAGGAATTGTTTAAAATGTCACGTAAACAATTGTGAAAGCGGTCCATCACTAAAACTGAAATAAAAAGTTTTCACGATGGTCAAATTATAATTTTCCAATGCAATTTGGCAAACAAGATGCTTAGTTTTGAATTACAGATTTTCTCTTAAATGCGCGTGCAAATATAAATAGTGCATTTGTAGCTGCAATATTGTTACATGATCAATTTCCAATTCAAATTATCAAGATAACTATCTTATATACCAATCACTAATTATTCCGCATTACATTAGAAATTCTTCATCAACAATTTGCTTAACCACGCAAACATCCAGTTTCTATTCTTCTTACAAACAAGAGATAAAAACCCCGAGATAAAATGCCTATTCTGAGAGAATAATAAAACCCCAAAACACTGTGTGTTTTCACTCTTATACCAACTCGAATAATTCGACGTTATCAGTGAGACATTCGCTTTAGTTTCTGTCTACTCCTTATCAAGAGGTGATTGTATGCAAAAAGACCGTCTGGACTATCAATCCACAACAAAAAGATAAATTTACTCACTCGGGACTGCAGTTGACCGATTCCTGGAACTGCTGATTTAGCCTTATTACCGGTGGCTGCACTTTCTCCGGCGGCAGGATGTGCCTATTCTCCAACAGGTCTACCGACTCATTGCCCCACAGCCTGTTGAAACCCGCATGACTACTGGCCATGTTAGCCACATTATTCACAAAAGGATGCTGCTGGTTCTGGAACTGTTGCTGCGGTTGCTGCTGCTGACCCTGGTTCTGATACGGCTGCTGACTCTGATACTGCAGCGGTTGCTGGTGGGCTTGACCATTGAAGGGCTGTTGCCTGGAATAAAACTTCGCAGTTAGTTTAGGCTAGCAGAAGAAGAGAGTCAGAAGTCTCACCCTGTTGGCTGCTGCGGATACGTAGGTCTTGCCGGCGACGGCGCATAATTGGAGTTGAGGGTCATATTCTGCATCCCTGCGGCCACATTAAAACTCTGGTTGGGTGTGGAAGTCTTGAGGGGCGCGAAAGCCGATGAAGGAGGCGCTGGTCGCGATGCTGGCGTGACATTGTTGTTGAAGTTGCTCTGACTAGTGGCGATATTGGCACTCGGGGGCATCCTTTGGGCGTTCCACACACTTCCAGGAGGCATTTGGGGCGCAGCATTGGGCACCGGTGGCAGCTGAGACGCTGGAATAGCGCCCCCGAAGGCCGGAGACGCCGTTCGCGAAGTCGTTCCGCTCCCATTCACCAAATTCATCTGTGGCGGGAGTTTCTGGGCCATCGGTGGCATCGCCTGGGGCAGCTGTGACAGATTCGGTGGATACATTGACTGTCCGTTGGCATTCATCTGCGGAGGCGCCCCATTTGGCATGTTTAGCTGATTGTGGAACAACGGTTGCCGCTGCTGATCGTACGACATGTTAACCGCACTTTTTCGCAACACTTCACACGCAGAGCCTGGAAAGAGACATTGAATGCATAGAATTACTGATCCACCTGATCACACAATTTGCTAATATTAAAAAAAAATAGTGGAAAAACATAACATATTGCGTAATTTTTAGAGAAAACGTTGACACAACAGTTTTACAATCCTTCCTTGTTGCTCCAAGAACCGCGAATACTGTTTTTCAAAATTTTATAAGAATTTCAAGCATTCCAGGAATACAGATTCCCCTTGAGATCATTTATTCTCATAAATATTTCATCAGACTTTCTTATCAAATCTTTCGCGTACTTGGCGTGAAATTTCACCGAAATGCCTCACTTGGGAGTTTCTTTGCTTCAGTGAACTCGCTCGAAAGTGAGTCTTTCGCGGCTGGAAAATGGGTCAGAGACAGTTATTCGACCAATTACATAATCCAGGGCACTACAAGCCACTTCTTGGCCACTTTTTTCTCCTGGCATCTCAAGTTCAACTGGAACCAATTTGAAGGTTGACTTAGCCTTTTCTGCACACTCACCTTGGCGACTCTATGACTTTCCTTCCGACACGATGCGTCTCGCGAAGGTAAGTTGAATGCGCCCGTTTTGGGTGTTAGAAGAGGCCCAAAAGATGCTATAATTAACCTTCATAAGTGAGTGATATTGACCCAAAAATCTCATTTATGTCTAGAGTTTCCTTCAGCAACTCCCATGTCATAACCTCACACTTCGGCCAGACACTTCCCAGTCAATTACTGACCAATTGGTCGTCCAAATAGAGTGAATGATAGTGAATAATGGTAGTGGTAATTGAGGAAATTACCTTAGACGCTCTTGGGGAGGACTTTCAATAAGAATTGATGCACTAGGGGCTTTTTTCGCACACGTAAACACGGTGGCGGATTTCACAGGATTCTGCCACCTTCTGCCCACGCGATTGAATTGCTTTTTGATTAACTTCCTTGGCAAGGCTACTAAGATGAACTTCTGTTATAACAGAGACACGCCAGGGCACATTTTCATACAGAAAATCCACGAAAAATATCACGAATGATTTACACCAGCACTTTTTCACCACCGCTGACACATCAACTGACAGCAGCGACGTGGCCGGTGTTGCCAGAAGTCGCAAATTCAGCAACTTTTGCACAAGAGTGGTGAGTTTTTCCTACGAACGGGAAATGCACGTAATTCCACACACTTCACATTATTGTCTCTAAAGTTTGCAATAATATTATGCGGATATGTAAATTTTTTTTATATACCTGATACACCGCTGCGAGCATTAAATTTCAATTTGAAAAATCAAGTGCTCACCAGCAGGTGCGCTGACTCGCGCACGCGGGTAACACTACTATCTAAGCGCCCTCGGTGCCCCAATCAGTGAACTCGATCATGTGTACATTTTTTGTTCAGCACAAAAAGAAAACGCTTGGAAAAATCAGTCTCTCTCGCAATTCCGTCGCGTCGAACCGTCAAGAGTGTGAATTGGTGAAGTGACAAAGAACTGGGCGGTGGGAATTGCAGGTGAAAGTGGTGAAAATGCTTGCTAATTGGCATCTGTGACTGTTTTCAACTGTTTTGTTGTGACCCGTGCGAGGACTGCTGAGGAATTTTCACACTTTTCCGTGAGGGCGGAGGATGATATAACGCTCGAAGGTGGAAAAGCGGCTCTATCGACGTTCAGGAGGAAGCTGAAACCTGGAATTTCACCAGGATGAGGAGCGGCGACAGCACCAAAACGTCCTCTGACATTGAGAATGTGGAGTGGAGCGTCGGGACGACCGCGGGACACATGCCAAATGTCGTAAGGTGAGTGAATTCTCCTGTGTCCTCCTTTCCGTACGATCATTGCATACTTCGAGCAGACAGCCCATCCGGGAGGCTTCGATCGGTGCCAATCAGCTGATGCCCGACAACAATAAAGAGTGTTTTTCTCGTGAAATAATGGAAAGCGCAAACCAGACACGATTTTCCTAGGATTCCAATTCAAAGAGATTATGTATCACGTTTATGGCGAACACAAAATAGGGGACGGAAAAAAATCAGAAAAAACTGAAAAGCTGGGAAAGCTTGTGGGAAATGGATTCACAAGCATAACAAATAATAAAAGTTGGTGTGAAAATTGCGATTAGGGTGAACTTGAGCTTCGTTCATATGAATTTTAGAATAAAAATAATTACCAATTAGCTAAATGCACTGACTCCTCGGTATTTGTTCATTACCTGAACTGTTGGTTTTTCTAGTTTTAAGAACTTGAAAGAACCTTTGTTAATTTTATAGTTTTCAATACAGAAATAACAAGCCTATTAAGTGATTACAGTGTTACTAACTTCACAAACTATGCTAAAATGTAAACATTCAACTCAAAAGAGAAAATCCCGCACATTAATATGAATGGAGCCTCATTTGCTCTATAGTCAGCTGATTTCATGCTTCTTTTTAAAACGTGTCGAATCCACTTCATAAGGAATTCTACAAGACTTGATGCAAGCTTAGAGAAAAGAATGAATATTACATGAATGTCAATGAATATTACAAATTAAATGTGATATCAAGTCACTAATGTAGTCCAAAAAGGTCAGCTGAATTCTTGATGTCATTAAGTGATAAGAACTGCCTTTAGGTCGTGAATACCAAAGGCTAATTTATGCGATGAGTCAATTTCACATTTAGAAATTAAGTGTTGTTAAAAGAAATTAATCTTTAAGTTGCGATAGCTGTGATTTCTGGAAGAAAACTTGCAGGGAATTCCAATGAAAAACAACAGAGTCTCTACTTTGTGTTTATTTTTAATGAATGCCATCAAAAGATAATAAAAAGGCAGGAAAATATACTCGAAAGACATCGTGTGGATGTCTCTCTTTACGGGCTAATCCCTGCGATGGAATGGATGGAAGATGCCCGTAAAATTGTCCAAAATAGGACAGATAAGATGGTGTGTAAGAGATGAGACAAATCCATTTTATTACACAGATATTCTGCTGAAATTTTCTAAATCAAAAACAAACAAAACGTGACTCACAATATGAAGAAAAAAAATAGGAAAAGAAAGGAAAAATCATTGAAATATTATCGCATTTGAGTGAATTTCCTTGAGATATTGTTGGTTCTTTTCACACAATTTGCACACTATCTTTCGCCTTCTTCTATAGCTGATAATTCGATGATATCAGAAACGGGGAGTTTCATGACCACACTTCATGAAGAAAACTCCTCGCTTGACAAAAATAATTGAATGTTCTCGAGTTGGCGGGGAGAATTCTGGTGGGAAAATGTGCAGAAAATGTGGTAAATTCATTAAATGTCGTTGACTTTATCTCTCATGGCCTCATTGTGATTCCCAAGACTGTATTTGGGCAATAATTATTGTGTAATTGACTTAACAGAAAGTCAAAAGAAAAATCGAATGCGGAATATATACTTTTCGCTCTATTTTGTCGTCCAGAAGAAGTTGAAGGAACGATGAAGAGTGTTTACATTTCTCTATTTATTTATCCGGCCTCTTTGGGGGCTTTGTCCCTCTCCTTTTGACGTCTTCTGCCGAAGAAACATGATAATTTTTCACGCTCTACGAAGCCCCACGCGGAGAATTTCAATGAGGGATTATTATTGAGGAGACGAAGTGAGACTGTTAAAGATATTAGTACGAAAAAAGAGACTCAATTCTGACTTTAACTATTCATTAGGCAAGGAGTTAAATGGGCTCGAGTAGTGCAAAAAGGCGATAAAAGTGAGAAAATTGAAGGCTGTCGTGTTTTCACGAGAAATGCTATATTGAGATAGATTGCATGGCAATTACACAACACAACAGTTCTGAAGATATTCACGACAGCATCGGCAAATCTATAAAACTTTTTCTAACAGTCTGGGAAAATACACACTCTCACATCAAATTAATTTCAGCATTGTTGACTTCACTTGAAATTACTATTCTGACATTCGGAAAAAAAAATCAGCTCTCTCGATTGGGGCCGAACTCATTTTCTGCACACATGAAGAAGAAAAATGTACACGCTAAAAATCTTTTATCACTCCGTAAAGTAGGAATGGCGCAAAAAATGCCTCCGACTCGCACTTTAACTGTGGCGGTTTAGCCAATTAGACACATTCTGATGATTGTCTCTGTTATTTTGTTTTCGTCCGTCTGTTGAGATGAGGACTGATTGAAAGAAATCATCTCAAATCAACCGCAAAATTCCATTACATAATTTTGCGGGCGTTACAAGAAAAACGACGACTGACGTGTGAGAATAATCACTTCCTTACGCCCCGTGTGAATTATTGCAAAATCGACTCTCTTATACACATTTTCCATTTGCCATCAATTTGCAAATTTATGCGGATTTTTTCATGGGCACTTTTGTTTACCTTTCATGTGCCTATTTGTCCGAATCGCCACGGCAAAGGTGTGACTGATCGGTGTCCAAAATAGAGATCCGATTGTGCTATTACATTGCTGAGAGTATCTTTTACTTGTTAAAATAATCACATTCATATCTTTTGAGGAAGAAATTTAAAAAATCTCGAGCTATGGCAATTTTCTCTAGAACTTGAAGAATCATAATTATTCGCTATCTGGTGTTTATCAATATTCTTTTCTTGATTAGATATCGTAAGTGGATGGGGATTTACTTGAGTCTATCTAGGATTTACAGTCTCTATTTTCTTAATTCTGTTTACAATTATCTATTAACACGAGATTAGAGCAGCGGAATGGGCTCAAGTCACGTCCATAGGATTAGTGATCTTGCAAACATACGGATTATGGCTCTTCTCCTTCTTTCCATTAAATAAATATTTTAAATTCAATTAGAAGAGCAACATAGTGTTACTCGACATTCAATTATTTCTCTTCATTACTGCTCTCTGTGAACTAAACGAAAGAAGTAAAGTGCATGTTTGGTGAAAACGATGAGGGAATGTGTAGCATTTTAATGGTATTTTCCACCATTTGGGATTAATCAATTGAATTGTCCATCGAGACGCACAGTGAAAGTGTTGGTGGGATGTTCGCTTGTGTCTCTCATCGTAATTATCTTATCACAACATGTTCGACACTCTCAATTATTCTTGATAGTGTAAATAATTAAATATTTCGAAGGAATGCGCTGTCATGTTCCATTTACACGTTGGTGGAAATGACCCAAGCACAGGGCCATTTTCATTACTTATTCATAGCGTCAATAGAAATAGTTTTGTAGTCTCTAAGATGAGAAGAGACAGAGAGAGATGGTTTTATTTTTTGTTATTTTTAGGGACAATAGTGGAGGCGCGTCTTTAGTCCCATTTTTTTTTTAATTCTCCTGTCGCCAATGCACAAAAGTGAAGGCTTCTCTCCAAGGACCCCTCCTGCCGCCCACCCGAAAAAAAAGTAGTGTGTCCGTTCGTGGAGAGGAGGAATAAATATCGAGGCCGCCAATCAATAGGGTCACGGTGGACAGAAAAACCACACCGAATGGTTTCTTTCAGTGAAGCATACAAATTATAGGACAATTTCACTTGCAATAATTACCACTAATTGACAGAGGGACAATGAGAAATGTTGTCCTGGGCAAAAATCGATAAAATGTTCATTTGGAGTTCAAAGTCAGTAAAGTTGGTGGGAAGAAAAGGCGGTTAATAGGGTGTATTTGAGTCCAGGAAATATCATGGTGCATACATTTTATGTGGTGGTATTTTTTTGCAGGAAACACGATATATAATTTATTTTATTGCTTTGAAAGGTGGAATCGTAAAAATATGCAAAATATGATTTCATTGAGTAAATAACACTGAACTTTAGCGATGAATCTTGTGTATTTATCACGTTTTTTCCGCACAATTCATGAGATAATCTCAAAACATGGCTTTCTCGCGCACATTTTCAAGATGACAAAGAGAATGTGTTATTGAGAATATACTCTAAACTTCTTAAATATACATTAAAGAGGAGTTCCTTAAATACTCTTATTTAAAAAAAAAAATCATTTATTAGTTTATCAAAAATAAACTTGAATGGTTGCTGAGGGTCATTCGTTTATTGATGGCGCGGCTGAGTTGAAATGTGTGCTTGTGTCTCAATAAAAACGCTCAATATACCAATCGATATTGAGTAGCTTTCATAATGGGAAAGTAATTTTATCTGACAGTACAAAAATAGATTTATAATGTTCATGAGCGCAAAATGGGAAGCGAGAAATTGTCACTTTCACCGGCTGGTAAAGTATACATATATATATATGCAAAAATTGTGGTTGGAAAAGGCTTGTGTGTGCTCTTGAATGAAATCAGTGAAATTAATGAGTGAGTCCTTCACTGTGACTTTTGGTGATTAAGTCCCACTCTGAGAGAGTCATTCTCCGATTTGGTGGTGCTGAGAAGTGCCATGTTATTTTATTTATTTCTATTTTTGTCCTGTACATGGTCAAGACAGTCGACACATTCTTGACTGTCGTCATATGATGACGCTAAAGTCTTTGCCTTCCTCTAGGAGTGTAACTTCACTCCTCACGGTCATCGCAATTCCCTACGTCCTCCGGCTCAATGGCAAGGCGTATTTTGACGGGTTTTATTCGTATTACTTTGCAGATTTGGCTCGTCGAGCAGCCAGGCGTCGCAAAGCAGCGGTGATATCTGTCGGATTTGCCACTGCGAGAGTGACCCGCTGAATCCCCTCCTCACGCCCTGCTACTGCTCAGGGAGTCTCAAGTATGTCCATCAGGCGTGTCTTCAGCAATGGCTCACGGCCTCGGAGACAAACGCGTGCGAACTATGCAAATTCCCATTCATTATGCACACCAAAATTAAGCCATTCAATGAGGTAAGTGGCCCCGAAAAACCCTTTGTCCCTCCTTGTTTGAAAATTACAATCGAGACTATTAACTTTAGAATTATATGCGCAGCGCATTAAGAAGAGGAAAGCCATGACATCACGTGTCCCAATTGGCATTATCACGCACGATACAGGTTCAGAACACTCTGTAGAAAAATACAAAAAGAAGCACTTTTACCCTATTAAACTTTATTTCTGTTTTGGTTTTCTTATCTCTCTACTTTCCGTGATAATCTCTACATAGGTTACACGATTGTGAAGTGATTAGTTTGCTATTTTGCCAAAGCTATTCAAAAATGATGAAAATCGCAAAACATTCCCAAGCTGTACAATAACTTATGAGGTTCTTGGCTTGAAAAGTGCAAACTCTTCCACTTTTAATTCTCTGTGATAGCAAGGCTAATGGCATTCACTGAATTTAAATCTTCCTTAATACACTTAAGACCACAATTAATGATTTTTAAGACATGCGTTATTGTCTACGAAAGAACGAACTCAAAAACTTTTGAGGTATTGTAGATAGGTTTGATTTCAGTTCAGATTTTTCCACACAGATTTTCTCTCAATATGCTCAATATGTAAGAGATCACGTGTATTTGCCTTTTTCACACTTTATCAATCATTTATGATCTCTCGCTATGCGTATCTCCTTAATTATCATTCCCCTCCACTTTATCGATTGAGTTTCTGCAGTTTGCAAATCTTATCGTCTAGCGAGCGATGAAATAGGCGGATGTGTGGTTTCCTGACACCTCAGTAAATATTCATCAATATAACGCTGATCGCAAGAGAGAGAGAAAGAGATTATACCATATACATTGTATTGGGCAATTCACCAATCCATTCACCTCAAATGCTAATTCCTCTCGCGGAGGTTGAATGCAGCCAGACTGGATTGGATCTTGTGACCAAACAGCTGGAATGTAGAATTGCGCAAGTGACTGAAGAGAGTGTCTTTCTTTATCTTCCAGTGGCGCAGCCTCGACATGTCGGGCGTTGAGAGACGTCGTCTATTTTGTGCTGTGCTCTTCCATTGCGCCGCAGCGCTTTGTGTCATCTGGTCGCTTTGCGTCCTGATTGAGAGGGCAGCTGAAGAGGTCAAGAGGGGTCTCATTGGCTGGCCCTTTTGGACGAAGCTTGTCGTAGTCACGGTGGGCCTGACGGGCGGTGTTGTCTTCATGTACATCCAGTGTCGGCAATATTTGCATCTCTGCAATCGCTGGAGGGCCAGAAATAGGTGAGACAATACCTAGAAATGGGAATTGCAGATATATGGCTAACTCTCAATCTTATATCTACAGAATACTGCTCATTCAGAATGCTCCTGAGAAAATCCACCAGATTCAGTCTTCGTCTCCAATGATGTCTCAGCGGCCATTTCCGCGCAACGGGAGTTCCTCCACAACAGGGAATTATCCTGTAGGTGCCACAGCAGCCAATCTGGGTCAGATGTACGCCCGTCCGCCCAGTCATGGAGAGATTGTGGCCAACATTGAGAACAATCATCTCAACTATGATCGCGACTGGACGCTGGATGATGTGAGTCAGATGTCCTTCAAGCCATGCCCCCAAGGATCTGGCAGCATGACTCCACTCGCCTTCCACGATTCTGTGCACAACATTTATGAGCAACCGTCTGGAAATACCTCGAGATCCAGTCAAGAGCACATAATATCGGCACCAGGAACGAGTCGAACGGGTGATTTGAGTTTGTTCAAACTGGGAAATGCCTCTTCTGCAGTTTTCCTGGAGAATCGAGACATCCTGAATGACGGAGCGTATCCGAAAGTGACTTGTCGCCACTCAAGTGTGGGAATAAATCCATTGGAAATAACTGAGGGAATAAGTAAGGACACTAGACGGTTCTCAGACACGAAACTCCTGCAGCATTCCACAGATCCAGTTGCCAGTGATGCCATTTTCAATGTTACAAATCTTCTGGGGCCCTCAATTCCTGCCAAATGCGACGCCACACCGCAGATCACGGACATCATCTTCGAAGCTGGCAGTAGTTTCGATCCGCTGGAATTAAACATTCAGGAGATGCTGGAGCTGGACATTCAGCAACAGAAGAAATCACAGTTGTCTCTCAATGCCAATTCCGCCAAGGCAATCTTGCTGCCCGGCGAGACGGCCAGGAGTCGACCGTTGTTCAAGTCTCTGCCAAATCTGAGTGGCAGCAGTGAGAATTTGCTGCAGAAGCAGTGAAAAATTTGATGTTTAAAATGTTCACTTGAACGATTAATCCATCCTATTATAGATGACAAAAAAAGGCGGAGAAACACTCTCAGGCGCAATCCTAAAGAAAGTTCTCTAGTTCAACATTGAATATAAGCTCTCGTAAAGTTTCTACAGCTGCTCTTCGTGTTCCATTTCTCTGCAATTGAACCCCTTTTCTCGTGATGACAATGCGCGGCCTGAGAGATGTTGCTCGACAACCGCCTATAAGACAAGTCCCATCCTTTTTAGTGAAACTGAGAGTCACAGTGGGAAGAGGTAACGACAGAAGAATGGAAAGGATAACAATCCACGACAGTGTTAGATCCTAAATTTGATAATTGTAGGAAAGCATAAATTTACCTAGTCATATATGATTTTTTGCAAACTTGGTAAGAGTTTTTAGCTGTAGTGTTCATGTTTTCTCTTTCTCTGCAAATTCTTCTTTTTTTTATATTAATTCTATGTTTACATTCACTTTACATTACTTAGCAATATTTTTGTTTGTGTAAAAGAAAAAGAAAGTCTTTCAGCAAGAACAGTTTTTTGGGATGAAGAGAAGAAAATTTGTAAAAGAAAATGAAAAGATAGTTCCACGTCTGTGATTTATTTTTATAGAAGTGCGTGAAAAAAATTATTTAAAGGACATAATTTGTCAAGAACTGTGTGAGAGAAGATAGGACAATGTAGGAGAGGAACATACAATTATTTATTACTCTAATCTACAATTAATGTTTATGGAAATAAAAGAGGAATCTGGCCGGATTCTGGATTGATGGACAAGATGGAATAAAGCCAAGTATGAGAGTTTTATTGGAAAATTTTCAAGTCCAAAATAAATATAGTGTTATTTTGGAGAAAAGGCTCTTTTCCTTAGAACTAGTAATACATAATTCTCTTTCAGGATCATCTGTGCGAAATACTAAATTTGAACTGAACTGTAATTTCAATTCTTTAGAAATGCTAATCAAACAACTGAATAGGACAAGGCATTATTTAATTCCAAGGCTGTGCAAACAAGGTTGATATTCAGAGATTTCTTCTCTAGGGAGTGTTCCCTAGAAGTCAACCTTTAAGGAATTGCAACAATACCTTCCAAAGCTTTCTTCTTCTTCATCGCTTCATACTCTTCGGGATGCTGTCTTTTCTGGTGAACATACTTATTTGCGTTGCTGTTAAACAACTTCGGACAGAAGAGACAAGAATAAAGGATCTGATTCGATGTGTGAGTTGCAACATGCTCCTTCAAGTAGATGAGCCTGTTAAATGTCTTTTCGCAGAGATTACACTTGTACTTCTTCTCGCCATGAACAATTCGTATGTGTCGATTTAGGGAGCTTTTGCTCGATGACTGTCGGTCGCAAATGTGACACCGAAACACCTGGTCAGATTCGTTATGGCGCTTTATGTGAATCTTCAGCTGCCTCTCGGTGAAGATTTTACCACAAATTGGACACGGAAAAGTCTCTTCCTTCTCGCCTGTGTGTACTTTCTGATGTCGCACGAAGGACTCTTTGTTCTTAAACATTTTGGCACAAATCTCACACACGTGATAGGAGAACTCCTCATGCACGTATCGGATGTGAATCCTGAGATTTGCTCGAGCGGGAAACGCCTTGCCACACTCCAGGCAAATATGCTTTTTCTCGGAATCCTTCAGATGAGTGGAGGAATGATTTCCCAGTCGGTGTTTGTTCATGAAAGTCCTCGGACATTTCGAGCACTTAAATATGTGCTTTTCTTGCGGTGTGTGGCTGTTCACTTTGTGCAGCTGCAAGCCCACCTTATTTTTGAAATTTTTGCCGCACTCCTGGCACTTGAAAATGTCGGGATTCATATGAAAATCAATGTGCTGAAGCATCCGGGAAAGGCGACTCAGCTTCACTTTGCAGCAAAAAACGTAGGCTTTTCTCTTGTGAACGGCTGGATAGTGAGCCTGAAGTTCCTTTAATTTGGAGAATTTTTCCGGACACTGATTGCACTCCAGCTTGTAGAAATCTTCAATTCTCTTGTATTTGTCTTCTAGGTTCCCCGTGGAATTCAAAGGCTGCAGTAAATCCTCCTGGGCGTCATGATCCGGGTCATCAGCCTCCTCAGTCATTTCTTCAGTTTCTTTCGCCTCATGTTTGATAGCTTCTTGCGGAATTTGCGGATCAGGACTCTCTCTCTTCGATGGTTGCTCCTCATTTAAGTCTTCCTTCTCAACTTTGATGTCAGACACAGGCTTCACGTAAACCACTTCAATTTCTGGTTTAATCTCAGTCTTTCTTCTGCTTTCAGTGTATCTATATTCCCCATAGAGATCTTTGAGGCACTTTTCGCTTTCGCGAACTCTCGACATAAAGTCTATGCAAGCCTTCGCGGAGTCCAAGCATTGCTGGCAGATGAACTTTGGCCAGTTGTCCATCTTCTGAATCTGGAACACAAAAACACAGGAATAAGGGAGAGAATTGCTAAACTAGCCCAGAATCCGAAATACAGACCATCAATCCAAAACAAGATTTCAGGGTTTCGTGAAGATCATCCTGGAAAATTGAGGAATAATCCAATGTATTGCCAACGCAGAAGCGACAAACTTCGTCACTATTTGAGATGATCTCTTCCTTCACTGAGATCTCGAGATTAAGACTTCCACTGCTGCTGCTGCTGCTAGATAAGCCGAGGTGCGGAACAGCATTTCTTGTAAGTCGTGAACTGCTCTCCTTGTAATCCTCTGCATTGAAATGTTTATAGCAAACAAGGCTCTTTTTAGTGACACTCTTCACATTCAGTGCTCTCTTCCACTCTTCCCTCTTGCTTGGTTTATTGGGAAACCTAAGAGGAGAGAACCTGTATTATTAAATCTTCTGACTTTGGGAAGCTAAAGTAATGAAATTGACGCAAAATTTACTTGTGGAAAAAGATTTTCTTGCTCTGACTAAAATCTCCAGTGACAGACGTCGTAGAACATCCATCAACTATGCACACAGGTTTTGGAGGATTTTGCCTTGACTTCCGCATGTCGTTTGCTTAATATATTGCAGAAACTTAGTGAAAATTTAGAAATTTTCTTCTCTGGTGCAAAACGCGAAAACCGCTTATTTATTTATACTTTTTGACACTTCAAAATGTCATTCGGCGACGCGCAAAACCCGCGCTATGCACTCAAGGGACGAAGAGTTTAAGATGTTGTGTACATTTGTGAAATATAGCGACCGCGGGAGCACGACAGCACGAGAATACGATGACTTCTACAACATAAAATTCATCAATATTCTCGTAAATATACAATACAAACCATTTATACTTCTTTAAAATAGAAAAATCCGAACAATCTCAAGGATAATTCCGATAATTGGCAACATTTCTGTACGCAAAAATTTTTCTGATGCAGAAAACCCAGAAAACATGTAACGAAGAATATTTTAGGTATTATTGCTGCTGTTATTGACTGTTCTCACCTGTTTCATAACAAAAGAAGACAACGAAGATATTTATTTGTTGTAATGGTTGTATTAAAGAAACAACTCTGAGTTCAAAAATAACTTCAATTTTTTAATACTTCATTCAACACAAATTTAACATTAGGTTCTCACATTATTGCTTATAACCAATGCCTATATCGCCTATATCCTTTATATTTCAATAGATTCCCGTTTGAATATGTTGTATCAATCTTATTTTAGAGTTTTTGCGAATATGTTCCGGAATTTCATGAAGAATCATATTTATCTCCGTGATTTCCAGCGTCTTGGGCCGTTCGTTTAGGAATGGCAACAGTCGGTACAAGAAGCTTCTGAAAACGCCATATGCTTCCTGTAGCTCTATGTGTAGTTTAATGCGTGTCAGCAAGCGGCAATTCCTGAGGAACTCCACTAGACCATTTTCGGTGACTTTTTCGCAGCCGAAAATTTCAACCTCTTGAAGACTTTGGCTGTTCGGCGAAGTCGATAGGTGAATCAGATGTTCATCCCTCAAAGCGCTATTCCCTCGGAATTTCAACACCTTCAACTTGGTGAAGGAACAGAGCGCACGCAAAGTGTTTTGCGTGAAATAGTTTGCAGAAAATGTAAGATGCTCGAGATTATTCCAAGTGGTTAATTTTAAAAGGCACAAATCGAAATTGAAATTACGATTTCTGTCCACAATAATCGCTAAGTGCCATATGTCCAGGTAGACGAAGAGGGAAAAGAGGCAGTCGTCATTTAATATCAAAAGTGACGTCTTTTCCTCCAATTCTTGGGTGGGGTCGAGTGTTTTACGAGTTTCGTCTGCTGTCTCCTTAATTTCCTGATTCGCAGACTTTCCAGCTTGAAACGAAGTTTCTTCTTCACATTTCTTCAAATTGTTGGATAATCTGTCCATCATTTCTTTGTTAATATCTTTTTTGTAACTTTCTATCCCTGACTCAATCACTGCTTATTATGGCTTCGGCAGTTTCGGCGTCGTCTTCAGAAAGATTTTCGAAATTCTTACAGAGATCGCCCTATAGCAAAAATTTCTTTCTCTCCTAGGTATGTCCATAGATATTTCATTGGAGTTTACAATGTACAGTCCAAGAAGTTCATGATTTCAGAAAATAAAATTCATTTCAATTTTGAAAATTTCATTTGTTTCAATTTCGTACAGATAAGAAATGAATATTTTTTTTAGCTACAAAATTTCATGTCCGGAAAAAAACCCAAATATTGGCAAATTTTCTTTACACTTTTGGGACGTTTTAGTCGATTTATTGTTATTTATAGAAATATCCTTTTAGATACACGAACTGAAATCTCGCTCAGAAACTAGTTTTGCGACTTTCAATCTCCTCAAGTAATGAGAAAGCTGTTTGCCGCTTTTAATTAGACCAAATCAAAATTGCATCGCCAGAAGAGACCAGGAATAAAACCCAAAAACACTTCTTGTCATCTTTCCTTTAATCATCTTTATATTAGGTCCACAACAAATGCGGAGCGGAAAGAATTATATGATGCCGATCTTGTTGGCAATGTCCAGGGCGTCATAATCCCGGGCCAGCCTTACGTACGCCTTCTTCTTGCCGTCCGGCTGGATGAGGAGGTTCACCTTGGCCACTTTGATGTCGTACAACTTGCGCACGGCCGCCCGCACGTGATGCTTGTTGGAGCGCAGGTGCGTGAGGAACACGAGCGTATTGTTGTCCTCGATCTTCTTCATGGCCGCTTCCGTGGTCAGCGGATACTTGATCACGTTGTACGCGTCCATCCTATTCCTCTTCGGCGCCGACTTGCGCGAGTACTTGGGGTCACGCGGCAGCCTCAGCGTCTTGGGGCGACGGAAGTGCACGGACGTGCGGATCTTGCGTGTGCGCGTGCCATTTGGACCCTTAACAACCTACAAAGAGAACATGTCTCAGTACTGATTGTATGCCCGATTTAAGGGATTTATCTAGGATTATTCATCAGACATTGCTAGGTTGTTTTCACTGAAGCTTCCTCAAAGAGATTCCTACAGAATTATCATCACTTTTCGGTCACAGGATGGAAAACCATCCTTCAAAAACTTTCAACTCACCTTCGTCGCTGTCCTCTTAGCCTTCGCAACAGCAGCAGCCTTGGTCTTTGCCGTTCCCTTCTGCACCTTTCCAGCCGGTCCTGCGGCTCCCTTCGCCTTGGCCAATTTCGCCTTGGCAGCGGCCTGCTTCTTCGCCACAGGCTTCGACACAGCTCCAGGTTTCTTCGTGCCAGCGGGTTTCTTAGCCTTGGCATCCTTAGCGACGGGTTTCTTAGCTGGGGCGGCCTTCTTGGCAGCCGGAGCAGCAGCTGGAGTCTTGGCAGGAGTCTTCTTAGCCGCGGTCTTCTTCTCGGCGGCCTTCTTCTCCCCAGCCGGAGCAGCAGCGGGCTTCTTGGCGCTAGCAGCAGTGGCTTTCTTCTCTGCTGGCTTCTTGGGAGCAGCAGCACTCGTGCTGGCGGCCGTCTTCTTCTCAGCGGGCTTCTTCTTATCACCCGCCGGGGCGGGTTTCGAAGTTCCAGCGGCCGCTTTGGGGGCAGCAGCAGCCTTAGGGGCCGTGGCTACCTTCGGGGCGGGCGCTACCTTCTTCTCCGCAGGCTTCTTCTCGCCAGCAGGCTTCTTCTCAGCTGGCTTCGCCGCCGGAGCCGATGCTGCGGGCTTTGCAGCGGCTGGTTTCTTCTCTGCCGGCTTGGCGGCCCCCGAAGTGGAGGCTGCTGGGGCAGCGGCGGCAGGCTTCTTCTTCTTCTCATCGGGTTTCCCCGCTGCAAGCAAATAAAAAGGAAAAACTCCGTGAATAGCAAATAAACAATCATCACACTCGCTATAAAATTGAGGTTATGTCAGGATTGCTGCTCCATGTGCAATTCCCAGCAATTCCACAAGATCTCCCCCGATTAACTGTAATCCTTTGTCGCCAACACTTTCACTATTGATCAAATGGCAATTTTACTACTATCCAGTCCACTTTGACCTCCACCCTGAGCAAGAACTACAGAGAAAACCATTCCGACCGCGTGGCGTTTTGTACACACACCCAATTTTTACACATAAAAGTGCCTTTTCGCAAAGAAAACACCCTCTTTTGGTAAATCAACACTTGCGGAAAACATTGGCACAGGAGGAAAAGGTAAATTTGCGATGGAAAACGTTGAAAATCGCGAAAAATCCTTACCGGGCTTGTCAGTAGGCTTTTTCGGTGCCATTTTCTGGATAAAAGAGAGAAATGTGACATTGACAGTTGCCAACGGAACTCGCACTGCAGCGCTCGGGGCGAAAATGCTCTGAACTATTTATTTGATGGATAAAGAAAAGTTTGAATTTTGTAACTGATTCATAGAATTAGGTCAAGAATTTTTATAAATCTCCTTGCAGATGACTCTTGTCTTTTATCTCTCAAAAAATTCATATTTATTACAAAGAGCTTATGAGTAAGACGATTAATTGATTTTAACTATCCCTTTGTCATTTGTTGTGATAACATCTGAGCAAATTCCATGAACTTGAGTAAATGCGATAAGAAAAAAGGCCAACAATGGCAAAGAGATTTGCAGAAAGACTCACGAAAATATTTGCAAAGAGGTAATTAGTTTCTCTGAACCAGGAAAATATTTCAGTTGCTCTTCAGTATCTGTGAAGAGTGCCTCGAGGCTCTCTGAAAATATGCTTAGATTTGGTTCACTAACGTAAATCTCTGTACATGATGTAAGAAATGTGTTGCAGTGATTAGTGAAACATCCGTAGACTTACTGATTCGTTTTAGACGCCTTTCGCCCACCAATATGAGGAAGATCCGAAGATATTTGTCTGGAGATGAGCTTGAGAAGCGCCTGATCCGATACTTTCAGCGCCCGCATAGACTGAACATCACGCCGTACGTGAATGAGGACTTCTCCAGCCACTGTTTGGAGCTCACGAATGGACACAAGGATTTGCTGCTGTTGCCCACTGACGACATGCTCGCGATGAGGAAAGTGATCTTCGTGGGCGAGAGCGCAGTCGGGAAGACCTCGCTCATCACTAAATTCTACTACGGGGAGTTCGATCCCTCTTACACGTCCACTTTGGGTATCGACTTCCAGCTAGAAAGATTCGTGGTGCTCAACTGTGAACATCGGCTGCAATTGTGGGACACTGCTGGCCAAGAAAGATACCGCGCCATAGCGATTCCCTTCTATCGGGGATCTTCGACAATCGTGTCCATCTTCGACATGAGCAATCCTTCCACGATTGCCAGTGCCATTGACTACATCTCCATTGCAAGACTCCACTCCCAGACGGTCAGAAATTCTCCGACTCCCACTTTTCTCGTGGGAAACAAGCTTGATCTCCTGGTAAGATTTCTATCTATGCGCTATTTCAGTGCGATTAGTAATTAATTCATGAGTACTTAAACTTCAACGATTTCAACTAAATCACAATTAAATGACTCAAATTATTGCAGACGCCTTGCGAGTATCGGGAAATCTCGGAGCGAGGTCAGAAAGTGGCGAAAGAAATTGGCGCAGAATACTTCGAGGTTTCTTGCAAAGACACTGCTGGCGTTACAAAGCTTTTCAGGCGAATCGCTCTGATCAATTTTGAAGACTTCTGCGCTGAAATTCCCATTCCCATCGAAATGAGTCCCTTCGAAAAGTTTATTTCCAGTGAGTCTCTTCTCTTAATATAAGAGATATCATTTAATATGTAATTCAAATTTCAATTGACTTTCAGGAATCTTCCGCCTCAAAAAAAATCCCGACAGGAAGAAATCATGGTGTTTCCTCAATTGATTTTCTATACGGAAAAAATAATTTTTTTTTATATACATATGTATACGAGGGCGAATAAGAGTTTATTGAAACGCACTTGTTGCATGTTAAATCAATAAAATCGACAAAACTAACCAGAAAAATGGAGGAAGCCCTGGTTCAAGTGAAGCCTTGTGAATCTTCTATCCAAGACAAGTCCTCTAAGCCGCCAACTTTCATCAAAATCCTGCTCCGTGAGACTGATGACATCGTTCTCTTCGAGAATCCAAGTGAAACCGTCCCGCGGGATAGCGAAGAAGCTGCCACAGTCATTGCAGCAAATGAGAAGTATGAGTACTTGACGAAAGGCAAGGGCAGGAATCGACGGACAACCAATTCCGAGGCTCAAACAATGGACTGTCTCTACAAATCCCGAGCCGTGAACACAGATCGGATTAAGCAGGAAGATATAGGGACTTTTGTGTCGAATTACGAAATGTTCGACACTTACGAGGATCTCGCAAGATCATCCCATAGTCTAGACGTCAGTGAGGAGACGAAGATCGTCATAACGACTTACACGAGAGAAGGAGAAGAAGATCCAGGACAATTTCTTAAGTGAGAAAGCCCAGAAGTTAAATAATGTAGAAAGTTTTTGTCGTTATAAAATGTTTTATCGATTTTTATTTCAATTATTATTGAAAATATTGAATTCTGTGTATTTACATTTAAATGCTGTATATTTTGCCTTTTTTAAAAGGATTTTCTATCAACTTTTACAGCAATTCTGCCAATTTCCGTTTGTCTGCAATGATTATTCAACGCCTCTTGGCGGGAAATGTTTTCCGTGAAAAACAGAAACGCTTCCGCAATATGTATTTACCAGATCCTCTATCCATTGATGTGAAATATCATTACACTCTGGAAAGACTCTGGTCCTATCAGTGGACATCATTGTCGGGATACGCCGTCACGAGTTTCAGTTGGTGTGAAAGCAACAGAGACATTCTAGCAGTGGGATATGGCCTATTCTACCTAGAACCGACGCGAGAGCAGCCAGAAAATGGCTTTGTTTGCATATGGAGTATTAAGGTTTGATTTTGTGGTTTCCGTTTGTAGCTTTAAGAATTTTTATGACTATACCAGTGCCCTGTTTCAGAATCCCGTAAATCCTGAGCGCCAGTTTCGATTCGACGCTCCTGTTAGTGCTGTTGCTTTCTCACCTTTCTACCCACAAATGCTATCTGTGGGACTCTACAATGGAAGCTTGGAGATTCGGGACTTCACAGATGAGTACGGATCCTTAATAGCCTCCACTGATCGAGAAACCGCGCCTGGCTTTGAGTCCATCTGGCAAATTGATTGGCTACCAGGAGAAGGCATATTCAGTCAGTTTGGTCAGTTGCTGACGATTTCCGTTGATGGACGAATCATGAAGTATTCTTTCACTTCTGGACCCTTTCTTGACACTGTTCAACTTCTTCGGTTAAGTCGGGTTGAAGGAGTTGTAGAAGGATTGCCTGTTGCAAAGAAAAAAGACTTGATGGAGGCCTATCGCCATCCACAAGCTCTCTGTCTTCGAATTCATCCGCTACGCAAACATACTTACTTCGTAGGCACCGATGAAGGATGTCTGCACACATGCTCCCTGAACTATCCCCATCATCATATAGGCGTGTGTCAGGTACATAAGGGTTCAGTTTACAGCATCGAGTACTCTCCGTGGAGCCCAAAGATTTTCCTAACGTGCGGCAGTGATTGGTGCATTAGAGTGTGGGTCGAGGGCGTCTTCACGCCAGTTATTGAACTGTCCAGTGGCTTCAATGCTGTCAATTGTGCCTTCTGGAGTCCTATTCATGCCACTATAATAGCCAGCTGTAGTCGGAACTGTGTTGAACTCTGGGATATTCGAAGGAAGACTCTAAAACCTGCCTCAACTCACAAATTCGATTCCTCTCCTCTCACGAAAATCAAGTAAGACCATTTCCTGTTAGATCGATCCTACTCACTTTCCGATCTTTGTTTCATTTCGCTTAGGTTCTCAAAGTGCGGACGATCCCTGATTGTGGGAACTGCAGATGGAGTGATTCACGTGTGCGCCCTGGAAGACATGCCTTTCCCACCGCATTTTCAATACAATGAACTGCAGAAGGCGATCTATGGCGCCATCAGCGGAGACCTCCTTGACCAAGTGAAGAGTCTCGGTCATCTGGGCTACCCCACGGACAAGAAAAAGCGCCCCACTTCTGGCACGTGATCATCGTGCAAGCAAACAAAGAAGTTAGGAAGCAAAGTTCTCTGGAGTGTAAAATTGAGTTCATTATTTACTTCTCAAGATATACAGAGTGTGGAAAAATATTGCAGATTTGAATAAAAATGCTTGTCATTCTTCTTCTTTTATGTGTGATCTTTACGATCTTGCTTTTGAGTTCTGTAAGAAATTCATTCTACATGTAAAGAGTTGTAATTCACAGTAAATTGTTCAGCGAATTGAAACGAATGTTGCACTCTCTGAATCCAAAACCATCGCAAGTCTTTCCCCTTTCTTTTTCTGGGGCAGTCCATCCCTACAGGAAGTGGGAAAACGCAAATATTGGCAGCTGACTCGCGTCTTTGCGCACAAGTAGGGAAACAAAGAAGGCAAAATGTTGCTCAATTGACCACTTGAGCAATCATCTTGTCTTTGGTGTAAATTCACCTCTCGAGGAATCATTGAATACTCGTCGATTAGCATTCCCATCGTGGCATGTGATGGCCAATAGACATTCTCAACACTCGTAGCCAGAAAGAAGTATCGTCTTTCACGCGGGTTTCCTCAACAATCTTTCATTTTGGGAGAAATATGCAAATTTTCCGCCTGATTTTAATCGCCACACAATTAATGACGCGATCTGTTCCCGATCGTAAATTTCAGCTAGAATGAGGAATGAAAATTTTTATGTGCCTCTTTATACGCCATCGAGCATCAATATTTTATTTATTGAAATGGAATTATCCTCTAAAATGTGGTCGAAACAGTGAATAAAAGCGCGTCTCATAAATGTCCATCATTTAAAAGTGGCAAAGAACTACTTTCAACGTGTGGAATCCTCGAAAATTTGTAAGCTCCTAAACCCACGCCGTTTTGCTTGGATTGCCATGGCTGAAGAGAAAGAAGAAACTCTGAGGAGAACTAATGCGGAACTGTGGCCACGGAGAAAAGTGTGGATTTTGTGCCTTTCGGGCCTCTTTGGCATGGTTCTATGAGTCCATGGCGGTTTTTTGTGATGCACGGCCTCAGCGGAGCGGGAAGAAATGCTAATATTTTCCATAAAGCGCCTCAGCTGACTCTGGGGCCTCCTACTCTACTCCACCCGGCGCCCCTTGGCCGCCTCTTGGTCGATATCTCACCGTGAGATGAGGTGTCTTGCGAGGAGAGTATGCTCGAGACTCTTGTCTGGCTACCAAAGCGGAAAATTATGACTGCCAAGGGGCTTCTAAGCACTCTCAAATGAACTTTCAAACATATGAAACAAAATCTCGTAATGTTTCTGTATTGCAACTTTAAATAATTAGATGGCAAACTTGTGATATGTATAGATTTATTGTTACTTCTAGTAAAATCATATATGAACGAAAAATTTGTATGAAAAGTATTTAAAGTTTCGGAAGTAACGTCATAATCCAAAATATTATGTATGACAATGTATTAAGGCTGCAAAAGAGTTATTCGAATGTAAATTCAATACAGTTATAGCAAAACTTGACAGGTTGTCACGTTTTTAAACTCAGACTTTGATTCATAAATCAACGAGTTTACACTTATACTAATATAACATTTGATACCTTAGCTTATAAGATATGAAAGCTATTAATATGAAATATTACATGGGAAGTTTCCAATTAAATTGGTAGTGGTCAACCCCTTGTAGATTTCCCTTTAATTTCCGCATGGCTTCCCCGGAGTATTTTTCTTCGCACAAGCCACGAGTATTGCACCTGGAATTGTTCATTTAGTCTTCAGTGTCACTGCTCTTGACATCGAAAAGTCCCGCAGTTTGGAGCGCGAAATGCTGTCGAAATTGTGCAAAAATCCAACAAATTCGTGTAAGTGATGCCCAAAGTGGGGCGCGCACAGAGTGCATTTCGCAGTGCATCGCAGAGATGCTCCTTTTCGATACTTGGCCAATGCTATTATAACACGATTCGCGGTGGATTGTCGATTAACCTTTTGGTGGTTCGGGGTCAAATCGATTTTTTCATCCTCTACCGCACACCTCGGCACTCATGGCAGATCGTCTTCGATGGTGGACGCTATGCGGAGGAATTAAAAGCGATATAGAAAACCACGAAATGACTGTAGAATGCAGTGTGTTTCTGCGGTTTTTTACCTAATACTCTGGAAGGAAAAATTTAACAAACTTCTCCCGACTTTTTCGCACTTCTTCCACTTGTTTGTGGATCATTTGGGAAGATAAATGTTATGAGTGTGTCATAAAATATGATAATAGTATAATAATATTGGATATTTAATGCATTGCCAGTTTAAGATGACGCTTCTCTGATTTCTCGTACGCATTTCACCAGGTGAAAGAGTCCAATTCCTCAGGTGAAGAGATGAACTCTCAACACTTCAAATCTAGATAGAAATTCCAAGATCGCCAGTGCAGAAGTGCTCTTAAGAGAACGAGGAAGAGAACATATTTTTGATAAGTGGATCACGAATATCATTCTCCCTAGAGTAATTTTACACTTTCGTGCCGACTTTTCGCTGGCAAATTGCATCAGTAAGGAAACCAATTCCCAATGGAATTAAGCAAGTGTGAAAGGAATTCATAAAAAATCACGATATTGTATCCTCAATCACTGAACGTGATCTCTTGATTGGGGAATATCGCACCGAAATTGAGGATTGATCCATGCCTCAAGGGCGCTTGTCTTCGTTGGGAGAAATTGTGCGGAATTTCTGGGGGATTATAGTGGTCTTCCTGGGCACTTTATCATGATATGGCGGTGGGACTTAATTGGCACGTGCCTCTGAATGTCAGTGATGGATGACATTTACCTGGAAGGGTTAAAAATCACCGTCCCGAAAATAGAGGAGACTCTATTGAACCCTTGCGATCGAATCTCGCCTTGCGTGGGAACAGGCATGAACTCTGGACCGATTTTTTCGGCCATGGGAAGGAAATCCCCCTTTTTTGGGGCCACACTGGCAAAGTGGAGAAACATATTAATTATTTGAGCCCTTCATCATCCACCAAATCCCACTCTTTGCCTCGGTCCTCTCCAGTTAAATTGCCACGGCCACAACAACTTCTCTCGCGAGCGAAGTGTACTGTTGAGAGTTTTGCGAAAAAGATGATGAGCTCAAGAGAAGACCGACTCGAGTCACGCATCTCACGATCTAACTATTAATCCTCCTCCTTCTCTCAATTTCATCTGCGGCGAGGCTGAAGAAAAAAACCGAAAGATTCAGCGTCGAATCATTCCTTCTTTTGTCTTTCTTCGCGATTGGGACTCTTTTCCCAGCCTGCGCTGAAGGAAAACACTCAAAAACGCGGTCTCGCCAAGGGGGAATTATCATCACAGAAACTGCAGCAAGGTTCGTCAGACGTGCGTGGATGTGTTAAAAGAATAAGAGGTGTTCAAAAATTTGTTTCTTCAAGTGAAGTTTTTAATTTTGAATTCATTTGTTGCGTGGGCAGCTAAATTGAAGGAAATGCATCTCAACAAAAATAGGTACACGAGCATTATTTCCCCCTTGAGCCACGCTTGAACTGAAGTCTGCACCACAATCCATCAGAGGAGCACGGCTGTGTGCTTGGGAAAAGATCACTCTCATTTGCAAATTCCTTAGACTTCTCAAGGGGCATTTCCGTGATGGAATATTTCTTCCATCGAGACAGGCATGAAATTGCAGAAATCTCTCTATTTTACTCTCGCGATCTTCGATTTTGGAAGGCTTGTGCATAGAAATGATAAAAGTCTCTAGGAAAATTGAAGCTTTCTGCTGACCTGCAGATGAGGAATTTCTCCTCTTTGAAGACCGGTGAAGACCACCTTGCATTTTATTGTTATCTGATTACTTTCAAATGTGATGATGGGAATTCCATAAAATCTACTGATAATATTCAGGTATTCTAGCGCGATGAACTGGACTATTTAGTGGCGAATTAAACCCACGGGGATTCTCAGTGTGACCTTTGAAGAGATCCAAAAGAAGCACATACGAAGACAATGCTGATTAGGTGGATTTCTGCCTCAATGGGAATCTCTCTGCGATGACCAATAAATCAGGTGGTGGATTGAATATTTTCTTAGAAGTGCAATTTATGATTATTAACATGCCGTTGAATTATGACTATTTCGTGATAGCGGATTCTCTGCAATGCCTCACGTTGTTTGAATGGAGAAAATGATTTAATTGAAGAACAAGCGAAGAATTGTGATAAAATGTAGGACAACGATACATTTGATGCTCTCTCTCACTCTCTACCTCTTCCCTTCCCACACACCTGAAGAATGCATTCCCATCAATGCAAGATGGACTTTTCTTATAGTCTGTCTTTAAAAAAATCCACGACACATTTTGATAAAATATTCCAATCGCCACACGATCGAATGCTTTGTATCTGGGAATGGCTTTTTAAATGGAGTATAATGGCAATTCGGAGGGTAGGAAACTTTCATTCAGCAGTCGCCTGATAAATGTACGCTTTCTATAAAATGTGTAATTTGATAGATAACCAAATGCGCGTGAATGCTTTCCGAGGGAATCATTAAATTACCATAAATATGCTTGGAAGATGGGAAAGGTTTCAAATCATTTAACTGATCCCCAGATGGAATCACCAACGACCCGCGACACGGGACAATATCCCACTCGGGAGTCAATGAGAGCCCTCACACAAGCCACAGAGTTGAGGCACTGCGCTTTGATTAGATTGATAATACATCGCTTGAAAATATGGCTTGTCAGATTTGTTGTTAGATATGGGACTTGTCTGTAATTGACAAATTGTAAAGTCAATCGAACGAGAATCGTTTCATTACCCAAAGCGATATCAAAATTTTTCTACAAAGTGTTTATCAAATATATTTTACTGTTTTACATTTAAATCGCTTTAAATGTTTCTTATTTCTTTATTTTATGAAGTGTTCTTTGAGATATGAATGAAATATCAAAGCACAATTGATATATCTTTGGGATCTTAAAACTTTGGAAAAATCCCCTCTTGCTCAATCCTTATCTTACATCTAGAATCATTCCCACTCTGCGTCCATCTCATGTTTGAAGCCACACATCAGGAAAGTTTATTGAGAAATTGACCAGGCGCAATGGGAATATTACACTTTATTCGCCTCTTCTCTTCCATCCTCATATTCTTCGTCGCGAGATAAACAACAAAACGAGCCACTCCACAACTCGGGGATCCGTATGGATCATCCAATGCATGATTGAAGAAATATCTTAACACTCCTCAGTTGCCTCTCAGACGCTCACGCGGGTGGATCACAAGAATGCGCGGGAACTTCTCGTGAAATTCCCTAGCCTCAGTAAACTTCCCTACACTCCGTGTGTGTGCCATTGAAGTAAAACCAGCGGCCGTGGCGATGCAAAGATAGCGACTCTCGTCGTTCTTGTGTATCAATCAAACTCTCCTATCGTGATCTGTAAATCTGTTGGTTTGCATCTGCGCCGCTCACGAAAACGATCTACTGTGCGGAAGCATAAATTGCGCGTTCCCATGTGAAGAGAGTGTGAAGATGATAAATCAATGCTAATGGGAATTTCTCAGCATCAGTGAAATTTGTGCTCTAGTTCAATTGTTATCTCTGAACCTCTTCTTTTCGGTGGAAAAATAGTCAATCGACCCCTTCCAGCGCTGCCGACCACTCACAACACTATCTTCGTCTCCGAAGACTCCTCAAGCGACTCGTCCGATAATGAAGCCATCAAGCATCCTCTTGTAGCAGGTACTCAAATTCCAGGACAATCGCCCTAATGAATGAAATGAACAGTGGTGACTGAAGCAATGTGACGATGAAACGAAGACCATTGTGTATCTAAATCCCTTATCGCAGACTTAAAATTCCGTTCAAAACACTGTAAGAAAAAAATACTCTTTGTAGCACAAAATGCCCGTTTCGTGCCGGATCTGGTGAGATGTTGCCCAGAAGTGTGTAACAGCCCGAATTCTGCGTCTGATGTTTACGAAGAGATTGAGGATGTGCGCGAGAGAGTGTCTCAGCTTCCGTGTTTCGTCGCGGGTGCGCCAAAGCCGCCCAGGCATCCAGTAGCGCCCCGCCGAGAGGTCATGGGCCAGAACGTCAGTCTCCGTCGGCCCCGAATATCCCTCACGTGGGTCCTGCGCGATCACCAAACGCCCCCAGTGGCGCCCTCATCGGAGCATCGACCCGGAAAACAGCTGCAACACCGGAAGAAATCACGCGGAGAACGTTTGTTCAGCGAGAGCGACCACAAGACCTGCCCAGAGTCAGATAGGAATTCGCTAAGTGGCAACAGCAAGTCCAGTTTGATCGCCAATGAGCGACTTCTCGAGGGTGGGCTTAAGAATACTCGATCAGAGCCGAGTCTCTTTGCTCCGAGTCAAGCGAATCGGCGGCATAGACACAGGAAGAGACGTGAGAGGAATCGCTGTCCACGCTTCGGATACGAGATTACAAATGTCGATGATTTTCTTTCTAAGGTGAGCAGAATCATGTCTAGTTTACGAAAAACAAAGTTCAATATGTCTTTCAAACAGTGTTCTCTATCATCGCCTGGGAACATCCCAGTGGTGCTGTCTGAGGCCAGCACGTTGTACCAGACCCGATCTGGTGGTTATCAGCTTGAGATTCCTCTTCCTCTTGGCATGGTAGTCAATGCCGTGTTCAAGAACCAAAGTTGGCTCTACGTTCAGACACCGCATGCAGAAGAAGGATACGTTAACTATGCCTCTTGCCTTCCTCTCGGCATCCTTCCAGCGGTTAGGTAATTAAACGTTTCAATCATCATTGAACTTTTGCAACACGACCAAATCTTATTATTAATTCATCGTCACTATTCGCAGTCCAATAAATCTGATTTAATTTCTAACGCTCTTACTTCTTCCAGGACCTCAAAGCCACCGGCTTGTTGGGAGACGAACGGCGATATTTTCCCGAAGCCTAGCGGAGGAAATATGACGGACAGCGAGAAGGAGCTTCAAATGCGCGGCACGCGTTCTGAGGGTGCACGGACGCCGCGTTCGAAGCGTTCGAAGTCTTGCGGGGAGAAACAAGTGGATGCACTCTTCCTACGGGCAACTAGTCAGCCGAAACTCTACGAGAAGCCCGCTCCAGTGAAGATTACATGCATTCCAAAGCCTAACATCCACGATGAATATGTCTCGCTGCTGCCTAAGCCTCGTCGTGCACCTCTGGCCATCAAGTCGCCTCTTCTGCTCCGGGAAACTTTGTTGGCGGTACGCGAGAACTATATGTCCGAGTCGGTGAACGTTCGGAAAGGAGATGTGGTGACGCTATTGGCGTGCAAGGAGTACAGAGACAAGAACTCCTGCCGACAGTGGTTCTTCGTGAAGACCAGGGACGGGGGCGAGGGCTACATTCCCGCCGAAGTGGCTGGGCATGGGTTTTTGTGAGTGAAAGACTGACATTGTATTACCTTATCATGTAATCCCGTAGAATAAAACCCATCAAATTCAGTCGCCTTGTCACTCGCTGGCGTCTTTGGCGTACAACTTAAGCACGATGTCCTTGTAGTTGAAGTTTAGGCAGATATCGATCTCATTCTGGGCACCAGCGATGGACATCAGCTTCGTCGGAGTCGTTTGCCAGATGACTGAGTAAGTTGCAGGCGAGGAAACTGGGATTTCAGCTGAGAGATCACCATTGAGGCTGTACTGAACGACATTGGAGCTTTGGCCAGCCAGAAGAACGGTATCGTCAATGAAGCCGGAGACGTGAAGTGCTCCCGAGAAGGGGAAAACTGTGGTGCATTCATTCGTCCGTGTATGCCACAGAGAAGCTTTTGGTCCTCCGCCGCAAACGAAGAAGTTTTCAGAACAGGCAACGCTTCCCAGCCATTTTCCCATCTGCGGCCGAAAGAGTTCGTGGTTCTTGTAAGGCTCTACTAAGCCTGTAGATTTCTTCTGCCTCACATCCCAGAATTTTATGCTTCCGTCCTCAGAAGCTGAGTATAAGCGATTGTCCCTGGAGAGAACAGAATATAGAATGATTTTTTGTAACATTGAGCTATTCAATATCAACTCACAGTCCCTGGAGACAGTGTATATAGTCCTTGTGGCCAGTGAAAGTCCTGAAGAACTGTCCATTGTCAAGATTCAGCCCCAGAATCTTCGAGTCTCCACATCCAAGGTAAATCTCATCGTTCTCATCATTTAACCAGAGTGCATTCACATCCACAGCTTCCATCGACTCACTCCCAGTCGGCACACGAACTTCCCACAGTTGCTTCTTGATTCTCTTGCTCTCATTGCACCATTGGTAGCCTCGCAACTCTCCCGGAAGTCCCACAATAAGGAAGTTTTTGTGGAATGCCAAGCTCTCAATGTGACCCGAATCTATCACGCTGAACACTTGGATGGGTTCCAGAGATGGTGCAGTTTTGCTGATAATCTCCTCATCGCTCGGCACTTCCGCAATATCTGGAATACTTCAAGGAATAAATGCAAAAGGCCGTCTCAGGAAAACTGCGACCGCTATCCTAACCTGTAAACAAAGACGTCACCAAAATTGTTTCCGGCAAACAGGAAGTTCCCACAAGATGAGAAGGTTTGCGATAAAACCGTATTGTAGAGTTTTTTGCGCTTCTCAATAACCATGATTAGAGTGGGGTTTTCCGGCTTTTCACACAAAAAACACTGTATTTCCGCGGTTTCCGCGAGATGTAAACAAACTGCCCGGCTGTTGACAGCTCCACAATGCGCGACCCAGATGAACGGATCACGGCTACACTGCACTTACAAATAACCGGTTATCTGCGGTGTTACGAGGTTTAGGATGTTAACACCCACAAACCCGTCATATAGTTTTATTTGTTTCACTTCAAACTAAACATCTGTGAAACCTGAATTTACCGCTTTTACTCGTCGTATTTTTATCTAAGAGCAAGGGTGACGAAACTTTAATTTGTTTTAGAATATTGGTACCTATTCGTACACTAATAGGTACACTCTTTTGTAAACTATGAATCAACTTATCTGCTGGGTCGGGGGCACGCCTTCATAATTCTTGACCGTTCTCAAAGGACAAATCTCTGATAATCAGTTTATTTCAATAACATCACACACTGATAAGATTTACATTTATGCAAATTTATAGAGAAATCCACTCATTTTAAGATTATTGTCTAGGTAAACAACGATAATAGGGCCTTTGGTCTCGCAGCTGTTATAGAGTTGCATTAAATCGTCTCTTTCGGGACAGTTTTGGTCAGATCTGGGAAAATATTGTACAAATTCAGTTCAGTTAAATGTAAGGAAGACTTCTTTTGTATTACCTGAGTACGAGAATTCTGTAATCGGGCGCTGGAGGTTGAGATTTTTTGTAAATCTTTGTCGGATTGTAAAGATCAAAGCTGAATTTTAATGTTTGTTTCGCTAGATTATCCTTTCCGGGTGTTAATTTTATTACATTGAAGGATTCGAAGACGCTTTCGAATTCCATTTCAGGTGATAGATTGATTAAGTCATTAACTGTGCTCTCTCCAGAGTAACTTGTAGAAGGTTCATCTGCCTTAAATTTCTTTGAAGAACTAGGTTCATCCTCTGTGATTTTCCTTTTACCTTTTGGTGAACCTCGGGGACATTCAATCCCGATGGAATAGATAATGTTTGGGTTGAATTTTCTGACGATATAACCCAGTTTATTAAGTGAAGAGTATACAAAGTACTCTTCGAGAGTTAAGCAATCTTCTTGAGCATGAAGGAAGATTTCGTAGGCTTGTTCGAGTGAAACTATGACAGAATTGTAGTAAATAATTAATCGATTCATCTCCAGAAGGTAAAGAGCCTCGTGAGGCTCTAGGAAAGTCTCATTCTGTTCATTTGCATGGCCGAAATATTGTATACTTCCAAAAATTTTTCTTAATAGAATTTTCCTCGTGGAACTGTTATATTCTCCTACTAAGCGATTATTTTCTGTCCCAATGCGTTCTTGTGAGAGGATATCTCTCAAATTACTGTACAATTCTCCCAATTTCTGGAATTCTGCACTGCTTCCATCTGGAAAATTCTTCTTTGATCCGGTGCAGAATGACGCAATTGTTTCATTAGATTTTCGCACTAATTCCTCGGCACTGGCAAGTGAATTTCAGTGTCAACAACAAGATTAAAATGTAAATTGCAATCTACTTACCCTAGCAGTTGAATCTCTTGTGGACTTTGCATTATTTCACTTTGTTTTGATGGCTCTTCTGCACTGATAATATTATCACGACTCCTTCGCTACTTTGAGGTTGGATCACCCAGTGCGCGCCAAAGAAATGTCAATCTCCTGGCGGGCAGTAGTAAAAGAGAGAAGAATTTGGAAAAGGGCGCTTTATTCAACCGTAGGATTTTACTCTGTGTTTATTTCCACATCTCTCAGTTGTACAGACAAAGTGATTTCCCTGATCATTGCACTTGCACCAGTTACAGTCGTCCAGGAAGGTGCTGTGGGGTATGCAAAACATCCTCCCAATGTGGTGGGAATGTCTCTCCGTCAAATGGGTGTTTTGGACTGGAATTGAGTGTCCTGTGATAAGGCAAAGCGATTTCCTTTAATACTTTGTTGTCACTATATTGCGGAGAAATGAAAGTTTTACCAGTGTGTATGAGATTCAAAAGAACTATCACAAAAAGCACAAGCGTAAATTTCTCTGATCTGGCCATGATGAAGGCGAGATGTAGTCTGGATGAGCTTTCGAATGCTACTGGCCAAGAGACAGGCTCGACCAGACAAAATACACGATGTCTTGTGATCTGTTATCGCACAGCGTGAGGGGTCAAGACGTGACGATAAACCGCGCAAATTTGCCATGGGAAAGTGTGTGACAAGTGTGAGGCAGAGACAGCAATCGAAGGATGTCATCATGAACTCTTGAGGTGATTCCCGAGCGCACACTTGCAGATGTTGTTTGGACCCAAGCAATAAAAGTGTGGAAAATATTTTCTGGGGACTCAATTAGGAAATTTCCATGCAACTTGCTTACCCAGTCTTTCCAGTTCTTTCTAGAAAAGCTTTCGCACACTTGGAAAACAAAAACAGAGGGTTTTTTTTAGATGATAAGCGCCATCAGAACTTAATCACGTGGGGTGATTTTTATTCTAATCTTAATCGAAGTTTGCTGGTGGGCCCTCATGAAAGTCAAAGGGCAAAAGGCAAGATTGTGCATGGGAAAATGTGCAAATCGCTCAATTGTTCATGCATTTTCTCTACTTTGATAAGAATTTAGTCGTACAAATACATAGTAAAGATATTTTTGTGTAGAATTTAGTTTAGCGAATATAAGGCAATTGAAATGAGAGCAATCAGAATTCTCCGACAAATCTCCTTTAAACATTTCTGTCGAGTCAGACGTTCGATAGAAGTCATAGGAAAGCCCAGAGATGGGATGCGATAAGGCGAGAAATTGAACAGGTGTGTTGATTGTCACTTATATGCCACACATGCACAGCACCAAACACGAATATCGGGACACTCATCAATTGACTCCACTTTATTGATATTGCCAATTCTTTCGTCTTGTGAAAAGTGTGGGATTGTGAAAAAGAAACGAAAGTCATTGAGATTGATTTAAATTCCTAGCCAGCACCAATATTTCCTTTGTGGGCCACATTCCAGTTCAATATTATATTTCCACCTTCGACCTTTTGCTGGCTTTTCGTCCACTTCTCACAAGAATCACCTTCAAATCCATTGTGCTTATAAAATGTCAACGATAAATAGAAAAGCTGAGCCACACGAATTCAGCTGTCTTTCGAGATCCGCTTTTCCTCCCAATTCACATTGATTTTTATTCAATATTGTCAAATCACGTCATTTACATATGTTACTCGCATTATTATACTCTTGCTGTGTATTTCCTCCAAATGTCCTGGCATTTCCTTTGGGTGGAGTGAAAATTGCAGAAAATATCCATTCAATTTCGCTCTTGATAGCTTCGTGCGATTTCGCACACCAAGGAAAGTGTGAATGATGACGACCAATTTGGAGGCGCGAAACGCACGCAAAATTTCAATCAATTTCTTGGAGAAATTTTCCCGCATTCCCAGCGGAAATTTCCTCATTCACACTTTCCTCACAAACAGTATCTTAATTACTATCTATTTTATAGATATAGACTTATCACGGCAATATAACAATCATGAATTATTCATTAAAAGAGTTCTTCTTTCTCAATTTCGAGTACAAGTGCGCCTTGGGATCTCTTCACTTTTCCTATTTCTTTTCTGAACACCGAAAAAACATGCTTAACACATTGAAATTACTTCATTCAGCCCGGAAAATCTACTTTAGAAAAGAAGATATAGAAGAGAAAGTGACAATTTTTGGGATTATCACGCAAAGCGGCTCTGATATTTGATGATAATTTGATGTGTTCATAGAAAAGGTCAACAGTGTGTAAAAAAGGCTCTTTAGAAAGTAATTCAGGTTGAATATATTTGTATTTTTAAAGCATTTCACTCAATGCTCAGTCGATGAAAAGTAGAGAAGCTCAAATCATTGAGAAAATAATGTACTCTGTCTTCTTAGTAAGCATTTCCACGCTTTGGGAATTGAAGAATGAACTAAAAGATCTCATGGATCCACATCTGGGTGGTCGTAAAAGCCAGCATCCTAAGGAAACTTTAATGGGCAATGGCAGTTAAAGTTCATCCTCTCGACAGTTAACTTCAACGAGCTGTAATGAGGTGCAGAAACGAGGAAGAATGATAAGCTAATCAAAAGAGATGCCAATAAAAGTAGCCGAGAAAATGGCTCAATATCGATTTGAAGACAGCATGCAAAGTATATTTTCCCAGTAATTCAATTCTTCTCTCCTTTCCTTGCCAATGTGCGACATTTTCAGCTCCTTGCACACAATTCAATTTGGTCGCTGATTAAAGTTTTAATAACGAATTAAGTTGAAGAAAATTAAGCGGGAAAGGCACTTGATTATCTCTTCTCTCACACTCGGCTAAAATGTATCTATCTAAGGCGTCTTCAACGCACTTACACTGGCTTTTCCAATTTTCGAAGGGGAAAATCGAGTTAAAGAATTTCTTTCATGAACTTTTCCTCCATGACCTCTTGCAATGGCAATAAGCGCCACAATTTTGTTCATGTTTTACAAATTATCTCACCCAATATAACCCTTCTAATTTTCGCGAAATTCAAGACATGCCTTTTTGAAATGCCACTAAGTTGAGATGTGAGCCAATGAGATTTAAATTACTCGGTGAAGTGGTAAATTTGTCAAAAATTAGTAAATTCTGACATTAAATTGGGAGAAAAACAAGAAAATATTAAGAGATTGACAGTGTAATACTAAGAAAAAAAATTTCACACTTGAAAACTCTGCACATATGATAAAGAAATAAGAAAATATTGAGAGAATATCATTTGGAGCATGATTTCATTGATTTCTCGCCATTGTCGTAACATATATTTAAGATACAAATTGTGTATGAAAGTCAAATTTATTGATACTGTAGATACTCTTAATTTCATGCTATGTTTATTATTAGTTTATTGCGCCACTGTATTTCAATGTTATACATATTAAGTAATACATATATACCAGACTGAGACTCACATCTTTCAATGCCTTTAGACTAAGTAGAAATTGCAATTAGCGCTCTTCGACTCCTCTTAAGGCTCATATACCAGTCGAAAGCATGGAAAATCCCGTGTGAAAAGTGGCATGAAAATGGGGAAACCTTTGTGCTAAAATTGGTCTCTTGTTTTCAAAATCTTTTGATTAAATTCTCTTAGGACATTTTAAAGAAACCGCACACAATAAAATGGCTGTGAAAAAAACCAAGTTTCATTCTTATTTGCATCTCTTCAATTCAATCAATTTTTATGATTCTGTTCTGATTGTGTTGGCGTGAAAAAGATGTGAATTGGAGGGAATGTAAGTGACTTGAGGGGATGAAAATGGGATGGAAATATTGAATAATTTCATGTGAATCTGTACAAGGATGACAATTTAGGAGACTGATAAAAAGGTACAAATAAATTACATTACTTAGGCATGGAAGTGGAGAGAGAGAACGAAGAAATCGTGTCAAATATTGACGAGGGAAAATGGGAAAAGTTTCATCATAGACCTGAAATTTCTATGTGGACTCGAAGCTGCTAATCCCCCAGTCTGTTCACCCCTAATCATTTGACTGTCCGTCTCTCCCCATTCATATCGTACATTTAGTTAAACAAGTGGAAGAATTAGAGATATTTTCACATAATAATCGCTCATCATCGCAGAATTGTAACACAACAAGAACTATTATACCATAGAATCTTAGAATCGTTCTCAGTTTCACAATTACTTTATCGCTTTTAGCTACAACTTTATCTTACCCTCATCTGTTCCTTAGCTGTAAAGGATTCTAGATTGTTAACATTTATAGTGGTAGGTCTTAAGTCTAAAACTGTCCATTCACTCAGCGGGGTTCTTAGAGGATCTGAAGATTTTCGCAATTCCTGAATTTTGAGTCTTCTTTGCCCAGAATCCACGTAATCATTTGACGAGCCTTCATGCTGGCTCTCATTACGCTCCGGGACTTGTACCAGTGCGGCGAAGAGCCTTCTCTTGATCCCTGAAAGGATTTTAATGGCACATTTATTTAGGAAAGTTGTCGAAGCGATAGATAAAGATTCTCACCTGAAGCAAACTGTGTTCTTTCTTCAAGCGAATTTGTGTTAACGTTCCGGCCAAAAGTTCATCCACATTGTGATTAATGCCCACGGAGACTTCAATGAATTTGGCACGGAAGGTGCACGCCAAGCACTTTCCATCTGAAATGAAGAGCGCTCTTTAAATTAAGAGCATTCCTCGCGGGAGCGCTCAATTGAGTCGGGATCGTGTGAGTTGAATAAAATTCCCTTTACTTTTTTCTCGCACTGCAGTTTGCTCTCTAATTAATTGAATTGCCGGGACATGGAATTATTTTCCTCCTCTGCACTTTTGCCCTCAAAATGGCACACACATAGTAAATAGTTAATGTCACGGCATTTCAACTGGGCGCGCGAGCGTGGAGAATTACCTTGAGCAGAAACTGCTCTAGATCGGGCCAAATCAATCTTGTTGCCCACGAGAATCACACCACGAGATCTCACGAGATCCATGTCCTGGAGCATCGAGATGAGCTGCTCGGCGCGACTGAATGAGGCCTTGTCCACCACTGAGTAGACCACAAGAAATGCATCAGCTTTCTCCAATTCGTCCTGGAAGAGGAGTGCCAAAGGACATAAAAATTATTTATCTTTCTCTTTAGCAACTCCGATGGCAATAATATTTTATTTGAAAATCTATATGAAGCAGTTTGAGGTCAAGTTAGGCAATTGCCTTTATGAGGTTATCCTTTCGTTCATTCACTCTACTAAAATAATGATTACATGGATCTATTTTGGGGTGGTAATCAAATTATTCACAATTCCCTTGATATTTGGCAATATTTCCCACTCAATCAACCTTTCGAACTCACCTTGTTTCCACGCCATGTTAAGAAATTCAATTCTGATTCTATTCCATTGAGGATTATTGAAATATTCTGCTCGTCTATTGATTCTGTAATAGACAACAAGATATGATCTATAATAGCGTGACATATTTGCTATTATATTAAAAACTTAGATTATGGGATCGTAAGCAAAGTTTTATGCGAAAATATGAGATATGATAAGAATTCTATAAAACTTTGTCATAGTCGAGAAATGTGAATAAAATCTGTAATAACTGATAGGAATGGCAAAAGCAGTATGAAATGAAAAGTAGAACAACTATACTTCTACAAGCTCAAACACATTAAAAATAATATTTTTATCCTATATATTTTAGAATATATAATTGAAGACCTCAGAAATAAAATATCTGTTAGGCTCATATAAATTTCAATAATCATTACATCATGATAGGGCCAAAAAGATAATACTTTTAAACAGGAAATGCTTTCACCTGGTCCCTCATAGGCATTGATGCACTCGGAGGTGCGGAACTGGGAAACCAGGGCCGCCTTGCCCACTCCCGGGGCACCGAGCATCGCCACCTGAAAAGTCTCCACGTTGGCGGCTGTCGTGACGGCTTCCTCGGCGCGCGCGTGAATAGGACTCGTGGGCACCAAACTGTTGCTCCTGGAGCGTCTCCGTCGAAATGAGTCGCCACGATTGATGACGCCTTTGCGGGGTGAATCAACCGAGAAGATGAGATACAATTACTCTGTGCCAGGCCGCAAAACCCAAAGACTCCGCGGTTTATCAATTCAATTTAACGCTTTGCTGCTTTCATTTCCATTTTATCCAACCCACAAATTGTGGCGAAATGGTTTAGGGTGAGTTGAGAAGAAGATTAGAGGATAATTGTGATGTGTTTTTGCCACGGATTTTTCTACTCTACGGAATTACTTTCTGTTGTTATCCGCACAATCCTGGGATTTCATTACGTGATCTCCGGAGGATACTCACCTCCTTTTGTACTGCTAAACGTCCGCAGTCGATAATTGTCATCATCGTCATCAGCTGGGTTGTATTGAAAGTTGGAAGGGACATCCAGAAATGTGGTGGTTGGTTTCCGTTGACCTATAGAGATGCGTAAAGTAAAACTGTAATTCTACACATACCTATCTATGTGAAACAAGATTTTATCGTGTTTTAATTGATAGCGTATCGAGAGGGGTTAAATGCTATTCTCACCCCATGGGATGAGTTGAATTCAATCGCTTGGGATAAGCGGATTCCAATTTCCTTTTAAGCACGCCACAAAACCACAGATAAACACTTTCTAAAGATGATATTAAACTGTATTTGATCTATTTCAATTACAAGTTGATACAAAAATATGAAGAATCATGCAAAATATGACATTCTCATATCATTATTCGTGACGTGCATTATAAAATTATTTGCTAAAAAGTCTCGTCGTTTCCAATTTCCCTTTGCAAAAGGATGTTGAGCTTCCTAACTTTCGAACTTTCCAAAGATTCACTGCCAAACAAGATAAAGCCAACGAAGCTGACAAGGAAGTGTGAAGAAAAACACTTTTATCCTGTCTGGCGAGGCGCGCCCACAAAACACATCCTTTCTTGGGCACCCCACAAACTTTGCAGCCTCCCGTCGGAATGACTTTGCATTGACTCGCAAGGACGCCTATTTGAATAATGACACCGAATGGGTGAATGGAAGCGCAAATGAATAAACATTTGGCACACATTGTTTCCAATTTATGGGCAAACTTTGTGGAATGAAAACAGGGCGGAAATTGTGTAAAATCGACTTTGCAAATGAACAATTGATTTTTGATTAAGCCGCGTCGCGTCAAGCGATTGAGGGTAGAAATTTTCCCAGCAATTTCCCAGTTGAACAGCGAGGCTTCTTTTTCAGGACTGGGGAAAAAGTTTTCTCGAGCTGCGGCTTTTCTTTGTGCGATTTTCTCCTCCTTTTTCTCATGAATGCGTGTGCAGGATAAATTGAAAAAGTCATGTTTTAACTGATGACGAATGATTTATCTGCGTTTATTCTTGTTCTTTTCATCGTGCATCATTTATTTCGTGGACTCCAAAATACATTTTACCAAGCACGGAGAAAAATCCGAGAAATTCACTTTATCTCATCCCAAACCCTCGAAAAGTCAGGCGTGGGATTTATATTTTTCTCTCGCATGAATTGCTCTTTCTCCCACTTGGATTTCTGGGTGCGGATTTATGAGAAATAATGTAGTTTGTATCTTGCAAATGCCGGAGTCTCGGCATTAATTTAAATAGTCATTTGCAATCTCATTTTCAGTTGCCGCAATTTCCTCTGGGATTCATTGGTGATCCCTGGGAACAAGGCCCAAACTGTCTTTTGTTTTCCTCTCCCTTTTTTAAATGACTTCGTCGTGAATAATTCCATATTGCCGCGAGCCTTCTTGTAAACTTTCGACCTCATTCCCATTCCCAAAGCCTCTCTCAATGGCTCTTAAGTTAATTTTCATGGCAATTTTCCTCGGAGGAATTGCACTTGAAGCAATTTATTTAGGAAGTCTGTGACTCTGGTCAGTGCTTATTCATTAACACAGTAGCTCAGTAGTCATTAATTAATATACAAAAGTAAGATAAAGATCAGTAAAACAGATGATAATTTAAGTAAAGGTTGGCCTTATTAGTTATTATTTCGTATCATTTGTCAAATTCTAATATTGTTAGTTCACAGCTCTCGAAGATCAATATTATATTATATTTGAGAAAAATCAATAAGAAAAAAAGATTATATCATTGGATTTCCATTGACAATAATTAGGTAATTGGCCAAATTCAAAAAATTCCAAATAGTTATGTTCTTTATAGAAATGCTCACTCTGAGTGTGAGTTGGCCTCCTCTGAGATCCTCTTCTTCGCTGTGGTGGCGTCTCTGTGTCATTGAGCCTAGGTTCACTGGTGCAGTGTGATCTGCTGGTCTCCTGGAGATTGCTGGGCGGCGGTTGTGTCTTCCGCTTTACGGATCTGGCGCCGGTGATTCTGGCACTTTGCGATCGCGTTGCCGGCCGGCGACGCCTGTAGCTCGGAGTCCCATTGTCTGGGGTTCCACTGCCCGATGGCGGCAGCAGGACATTCTCAAGACTCGTGCTGGCTGGGGCGCAGATTGAAGCACTTCGTGTTTTCGTGTAATTTATCCTCGAGTGCGGAGATATGTCATCCATTTCTATTGCTCGATCCTTCCTCGATTGCCACTGGCTGACAGGGATTTATTTCACTTGAAATGGCATTTAATTTGCTTCACACTATCCGCACCGCATCGTCATAGATTTGTTGGCTGTACTGGACTGAAAAGAAGTGGAGGAAAAAAGAGGTGGAAAATGTATTTTTATACCTGACTGAGAGATAAGGGACCTGGTGAAAGGCTGACAGGGTGTTTGTAGAAAACTTCACCACATGAGTTATACAAATAAGATATCAATCTGCTGAATGGCCTCACAATGCAAGTCCCTTCATCACATCGCCTAAGCAAACGCTTGGAGGCAATGAAGAGGGCCTTTTAATTACACCAGAGCTTTTGCCGTGAAAAATGAAAAGCTTAATAGCACTCTAGGCAATCTTTGCATGAAACTAGATTTTGAAAAGGAACAGAAAATGAGCATTTTCTCTTGGAAAATAAAGTTGAGAAAGGCTTTTTAAAATGTAATAACTCTGATGGATTTTCAATATAAACTGCTACAGTAATGAATTCAAATTTACTAAATTTCTTTTAAAGCAGATTTGTACCATTGTGAGATGTATACAGTGATATTCACTTGATTATGCTTTTGTTCGGGCCACAGTTTCAGATATATTCTATATTTATGCTGAAATTTGGTAGTAAAAGAGAAATTTAAGAAACTTTTCCTGCGCTGGTGCTCATATTCAATTTATTGGAGAGAAAATTTATGTAATTAATTAATGACAAAGTATACTCATTCTCTAAATTAGGCGATATGTCAACCTAAATTGGTGCCTATAAATAAAAGAGCAACTCTACTTATGCCAGGAAGACGTGCTATGTCTTGACGGTACCGTAGGGAGAATGACATATAATTATTGTAATAATCGGTATATAAAAACCATTCAATCCAGCTAAATTAATATCATTAATACATTGCTGATGGCTAATAATTGAATTTTCAATAAAATTATATCCATGACAGTCATGTTATAAATTCAATACAAAAATAGATTTTAATTAAAATTGATTTTCCTATATTGCACATTTACATTTCAATTGTTAAATATCTTTTCTCATTTGTGTAAGTAGTGAAATGTAGAAAATGAAACTTTCTTACAAAAAGACTATACATTTTTATAACTTTTTCAATTTAATACGAAAAATTATTTGTCTTGTAATTCCTAATTACGCCCCTAATATTGCTATAGAATAATATCTTCTAATTTTATTTAGAAAAATATTTCAAAGTTTGGCTTACTTTTGCATCACATACTTTGAAAATTTAATTACATATCGATTTGCGTGGTGAAAGTCTTGCTTTTGTGCAATTACATAGTCGCTTCGGTGTGTCTATTGCAAGCCAGACGCAGTGAATCAAATGGGAAAGTTGAGTAGATTCGAGGGGCTGTGCTTTAAGTTCCCCTCCCAATCCTGTCGACTCTGCTCTCAACACTTCCTGCCACCTTAAATATTTCAACTTAATCGCACCAGATTTCGCAATGAATTTATCACAATTTTCAACTTTGCGGAAACTCCATTTACTTTCTCAACATCATGTGTAACTCTTGATTGAAATTCTGTGGCTTCACAGGGATTTTCACCCGAGTGCCGGATATGGTAAAAAGTCTCATGTTAACTTGTAATTTATCTTAAGCAATCTCGCAGTTTTCTCTATTGAGGAAATGGACTTTAATGTTTCAGAACATTCCATCTAAGAACATTTAAAGAAAATCATCTCCAAAGATGAACATTCGACGAATTCAATCGCAGATACTGATTTCAGATCCTTGTGAAGAACCACTAAATCAAAAGCCATGCTGGCGATACTGCTGATGAATTTGTCATTCAAGGAATAACCACTAAAAATGTGTTTCTGTGACAGGACAATCGAGGTGAGGATAGAAATGAATTTTGAATGACGCCACATCTTCACACAACACCTTGTCAGACAGACAGGGAACTGCGATAAATCCTCACGAAAGGCTGTTTAAAAGTCGATGAAATATTGTTACTTGAATGCTAAACTTTTACATTATTCAACATCAATTGCATAGAATAGCAACAATGCTTTCAGTGGCAGAGTTGATAGGCATTCATAATGGTACAACATTTATGTGTGTGATTTTCTGGTATTTTCTAATCGGTAAATTTTCACAATATCCATCCTTTTTGAAAACATGAGATTTTCTAACAAGATTTTGATGAATTTTCATTAGACATCTACTGTATGTGAAAAACAGTGTCATAAATAATCTAGAACTACAGCAACTCTAGTGTAATAATTCAGCAACTGTTTGCAGTTTTAGTACATATAGCAGGAAGCACGGTCATTTTCGCGTTTTTCCACCCACTCACTCCCAAATGACCGAAAAATACAATTATCACGCAATCCAATTGCGGATAAGTGGTCACATTCGAGTGTTGATAATGCCTTCATATTTACTGACACACCACAAAAAGCCGCACATGCAAAAGCGTGGAAAATTGCCACTAAATGCAGTCCGTGTGCACACTAATCTTGAGAGTAAATTCCTCGGTTTAGAAATGACCCGGAGATTATCACTAAATTATGGCGTTAAGGGTGGGCTTCAGTGGGCAATTATAGTAGGATTGTTGCCTTTCAGTCATATGAATTATTGAGGGATATTTTGTAATACCTCGGAAATCACCGAAACACGCACACTTCTTTTCCTGGTATAATAAATTCGGTGTCGCGTGGAGAAAATTCTTGAGTTGAAATGAAAGGAAAAGAGAAAAACTTCCACCATGGGAAATTGTGGTCAATTTAATGATGACTAAAGTTAGAGGTGTTTTAAGAGAGTGTTTTGTAAGATTTTTTCCCTCTTTAAGACAAAGTTGTTTGAAGTTGTAGGAAAGAATAACAATTTCACCCTGCAGAATTTACTCATTTATTCATCCAGAAACTGTCTCTTCTCTCTCACTTGTGGAATCCTAAATTTCGTAAGGCTAAATTTACGATGATCGGCACATGTGAGCCCTTCTCAAGCTCAAGAAGAAGCGTATCTCATTGAAAATTCTCCCCCTCGGCGCAGAATTTTTCCCTCGTGTAAAGTTATATTGTCACAGGGAAGACGTGGTAGAGGAAAAATCCAGGAGATTTCACTCGAAAGCTTCTCCAGTATTTGCTTGCTCCACTTCCCATTCCCACCCTCAGAACTGCGAAACTGCCATTTCGACACCTGACTTCCACGCCAAAATACCCAGCAAATATTCCTGAGGCAAGAAGCGCTTGCATGCCTTTGTCTCCCTCCATGGAAAACGTGCGCCGAAATACCACAAAAATTCACCTCATGCGACAGAATTTGTTGGCTAAACATTTGTCTCATGAATTACATTCTTTCCCCATTTGAATCACTTCATTTTCCACAATGAATGAGTGACAATTTATCAAAAGAGAGCGAGACGCTAAAGTGAATGGCGTGTATTTCAGTGTCAATCATATAAATGGATATCGCCAATAAATTGTGCGGGTGAAGCATACAATAAACAGAGTGAGAGTGTGTCTTCTAGTGAAAAGTTGGGGGAAACTTAAGCATGCAATGGCACAAAGAGCTCGAATGTGAGATGAATTATCAGCCAATGTGTTTCGTTGAATGTAGGCAGGCGTAAAACTTCTTACAGGCTGATAAAATTTCCCGGGAAAATTGATTTCTCGTCTCAATTGCTCAAATGTGGTGAATACGACGTATTTATATATGTTTGATGAGGAGATGAGAGTGGAAAAGGCTATCATCTGAGAGATAGTAAAAATCATTTTTGCGCTATAAGCAAAATCGAGTAAAGCATAAGTCATATGCAAATGATCATTTTCTTAATATTTCCTGTAAGTTCATCATCATAACTATGGTTTAAACAGCATAGTGTGCAACATCTGAAGCTATATGCACGGTGTTATATCATATAAGTTCATATTACATCGGAATCAATTTTTCATAAGACAAAGACAGCTTGTTTCTTGCTTCTTTTTTTTAATAACACACTTCCCTTATCCCAATTTTCTCTTCAGAGCACTTTTCATTACAAATCATTGAAAATTTTTATGAGAAAATGTGTGAAGAAAAATGTTTTGTAAACACAATGAAAATAAGTGCGGCTTCAGCACATTTGTGCGGGAGTGTAGACAGGAATGGGCGAAAAAATAGCGCCAAAGTGAAAAGTGAGAGCCCAACTCGCGTGGTTATATTTTAGCGCTCAATGTTCCAATTTAAACAAGACGCGTTTTCGCATGAAATCAATCAAATGAAGGGGGATGGAGATGGGATTAAATACTCTGCGAAAGACATACAAACACTCCTCTTTCTCTTGACTTGTCCCAAATCACGTGGGAATTTATTTCCGTCTTCATTCGGACAGTCAGTGGCTTTAAATGTGAGGCACGCAAGTTGAAAATACACTCGGATTTGGGAGAGTCTGTCAATTTGCATGCTGGGGAAGATTCAAGATCCCTCACAGAGATTTGTGTCAGAGATCTGTTGAAAAATTTAAAGGAACATCCATTGTCCTTCTGGCCTCTTTCTCCCAATTCGGGGAAAACCCCAAGTAAGCTCCTCGCACGCTTGAACTGGATTCAGCATCTATGTCTAAAAATACCCGCACGACGAGACAGACGAACAATTCAATTTGTCTTCTTTGAATATATGCAGGAAAGTATCGCTTTCATATGACATTGGCGCATATTGACTGATTTTTACTAGGGATGCAATATTTTGTAGATTTCATGCCACTCTGCGTGTGATTGGATTTTAATTTAATCCAGTTGTGCTAAAAGCTCCACATCCGATTCATAACGGCACCAGCGTCGGTTTTCCGGGGAAAGAGGGAAGTGTCACGAGCACATCTGTCTGCAAATCATATCTCGCACTTCGTCATCACAGAAAACTTCACTTTCCCCAGACACTTCGCATGAGAGCATTACAAGCGAATCCACCCCAGAGCATCTTGTATTGGAAAATGCGACACAATAAGATGCGATATCACTAAACGAGTTGTGAGCTGGAGTGGGGACTGAATCAGAAATTGGCTAAAGAGAAAGGTGGGTAAAAATGTGATGAATTAAATAAATATAGTAGAATTAGCTATATTAATACTGTAGACAAATTTATTTAAATTTCTTCACCTTTAATTTGAAATGATGTTCAATTGTACTTAAATGCAAAATTTTAAAAGTATCTGATCCATTTACACAGATAAATGACAAAACCCATGTACTTAATAGACAATGCTGTACGAACATGATTCCATGAGACTTTCCAAGCTAATGCATGTGGACTAGGTTGCCTGATAACTCAATACTGCCGTTGTATTCTCATCATTACCTTGTAATCTCTTGCCAGAGAACCCATCTTGCGGAGGGTTGGAATGGTTTTCCCTTTAATTGTTTCCTCCCTTTTCGTTGATGAATATTCATGAACGCTCTCATGAGACGACAAAAATAGCGCTTCTGCAACTCAAACAGTTGCCCTGTAGCTGCAAAAAGTTGCATTTTGCAAGGTGAGTCTGTAATTCCGTACAGATTCCCAGAAGTTTCACAAAGCAAATGTAAAATGACCTCAATTTGATTTGTATAATTATATCAATTTGCCGTGTGTGAAAATTCAGCAGGAATAATTGAGATTCTTCAACCACTTTTTATGTGTCATAAATTATTCAATTAAAACAAACAGATGCAGGCTTAGCTGAGATGTAAGCCGTATTTTATGACTGAGATTTTGTCCTCCATTTTACGAGGGTGACCACAGGTGGAGAAACTTGATATTTCATGAGTCACAATTTTCCTCCACACTCCACCGAACATTTTTGCAGAATAGGTGAGATGAAAAGTGTTTCTTAGTCGTAAATTCGTAAGAATTTTTTTATTAAAAAGAAGAGACAACTCATAGTAAGTTGTTATATTGATATTATAACCCACATATTTTTTGCGTTTTCCTGTGCTGAAAGCTATGTCTGTATGTTAAAGGGTTCGTTGACACACCTCAGTGCTTTTCCCCATCATTTGTAAATTTAACATGCTGAAAGTGCATCGTCAAGTTGGTGTGAAGAGCTAAATAATCGAAATTGACCTCGTAGTCGTTCAGTGTCCAACCCGGCAAATGGTCTCTGGGTCGAAGAGAAATGTTACTGCGGTATTTATACCAAATAAATCGCTGTAATGGGTTAATTTTAGAATATTTCATCTAAACATTTACTGTATCCTTCGCCATTTAACCGCTCTTTTATGTAAATAGAATGCTTCCATAAGCAATAATGTTGGTTTTTATGTCTCATCCGATCTCTGTAAACTGCTTAAATATTTTAACAATTTTCTCAGTGGTTTTGCATTTTACCACCTCCGCACGCGCTCTTACTTTTCGGACTTATTGGCATTTTCACACCCATATCGATATCTTTAGTGGGCGTGATTTGAATTGCTTCTTCGTGACTCTTCAACTGGTGAGCATATACATTCTATCTGGTCTAGGCATCTGCTAAGATATTTATTGCAATTGTTGTCACAGGGTTCGGCTGATCCCTTGGGAAATCGTCTAAATTTTCCACTCTTTTCCCTTCACTGAACTTCTCGGTAATATTTGATGATCTGCCCAAAGGGACTTATTCGTTTACAGTCAAATTAATAGGTTTTATGGGACGAACTATATCATAAAATACGTTCTCTTATCTTTCGTTCAAATCCTAACTTTGACCCAAGCCTGCTCTATGTTTAGTTGCAGTTTTAGGAGAATAAAAGTTTACATTTCAAGTGAAATTCATCACTATTTGAAGAGAATTTTGAAGTAAAACGTTTGTAAGCACGACTGAAATTTGTATCAAAATTACGAAGGCTTTCATTATAAGTTTTAAATTGAGTTGTACATATCTGAAATACAAATTTTGACCAAAATTCGATTTAAATCGAATTTTATTACAGTAAAGATGTAAGCTTTGATTTTAAACCTCTCTTCCTGGAGTCCTACAGGAGATCACCTTTAATTCTTTTCATCATTTCTGCTTACCTGACGATGTTTTAGTGCAAAAAAGCCAAAGGGAAAAAGTTGATGATGAAATTCTTTAAAATTCTTACGTGGAATTTTCACTCGAACAAGTTTTTTAATCAATTCCCTTTCCCCTTTGCGTAGAACTTCCGACAGCTGAAATCTCAGTGGATTATCGCACGGATTTCCCTGAAGTATCATCTTCCGCAGTTAAAAGATTTGTCTCCTTCCACTCTCGGTTTTCACGATGGACTTGATGAACTTGTTGGTTTGTCAGGCAAACGACTTAAAATAATGACGCGAGGGAATTAGCAAAATTTAAAGAGAGACGCGATTTTTTGCTCGTCTCTGACATTGTGTCGCCAGAATGACTGCCATTCCACCCTCCTTAACCTCTGTGATGTGGGGAACACCTCAGAAGGAGGATGGCATCCCATTGCTGGAAGTGTTCCAAATGCCGCATTTAGAAGCTCTCTTGCCACCTTCTGCAAATATTGATTTAAGAGGCACAGATTTCGATGGGGTTTCTTCCATACTAATTTTGCCCGCATTTAATAGACATTCGGTGGAAAACGGATCCGCCGGTAAGAAGGTTAAGCGCGGCGGTTTTTCTTTCGCCTAAACACCCATATTTCATGACAAATAATTGCACTTTCCTTTGTCACGGAAGTCTTTAACATAAAATGCTTGTTTATGCTTGAAAGATTTACATTTCATTGAGGGGCTTTAAAAGGAGAACGCAAAAAATGACGCGAGATTAAACTTAAGCTTTTATTCTAAACACGAGAGAATGTTATTTATAGAGCAAAACTCTGAGCTATTCGTGAACAAGACAACTCGAATACCGATTCCGTGCATTCATCACAGAATGGAGCTGTTGAAAGATATGTTATGTACCATATATACTTTTTGAATTCACTGCTCAATAAAATCCTTGTGAGACAAGCATTAATGGCTCATTTAGTAACCTTCGACGACCTGCCTAAAACACTGTTTCGGAATTATTAAATTGATTTAATAAAGTTCTCGTCTGATGTGTAAAAGTAGCACTTTTACAAAGGTCATTACACAACCTACAAATCTCTGAAACGTACAAATTTTGCCTTATTGTTTCTTTTAGTGGTTTCTAATGCAGATTTTCGTTTATTTTCACACAATATGATCAAATTAATTGACCGATTTTTTTAAAGTTATACATTTTTCTTTCTCTGACTGAGAAAATTTGACGTGCAATCTATGTACATACATATTAAAGCTTCAAGAGTCCCTATTTATACTGACATTATTGTTTACACGTGAAGTAAGTCTAATTGCTTTTCGATAAATTCATTTGGTAATTTAACGATTTCTTCTTGGAGCGCTCTGATTCCGTATGCCAGTGAATATAATAATCAAATTCGGAACTACAGGTAACTACAAGGTACGAGCCCACCTGTGAATCCACCCCAGCGGGAGAATGAACCCCAGCCATTTGGCGGAAGTTGAAAATAAACACTCTCATTGTATAAATAAATTTCCACTTGCTATGTGAGGTGATTGATCAGGGTGGATGAGAACGTGAAAAAGCTGCGAAAAGCGGTGGCTGTTCGGAAAAAGGCACCCCAATAGACAAAAATCACCCACTTTCCCACCCTTCGCGACACCCACAGGGGCGGAAAGTGGGAGGCGAATGATCAATTTGTGGACGCACACCGCATGTACATTAGAGCTGAGTGTGCTCTCACCCTTTGCAGCTCCTCATTCGCCCCCGGGGGCCGCCTAATAATCAATATTATGCACTAAATTGGACAAAAGTTAATGTTCGCTGAGGTATGCTAAGAGACACAGAGCTTGTGCTCCCGGTGTCGCGCGCCTTTGGGAAAAGCCCGCACAAGAGACGCGATCTCGAGAATTTTCTCTCCTCACGAGGAAATTCCATCAAGAGAGCAAAATACCTCGTGCAAAAGTGGAGGAAGACTTATAAATAGCCATTTTAGTTTCATCTTTGCAGCATAAAGTGAAAAAACGACACACACAAGCATCGCAGTGTAAATGACTAAAGAGATGAAAATAGAATTATTTTGTAGAACATCATATATGTATTTCTAGGGTAGAAACATTTCACGAATTTTCGCAGAACTGCCACGACGTGCGTCCAGCAGATTGCGAGGTTGTGATTATGATTTGGCAGTTTCTGAAGTGAAGGTAGTGAAAGTGAGAATTATTGTAAATTAAGATCAGAGATTAGGATGTATGATTGATGTTTTTCCAGCCAACTTGAGAGTGATATTGGATTTATTTCTTAAAGACTTCCTAGGTCACATGCAATGAACCATAAGGTAAGTAAGTGTTTCCGAACTAGTTTCCTCCATCACTGTCGATTGTTATATTCTCACTGTGGAAATGACTCAATAATTGATTGACAAGGGGTGGCAATATAGCAAACATACAAACAGACTCACCGTTGACTTTAAAACACACAACCCTAAAAAGTCCGTCTAAAAGAATCACAATCGCCTTTCACACCATTGGCGAATGAGTTGCGGAAATTGTTAAAAAATGCACTGACACTGGCTGCAAAAATTGTGAAAGAACTAATAATTTTTCCAGAGACTAATGAAATTTTCGCGTGTGAATCACAAAAGGCTGCCACTAACAGCGTATAGAGACGCTCTTCCTTGTTGGAAAACTATCGAAAAGAAACACACGTCCGCATCGCACGAATCGCGTCACCGAACTAAAAGTTCATCCTCACACTCGTGACTTCGCCAGTGTCGACGAGGAAAATCGGGAAATTGATGTGTTATGTCGGCCACTGAATATTTATACACATGAATGTGTAGTGGAGAAAATTCACACTGTAGCCCGAAAGGCATGAAACACCTTCGCCATGAACAGGAAGTCGTGCTGAATCCTCGATGAAATTCCCAATGAATTCCCCTGAGGACACCCGCAATCATCCTCAGATTCTGCAGTCAATTTTGCAAAAGAAAAATTCTCTCTCTCTCTCTTTCCCTCACTTTCCTTAGCGGCACCTTGCCGTGGCCCTAGAAGTCCGCATGGCACTGTACGGGTGAACACAAATCGGTTGGAGAAAGAACACCGAGTCGACGCATTTGTGGCATATTCTTCACCTCCCCTTCAGCACCACCCCAGCTCGCGCTCCTTTCAATCATGAAATAGTTGGGATTGTGATCCCGAGTTGGGAAATGCAACTGTGCCATCCTTCTTCCTTTTGTGGGGCACGCCACCGCCCCCAACGGCTATTGATTCATGCATAAGCCGGAGGGCGAGAGTGTATTATGAATTTCACCCATTTCGGTGCAGGTTTTATCTGCACTTTGCAAATGCATCCCTCATTTCCTGGCAATGAGCCCTTTGGCTCGCGCGACTACTGAGGAATTACAACCACTCAATTTGTAGGCCCCATCATTTCCGACAGGAAATTATCATTCACCTTTTGAGGGCCCAAGATTCCCGTCTCAACACCCCTAAAACCCACACATAACAATTTTCACCGTATCTCAGGTGAAAATCATGTGTAAATGAGGTGGGCACACAAAGAGGCACACACAAGAGCTACATTCAAGAAAAATATAGACAAAAAGAATAAATCCTAGCTTGAGTAAGCATTGACTGAAGGAAATCTTTAAGAAAAAAATTATACTTAGGTTTTGTGGCTTGAAAGGACTAAAACCGTACAGAGTTAAGACAAAAAAAATTAGTTAAGTAAATAGCAAGTTTAATATCAAGCTGAATGTTTAAAAGAAAGACTAAATGATGTGAAAAACTAATTGAATAGTAGTTTTTTTACACATTGCAAATGAAACAATCCCTAATAAATGTACCTACAAAGAAAACTGACTAAATATATCTTATTATGCGTACAGAACAAAACTTAATACCTATTATGCTATTATTTCGCATTATGCCATTTCTACAATTCAGCTTGAAAGAGACCACAATTAGTGTTAAGCACAAAAATAAGAGTATTTCTATCATTTCATTGCGGCTTTTAAAACCTTCAAAATAACATATAATTTAGTAAGAAATCTATATTTTAGGTTCGATTTTGGCATTCCACGGCAATTAGAATACTATGTACTGATTATTTTTAAATGCGTATGATAATCACGCCGTTTTCATGAAGCGTTTATTTTGAATAACTTTAAATCCATTACAACTGCAGTATGAAGTTAATAACTTGTACAAGAAAATTAACGTAGAAACAACTTTTCTCACACACAAAAATCCAATTCCCTCCAGAAAGGCAGCGAAAGGCAATTAGATGCTCTTTGAAGATGTACAACCTCGGGCGCATGGAGTGAAATAACATAAATAAATAAAATAATCCTCTTCACTTTAAGAGGATTTACAATGTGATTCGTGCAGCAGGAGTGGCGCAATAGGGCATACAATTTCAACGAGCTTTTGTCTATATGGCGCTGGACAGCCGAGAGATTTTGTGTGTGCAGTTGTCTCTCAGGAAAATTAACTTGCTGTCGGGAGCATGTGATTGAAAAAGTCCACCACAATTCTTCATTCCATCACGAATTGTCCTTCAATCATTGCCCTTTACCTCGGTGTTATGTGTCTCCTGATGGCGCGCGTTATTTCACGGATTAACACACAAGTTGCAGGTCACACAAGAGCTCCACAACTATTTTTATCACAGCCCAGCGATATCGGCATGATAACAGCTCTCTCGCGCTGTCGTGGATATTTTATGCCCTGCCTCTGGGCTTGTTATTCATTCAGCTGATATTGAAATGTGATTATTTTGAGCCGAGGACGAAAATCACTTGTAGCATATGGTTTTTCTACATCAATTAATGCGTCAAGATAAATTTATTGGGAGTTAATTGCTACGAGTGGGCGATTTTTATCATGTGAAATATGTATTCCACCCCCTGATAGAATCGCGCTGTCAAAATGAAAACCACCCGCTTTATGATTTAGCTTCCCTCCCATCAGTAATCACTGGTAACACTGTTGATTGTATGGGGAAGCATATATACCGCGGAGAGCACCTCAATTTGCTCCAGAACTATTTTGCTCGCATTATTATTGATGGACCAAAGTGGCTAAAAGGCTTTCCTGCCAGCAATTTGTTAATCAATCGCGATGAAATTAATTATGCAAACTCAGATCAGGATTCTGATGCCGTATAACGCAAGTGTCAATGAACATTTAGTCACATTGTGATGCGACTAAAATGACTTGATAGTCAAAAAGTCTATTGTAAAGTGTTTATTGCACATTTTTAAAGTAAATTCATATTTTTGATCGATTTTGATGTGCATAAAACACAAAAAGACCCAAATTCATTGAAAAAAAGGCTTTGGTTTTAGACACAACTTGTGTTTAGTCGTATTTTTCTCTCATTGTATCAATAGTGATTTGGCTAGTTCTATTCAAAGTGCACATGATCATTGTTTAGAAACTTAAACTCGTGGAACATTTACTGGCAATATAATGCAGATTTCGATCCAAGAGCTCCGCTTATGCACCTTTACAAAATTAATCTTGTTTATTATTAGCACCACCAGACTATTTGTAGATCCAATTTCTTCATAATCATGTCTAATTGTATCAATTTGGCTGCTTTGTGAACTTCAGTGTTAAGTGAAGGCTTTTGTGGTCCAGGAAAAGCACACACCCCATGGCTTGCGGATGAAAAATCACAACAATTTAATGGAAGTGCTAAAAATACGCTCCGTTTCAGTCCGCAAAGAGGACACTTGAAGTGCTCGTACGGTGACCTCCCGCGACTCATCGTCACCATTTCTTCATCTCTTAATGTTTACTATTAAGGGCTATTTATAGCTCACAATGCGAGTACATTTTAACGTAGTAGCAATATGTGAAATCACCTTCATCGGCTTCGAATCCACTGTGTACGTTGTGAACATAGGAAGAAAGTCTGCTGATAAACTATCGCACTTTAATAATCATAGAATGAGAAGAATCCAACGAGACTCACAATAAAATATTTGGTAAACAGTTTATGCTAATTATTATAATAATCAAAAAAGAAAAGTGTGAAAAGGCCACACTTGGAGATTTCATCAATACTTCCTCGTTGGAAAATACACGAAAAATGTGATGTAAATTATGCTCTTTGAATAATAAAACGATGAGTTCCTTCTCTTTATCACCTTTCTCCCGTGAATATGTAGAGTGTTGATAAAAATATTCTAACGCCAGAATTTGCAACAATATCAGGAATTTCAGTACCTCGCGTTGTTATTTACGAAATCATTTCGAGAATGATGCGGAATTTTCTCATCTTTGGAAGACATTTGTAGGTGTTCCTGGAGAGCTCTGAAAATAATCAAAGAGAAAAGAGCACGCAATCAGTCAAGAGAGTTAAAAATATGCTTTACAGGCATAACAAAAAATTATATGCGCGCTAAATATACAGCTCACATCAAAAAATGTTAGCCAAAAATCATAAATGAGCATCACTTTTTGATTTTTCATGATTTAATGGTTTTCATGGCTGAAATATTCATGAATGAGGGCGAAAATTTACTTAATCGTGCTATAAAAAATTGCAAATTGCCTTTGCAAAGTATAATAAATCACATAATTTAATATTTAGCTACTCACTGTCTTTTATAAAAGCAAATAACTACTTATTCTTTTTAGCTAAACAGGATCTGAGATTGCATGGAGCAATTCAAACAGTACTGAACAAAACTATCTGTGATTTTCTTAACATAATTAGCGTTTTTCTATCCCTAGTAACACGATTTCCCGACTCTAATATATTTCTATTGAGTACAAAAAGAAGCTGTAGAGGAAAGAGAAATCGACACTCACTGTAGTGATGCTTTTAGCTTCTCAACTTCGTTAATCTCCATCATCAGTTTCTGCTCCAAATTCATCAAGAGAGCGTCCTTGTTGCGCAACTGAAGCTTCAAGTGTGCTATAGTCTCTTCTTGGGCTTCAAAGATTGCCTGCAATCAGAAAAATCGTGAGTTCTCCCCCATTCGAGTGATCTCCCCTTTGTACTTTTCCCTACACGACACTCTTCCATGCTCTCGGAATATGTGGGCGGCTCGTCAAGGCAGAAAAACTCCCGGACGAACTGACAATTCCTAAGCGTTTCCTCTGCCATGATGGTATTGACAAAGTGTTGAAGTCCTTGCACGCGACTGTCCAGGAATACACTATTGAAATTGTCACCGAAGATCTTCTTGCGCGGCAGCACGAGATTAAGCTTAGGAAAGATGGACTTGAGCTTGCTGTTGAGTCGCTCGAAGTCTGTGTAACGTCGCAAAACTAGCCAGCAATCATTCGTGAAGGGATTTTCGACGCGGAGTTTGAACACCTGAAGGAAAATACAGGAGAATCAGACATAGTTGGTATGCGTAGTTTAAAGTCAAACTTTGCCAAAAATGCTTGTGAAGCAAAAGAGGACAGTTTCTGCGCATCAAATTCATGGAACAGATGTTAGTGGAGCTGGTTAATTACCGTGAAACGAGCTCTTTCCTCCATGACTTCGTACCCAATGATGGGAATCCGGATTGAAGCTGTGTCTGCGAAGCCGCGACACTGCATCTCCGGTGGCGTGAGAAAGCTCATCCTGGTCGACGAATCGCCGCCCTTTCGGACGTTCTTCACATAGCTCCTGGACACGGCGCCCGAGGCCGTGCTGTGCACCGATATGGTCTTTAGGCACACTTCCGACTTGGCATTCGAAAGCTGACGTGATCTCGTGTCATCGATTTGATTGCCCTCCTCACTGGCAAGGCAACTCTCGGACTTGGATTTGACCAGGAAGTCTCGCCCCGGGCGACTCTTGGACACGTCCGGAAACGACTTGTAACGCTTTATGCGAGCCTGAGGCGTCCTGGCTTCCTCCTTTCGCTTAGACGGCGCTGATAACCTTTGGCGCTGCGCCCTATTCACTTCCCTGCTGCGAATCAGTCTCAGTGACATGGTGGATGGGCTGTAAGGACACTTATTGGTACTCGAAGGCACACTTTTCACGTGAAAACACTCATGGAAATCAGCGAAATCAGGGGGAATTGCGAGAAAGTGAAGCAAAACAAAAGTGATGAGTTTTCATTTGGCCACGACTGACAGTTGACTTGACACCCTGCTCTACATTACCGACAGTATGGCGGTTTGAAATATAGGGTGATTTTGGAAATTTTGTGTGGAATTTGCAATAATATATTCAAGAAGTAATTTACCAAGCAGTACAGTACATGGATAGATACTAGATATGATAATGAATTCAAAACCAGCAAAGGGAATTGAATATTTGACTTTATGGTTTCAGAGTCAACTATGAATTGTTTACATTCCACCTTATCTTGAGTTGATTTCTTGTCTCACAACCACACTAACGCCTTCGACATGGCTACAAGCTAGCAATTGATTAATTTCCACTCTCTCTATCGAGCAGTTGAATCTGGCCCAGTGATTGGACTACTCGTTTTGGCACGGAGACTGAAGAGAAAGTATCACCCAAGAGAAATGTCACAGGTGAACCTGAAGCAGTTCGCAAAGAATGGCCGGAAGATCATCGGTGCCGTGCTGAACTACAAGTAAGAACCCCAAGGTCAATAGAAGGGTCAAGAGCTACCAGATAACCTAGTAATTTGCCTGTCCCGCAGAGACTGTATCACTGACAACGCGCCAGAGGCACCGATTCTCTTCCTGAAGGCGATCTCGTCGTACGTTGAGGAGGGCAAGCCCATCCGTCTGCCTAGGGTGTTCACCAAGGTTTACCATGAGGTGGAATTGGGAGTAGTGATCGGTCAGACATGCAAGAACGTGGCGATAGAGGATGCTGGAAAGTATGTCGGTGGATATTGTCTCGCTCTGGACCTCACGGGAATGTGCTTCATTGGGCAGGCTCGTGAGAAGTCTCTGCCCTGGGATTTAGGGAAGGGATTCGACACGGCAACTCCAGTAAGTCGCTTCATAACGACTGAAGAACTTCCCAACCCCAATGATGTCAAACTCTGGTTGAAAATCAACGGAGAAACGCGTCAAGATCAATCTTCGGAGAAAATGTACTTCAAGGTGGGCTAAAAATTTATTTAATCTGGCAAATAGAGTAATTCATCTGCTGTTTCAGATCCCAGAACTCATCTCCTATGCCTCCAAATTCATGACACTGGAGCCCAATGATGTGATCCTGACCGGAACTCCCGCAGGAGCGTCAACAATCAAGCATGGAGATGAGATTGAGTTTGGCGTTGGTGACATTTTGCAGTGCAAATTTTCCGTTCAGGATGATTAAAAATTTCTTGCCATATTCACTGTCTTATTTTTGGTATGAATCTAACACAATTAGTTGCATTAGAAATTCGAGACAATAATAATTTTCTACACTCAACACACTTTCGTCCAAGCGAGAAATACTACATTGGAAACGGAAAACTAGGAAACGCTAATACGTGTGAAACTCTGCCATCAAGCGAAGGAAACTTGGTAGAAATTCCATTCCTCCATGAAAGACGGCACGAAAGCCTTGCTAGTTGTATACTTTACAGTTGGATCGAGCTTGTTCAACTCGTTCTCGTACATCCTCAGCGCTTCCGGACAATTGGATCCGTTTGCCTAGAAGATTGAGTTGGTTTAAAAAAAAATAGAAAAGATTGACAAAGTATGAGAAATCTTACATGAGTCATAAATTTTCCACTTGGCTTAAGCACTTTGAAGGAAGCTTCGAGGAATGTCCGGATGAAATCCCACAATTCTCCCGTCGGCGTGGGCGAAATGGGCACATCCGTGAGATCTCCGAAGACATAGTCGAATTTGCGACCCTCCTTTATATACTTCTGCAGAGCAACCATGCAATCGCCCACAATTATGTCGAAATTGGGGCCTCTTCGCCGCTCCAGAACATCTCCACAGATCGATTTCAGATGTTCATTGCACGCCTGCATGACGACATCGTCAATCTCCAGCATTGTGACGAATTTTGGCTTCTCCTTCAGCAATTCATAGAGCAGAGCACCATCGCCTCCGCCCAGAATGCAGATCTCTTTGCCTTCGTACTGCTCAACACCGCGCATCATCAGCGTCTCAGTGTAGATTAAATCAGCCTCGGCAAGATCTGAAGACACAAAGAAACAATGGTATTAAAGTGCTCACAAAGCTTGTAAATGTATCACTAATTTAGCTTAGCTTAACCATTAGTTTAGTAGTAGTAATATATTAGTTACAGTAAATAAGAGAACTTACTTTGCAACTCATCCAGAACCAGCATATTGCCCAGGACTTTCGAGTGAACTATCTGGACCTTCTGGAAGGGTGATCTCTTCTCGAACACCATCTTGTCAATGTCATACTCAATCAGGCGCTCATCTATAGAATATCATCACTCAAATAAATTGTTTCACGCTTAGATTTATGATGGCTTCTTTGCTGGCATTGTCATGAAAATTCTCACTCACAGAGCACAAATATTTACCTGAGATTCCAAAGACTAGGCAGTCAAACAGTGAAATAATTCAAGCTTGCGATAAAGAATATTATCTCAACACCTCAAGAACGTAGAATGTGTAAAAGTATATTCATGTAACAAATTGGAAATGAAATTAAAATCCTGTCCAATCAAACAAACAGAGGTCAGTGATCTCGATATAAACAATTTCAATATAATTCATCCACTTCTTAGCGGTATTAGAAAAATATGTGACTTTTTCGTAATTAATTTGCCACAATCGCTCCGATAATGAGTAATGAATTCACATAAGATTCCACAAGCTTGCTTGTTTCCATCCTTTCGTTCTGCCCCGTTTGATTCGCATAATTTAAGGTTGTCGTTCTAATTTTTTCGGCAGATATTTGGCAAAAAAAACAAGTTATAGCGATATGAAATTCATATAAAAGACCCAAGGATTGAACTATTCGACACAGTGAGTTGTGAGCTGAGGCAGCAAAAATGACTTCAGTACTTCCAATCCTCGTTGTGGGACTTCTGTTCTCCCTCTCGACCCTAACTGACGAAACTTCAGGAGCCCCGAATACGCCAAAACACTTTGAATGCATCCCATTCCTAATTGAGTGCAGTCACTACAATCGATACTGCAAATTTGGACAATGCCTTGCGAAACAAAGTGTTGGTAAGTGCAACTAATTTCCTTCCAATTGTAGGAAGAAGCCTATATTAAAATGTCCTTCCCTAAGGTGGTAACTGTAACTTCAAGACACCATGTCGCGTTGGATTGGCCTGTGTCAATCAACGATGCAAACGTATCCGCAAGAAGAAGAAGAAGACCACGACAACTACTACCACGACCACTACCGAGCCTACGACCACTACCACTACTACAACTACCACCACTACCACCACAACCACTACTACCACGACCACGACTACCACTACACCTCCACCATAAACTAGAAACTCTTGATGATTTAGCCTTAGGGCACTTTCCACACTACCGCGAAGTCAATTCTGAATATCCAGGATAACAAGTTAAGATGTATCGCTCACTATGGATGTATCGCTGTAAAATATTTATAAGGAAATATATATGTTTATGTTGCATTTGAAAAAAAAAGAATGGTAATTTCCATATTTTTTTATGTTTGTAGTGTTCAAACTTGCAAAATTCCACACAGGATTATGACTAACAAACACTTCAATGATTGTACTGCTTTTGACAGCAAAACCAGCCAAACAAGAGTCATATTATCCAAGAAATATGCGATAATGAGGACGTAATACAAACTAAGATGTGAACGAAACATTTCAGAGAAGGAACTGCAGCTAATATGAGCGAAACAAACTTCGAAACCCCGTATACTTTGACACCAGAAGTTTAGCTCTTGGGGAGATAGAAAGCAAGAATAAAAAAGGTCACTCTCAAAGGGAACCACGTGGATTAAAATGAAGAATTGAAAAAGAGGTATATATTCAATACATAGTATATTATAAGAATGTCTTTTGTCCTATGTATAGGTGGACACACAAATCCACAAAAAAGTTGTGATCTCCGGCCTCTGAGACCAAAGTTCATTTAAAATCTAAGTACCGCTATAAGTTAAAAAGTCAAACAAGCATTTTCTTTCATTACGGTGATGTGGATTATCATTCTTGTCACACTCAACTTAACTTCTCCATGAACACAGCGAAAGTTTCTTTCCAATAAGAATCTAGTTGCATCTAACACAGAGTTGATTTTTCTCAAATTTCCATCTGTACTATATTATAGTAGTATAATTTATTTAATTTTTTAATTTATTTTTTTTCCAAAGTTGAAAGTGAAAAATAAAATATAAATAACAATATTTCAAAGACTTAAAATTCACATGTTCGTTTGCATTGAGTAGCGAATGTAGATAGAATTGCTTTATAGAATTTTCATGACATGTCAGCTGAAGAATACCTTAGTTGTACGATACTTTATAGACAAAATATATCACAAGAACAAAGCAATAGCGAAAACAAAGGTGAACACTGAAAGAACACAAGGAATTGAACGAAAGCCATAAATTGTGGAAGAAAGCACAGAAAAGGATGCAAACAAGAACACAGCCAGGACAAACAGAAATTGTGTCTATCTGCACAATTTGATATTGTACAATAATTTACACAGGACCCAACACAAAATTATAATAAAAAGAGAAATAAATTAAATTCTTTCCAATTACCTGAGGTGGGAAAATACTTTGAGAGTGGACTTCTTTTAATAGGTAGCAAAGAGTGTCCGTGAATTAAATTCAGTGTTTTAATCAAAGTATTCTCGATACCACGTGTTGACTATAATAAAGAAAAAGAAAGACAAAAAGAAATCTTGGAAGAAACTCAATAGCTAAAAATACATCTTTCGCTGCTGATTGGAAATTGTATCTCACTCGGTACTATCTAGTCTCCTCTTAATCGAGAACATAAAACAATTGTATTGTGGCAAAGAGGAACAAGTGTGCATGCTTTTATCAATTTCACTTCACTAGAAAGTCGGATGATAAATTTACAGAGAAATTTTGCGCCGATTCTTTTAGCAACTGCAAACTTCTAATCAGTCTTTGGATTCCTTTTCCACAAATTTCATTTAACGAGAAAATAGTAACTTGAACAGTAACAAAAATAAGAAAAAAAAAACACAAATAAGGGAGAAAAGAAAGTAAAAAAGTGGGAAACGATTAAACTTGAAAGTGAAAAAAAAACTTATCAATCAACTGAATTAATTTGCATGCCGGCAAAAAATGTGAGAATCATTTGGAATAATAGTCTTAAGTAAAATTTTTCTTTTCAGTAATAACATTTTGTCTGATAGGAAAAGAAAAGTTTGCTGAACGTCTGCTGACCTGAACTTGTTAAATACACATCAATATATGTGCCTCGCTTTATCGGCGGCAAATGTTTCGAACGTTCTGATCCCAAATAATTTCGCAAACTATTTTCCAGTGACTTTATACTCTACAAAAACAAGAGAAAGACATTCATAAAGACAACCTTGAATATTTGCCGTCTAGATAAAATGATGATTTTATAGATCAGAGACTGCTAATTTGCTTACAAAACAAGTACAGATTGTGTTAATACTTTACACTTTTATTACTTCAGATTGACTTCCTACTTTTCCATAAGCTCCTACGTCCCTATGATATGATGTAGTGAAAGTTTGCGAATTCTTGCATGCTTATTGGATATTTTTAGAAAATAAAGTAAGAAGAAAAAACCAAAATCGCTCCAATTTTGAAAGTATTTTAGACCAAGCATGAGAACGTAAGCTGAATAAAAGATGAGAAATGAATAAAAAAAAATATCAATTTCAAGTCCTTTGTTCAGAACCTTGTTAGCCTAAAAGGGTGATTTGTTTACGCATAAAATATGGGAAAAGGTAATTCATAATGTTTTTCAGACATGATTCATAATTTGACTTATTCTTAGGGTTAATTAAAAAATGTTGTGTATTATAATTTTTGAAAATGAATTATCGAATCCGGCATGTTGCAGAACCAGCAGACTGAGATTTTTGCAAACAACTTAGCAGTCATGATCTTATTGGCTCGAATTTCTCCCTTATTTCGCGTGTGTGTATGCTTTATTGTTGATGTGTGTGTGTGTGTGTTTTTGTGTGTTGAGTGTGTGTGTGGCGTGAGTTATTGATTTTCTTCTCTCGATTTCACGCGGAGCAAATCCGCGCGGTGGAATTTTCCTCAGCTTAATGAAAAAGTCTCTACGGTTAGTGGAGAGGAAAGCCTCCGCCCGAGGAAAGAAGAGGTCTAACGAGACGAGATGCCATCAACTCACTTCCAGGCTCACGCGAGGCTGCTCAGTGTTCGCTTTGAAGTACTCCACGTTTACCGTGATGAGGCCCTGGCTCACGAAGAAGCGCACGCTCACGACAACGCCCGTCTTGTCCATGTACACGCAGAAATAGCCATCCTCCGTGATCATATCGTAGGAGAACCGGAGGCCGGGAAGGTATGATTCCAGGGCCTCTTCGATCCTCTTGCGCACTTCCTTGCGAGAAACCTCATCGCCCAGGCGCTCAGGGTCGATGGAGAAGTCCAGAAGAATTGTCTGCACTGACATCACTTCTTGTTTGAAAACTTAAAACACTCAAGTTTCGGCAGTAAGAAGCACACGATAAAGAGTGACCCAGGCTCCAGCAGAGATTTCACAAGCGTTTGAAAATCACGTTTTTTCCCGGACAGCTGTCACTGCTATGTTCACCACCTCGGCTCGACGGGCCTCGATATTCACCATACCGCGTGAACTTGACCGCGCTTTGACAGCTGGTCTTGCGCGAGTGTATTGTTTGTTTTGAGGCAGAGAGCAGCTCTTTCGCCTCTATTTTGCGAATACAAAATGTAATCAAACGTGATTAATTTGCAAGTGTCTCATTAGTTTATCGATTGTAGACTGTGCCATAGAAGGTGAGGCAGTTCACGGAATCTCGAGTGAGGCAGGAAGTGTATTGGAAATGTGAATCTAATTATAAACTGTCACATGAAGGCACACTATTTTAAAAATCAAGGCAATTTATTGATGATTATTCTATTTTCAGACACAATATACAATCACAAGGGCCTCAAGTGCTTCATCAAGTGATACGAGTTGGATGGCACTCCATCTTATTGGAATACTCTGATGAAACGACTGTGATTATGGAGAAGACGGCCAATGGACAATCTAGTCGGGGCAACAGGAAGACTTTCTTGGGCATTATTGCAAGGAAGTCGACCAGAGTTGAACCCCAGAATGATGTTACAGCCGAGGAGGATGTGCAGGAGGCAAGGAACGCAGAGTCTGTGGATGCCAATGGCATTCGGAAGCGAAGCAGTGATGCAAAGTCACCGAAGAAGTTAGCCAATAGATTCAGTGATCACATTTCCAGTGGGATTTGCTGTTCGACTGTTGATTCACGAGCTCTCACGCCCCCGGGTCTAGTGCGAAGAGGTTCCCGAAGCACACCCAACAGCCCCACGATCGGTGGTCTGGCTGAGGAAGTGCCAAAGAAGAGGTATTCGAAGATGCTCGAGGGCAGTTACAGTCTGGACGATGGATCTTCATCCTCTCGACAGCTTAATCAGACTTTCACTCCACCAGAGCGACAATCCATTGCTGTGTCAGCTTGCAGGTCGCGTCTTAGGAAGAAACTCTTCCCACCAGGAATGGATATCGAGCAGATAAACATGTCTGCTCCCAACATAGCCAGCAATGAAGCTTCTGAACACAGGAAGAGTCGCTCATATTCTTATGACACTCTGCCTGGTGTCAGCGGAAATGCCCTTCAACAGAGGCCCACGAGCGCAGATTCCCTGGCCAGGAACACTTTAATGGCAGCACAAGTGCTGAATCTCATTCCCACTGAAAAGGCCAGAGAGAAGAACTACCTGCATGGGAAGCTCTCCTACAATTCCCTCCTTGGGGGCCATGAACTGGAGAAGGTTCTGCCCAGCCGAGAAGTGAAAATATTTGTGGGAACGTGGAATATGAATGGACAAAATCCACCGAAGCAGATGAATGATTTTGTTCTGCCTGTTGGCATGGATCACGTGCCAGATATCATCAGTATCGGAACTCAGGAGTCTTGCTCAGAGCGTTTCGAGTGGGAAGTCACTCTTCAAGAGACTCTGGGACCCTCTCACATCCTCCTGCACTCTGCCTCGCTCGGAACCCTACACTTGGCCATTTTCATCCGCCGCGACCTGATCTGGTTCTGCTCTCTACCCGAAGATGACAGCCTCAGTGTCCGTCCGGGCACGGCATTCCGCACTAAGGGTGCCGTGGCTATTTCCTTCTGTCTCTTCGGCACGTCAATGCTCTTCGTAACGTCCCATCTCACTGCCCACCAGGCAAAAGTCAAGGAACGCGTACAGGACATCAAGCGCATCATCCACGCTCTCGATCTGCCTCGGAATTATGTGATTCGCCACAAGAACAAGGACGTAACTCACAACTTTGATAGCGTCTACTGGTGCGGAGACCTTAACTTCCGCCTCGGCGAGCCGAGAGAGAAGCTCTTGGAGTGGATAGAGAATACGCAATTCCCATTACCGGCTCACTTGCCGCACGGATATCTTCACACGGATCAGTTGACTTCAGTGCTGTCCGATGGGGCAGCTTTCAAGGGATTTAAAGAGGCCAAAATCACTTTCCCACCAACCTACAAAGTGAGTTTAATTGTTGACAGATGATCATTGAATTTAAAGTATTTCAAAGGGAGAATTGATTTTCAATTCCAGTGATTTATTAGTTTCAGTAATTAAATTTTTCTATTTTGATTTAATTTGGAACTCTTTGCAGTACGATCCTGGCACTCAGCAGTTCGACACGTCTAGCAAGCAGCGCGCTCCTGCGTATACAGACAGGATCCTGTTCAAGTACCGTTCCGCTCCTCTTGGCCTGAGACGCGGCAGCTCTTTGCTGCCCATGCAGAGCACCGTGGAGTGTCTGGCGTATGACTCAGTGCCCAGCATTGTCACATCGGACCACAAGCCCGTCTGGGCGCTCTTCCGGAATGCCATTCGACCGGGCTTGGACTCGTGAGTCACTTGAACGCATTAGTCAGTTGACCGTGTGAGTGAGTGTGTCTGGTTTTCTGTCCCTCTTGCAGAATGCCTCTGGCGGCCGGACTGTTCAATCGAGATGTGTACATTGAGGGCATGCAGAGGCGTCTCAACAATAAGAACTCAAGCTCATCTGTTGTCTGCAGTATTCAGTAACCATGACCAAAGATTCCTCCCTTACTTTCCGCGCGATCCGGCTTCGATCATGATCTCTAAAGACCTGTGAATAGTTTCAAAAAGAAAAGAAAGAAAAAATTAGGTGATGTTAGTGCTCTTATATGGAAAACCAAAGACGATATGTAATACTTCTAGTCAAACCCTTTTTCGAATATTTCTTAAGACTATATTTATGACACTGACTCAATATTTGAATGTCCATATCACGAGATGGGGATGCTAATAAAACCGTCAAATCGGGTTTTATCGGTACGCAACTTTGTCTGTAGTGGTTTTCCACATATTCCGTGCAAAGTTTGAGGGGCGTGTGCTTTACCAGGAAAGGAGGAGCGTCTAGCAGCAAAAACAATTGGTCGTCTCTTTTCCACTTTGTGCACACTGAGGGAGAAAATGCCATTGAAGCTGGGAAAACCTTCCGTGACTCAATAAGATTGCGTGCGTCGCCCAGGAAAATGTAATGAAAATGGCAATAATGGCGAAAAATGGCAACCGTCGCCTTCCTGGCGCCTTTTCTTCGACATAATGCTGAGACGGGAGGATCAGGAGAGTGTATTTTCACGCGTCTGTAACCTTTTTCCCCAACTTTACGTGCATTTTTTCCCACAACAAGTGATATTTCCCGCCTGCGATGGCTTTAAACAGTCTTATTGAGAGTTTTCAGTGAAAAATCAAGTGTTCAAAGCAGATAAAGTGCATCTTTAGACAATCTGCAGGATTCCTGAAAGAGATAATCCTGCACAATGCTGTCTTACAGTGAGTTTTCATGATTTCACACCAGCAATTGAGAAATTATTAATAAGATGACCACCCATGCAGCATATGCTTCATGATGAACCGTCGGAAATTTTCTCATTGTATTTTATCTTGCGTTTAATGTAACAGAAAAAAATTGAGATTTTCCGATCATACCACCCCCTGTTGAGGCTGAGAATCCCACTGAAGAACAATTTGTATGCGATTAATTGTTTGATGTAGTGCAAAGAGGCGAAAAGTGAAGTCAATATGTTTGCTTTTGTGCAGAGATTAAAATGTACCCTCGCAAGTCTCGGATGTAAGGGCCAAAATATCATAATCGGATTAAATAATACTGTGATTTGTCATATTGACTTCCAACATTCGCGATGAGGGAACAGGTGTTTTGGCCGAGAGTGTCTCATAAGCTTATTACAGGAGACACTGATACGGGGCTGCAAGAGACAATTGCTGTGCGGGGAAACATATGGTTCATCCGTTTAATATTGGAGGACGCGGTTCGGGCATGAAGGTATGCCGGCAGTATTGAGGAGGGGCGCCAAGGCTTCCTTTCGGTTCAATTTTGTATGGAAATTTTCATACAGTTGCAAGTTAGAAAGGATCTTTGATGTGTTATGGAGAATGAGAAGTTATATCGATTTTGTTGAACTCTTTGGAGCCAACAAGATGCGGAGTAAAGGATTTGAGATATACAATTTTCTTTTTTTGTCATCAAAATACAACTTTTAGATTTTTTTTAAGTGTTTCAATCGACACCTTGCCAATGAGATATTTAAGATTTACTCAATAGATTATAGCGCATTTTTACCCCTCTAATCTCAATGCGATTAGCAATCACTATACCATAAAATTGAACTTCCAACTCATGCCGAAAGGAAAACCCCACAATTCGTGGAATTATTCAAATTTTTCCAATAATCGGAAACAAAGAGTTTCTCCGCAACAAATTGTCGCCAGCAGTTGTATGCAAATTTTGCTGTAATGTGCTAAAAATCCAATATTTGCCGATGGGATTCCCAGCCATTAGCGCAGGCAGTGTTAAATGAAATTGACTTTTCCCCCTTGGATGACCACCTGACTCAGTTCCCATGGACGTCAAGTGTCCGGAAGGCGCCAAGATAAGAGAGGACTCGCCGCTCTGCGGCATGTGCTGCCGGCCGATATGCGATAGGTACATCATGCAAGTTGCAGAGATGACCTGCCACGAGTCCTGCCTCTGCTGCAGCTCCTGCTCAGGACGTCTCAGAGATTCATGCTTCAGCCGAGATGGGAAGCTCTTCTGTCGCATCGATTATGAGAGGTATGAAGGGCCTCATTTAGCACATTTGGGCGGCAATTTGGGTGTCTCAAATTGCCGCGATGGCTCTGTCGAGGGGCGACGCTGTAAGGCAATCACGGAGGTGAACGAGACAAATGAGTGCCGTGATGACAAATATACTGACTTGCGATGCTATTATTGCTGAAAGGGGTTAATTTATCTTCTTTCACCTCATATTTATGGGCTGCGTGATGGAGAAAGGCGATCAAATAAGTCACACATTAAATCTCTGCCATGCGATGCCAATCAATCCAATTTAGTCGATTAGTGACCACGTGGGATTTTACCCAAGTTAAGTGACCTTTTGGTAACTGCACAGTTGCTGATACAGTGATTAGTCAGTATTTTCCATTTACACAATGAAAAAATCTATTCATATGATTAAATTTTCAGAAATGCACATATAAATTTCTAGCTTTTCACGTAATTGTCAAGGGAAAAAATCTTTGCCTTTTCTATTACATATTTAGCCAAAAGATATATTTGCCAACTCTTTTCTCCATCCTTTGAGTCTTTAACATTCCTAAATTGAATGCAGCGACGTTGAAAAGGTAACGCTTTATATGACTTGGGAAAATGGTTTCATTTCACCTCGCAAAGTCGATGAAATGGGTTCGAGCTATTTGCTTTTGCTCGAGAAAATAGATGAGTTTTCTTTCAAAGGCGACAAAAAGATGAAGAATATTGGAAAGTTCATCCCCTCAGCCAATATATATGAGAGTGTGTCGCTCTGGAGGAAAATAAATCTGAGCAAGAGGATTTGTTTATTTTTCTTGGACGACAGGGCAGAATATATGAGAATCTCTTCCTGGCGCTGTTTGGTCACTGTACGGGAGTATAGCGCTTCGGGCGTCATGAGTAAACAGTGACATTGGACCGATGAAGAAATTAAAGTGATGAGGGATGAATTGCTGCATCCCTCATTAACTTTTCAACCCACGAAGGGTGACTTTTTATCATTCTGCTGAACCCCTTTTTAAGACTCCCGCGCCAATTCAGGGCACGACTTGGTGCAGCTGCTCGACGGAAGACATGTCCAATTGTCTGATTCATTGCAGATTGTTCGTGAAGAACAAGTGTTTGGCGTGCGCCGAGAGAATCTCTTCGGATGAGTTTGTGATGCGCACAGATGCGGAGGATCTCTTCCACCTGAAATGTTTCGTGTGCGTGGTGTGCGGCGTGCAGCTGCAGAAGGGTGACCACTATGTCCTGAAGCAGGGACAGCTCTTCTGCCGGATCGACTATGAGAAGGAGGTGGAGATGCTGCAGTCCATCTCGGCGGCTGTGTACAATGATCCCGAGGACTTCTCCGAGGATTTTGCCCGCGCTAGTCGAAGGGGACCCAAGCGACCGCGAACCATCCTTACCACGCAGCAGAGAAGGGCATTCAAGGCCTGCTTCGACGTGTCCCCGCGACCGTGCAGGAAAACCCGCGAGAGCCTCGCCAATGACACCGGCCTCAGCCTCCGGATTGTACAGGTGTGCTATTAATGAACCCACGCGAACAGCCACAGAACACGCATCGTGTGCATTCTGGGGGTGTTCATGCGAGAAATGTCCATGTCGGTCTCGTGTGGTTGCCTGACCCCAACTGTTTTCACATTTTTCAGGTGTGGTTCCAAAATCAGCGCGCCAAAATGAAAAAGATGGAAAAGAAGGAGAAATGCAAAGGCGAATCGGCGGACGAGGAAGAGGATAAGGCAAAGAAAAGTAGTCGGAAGATTATGACGCAAATCAAAGATGATCCGCAGAGTGAGCTTAAGACAATGGCGATAGAGGCAGTGAGATGCCTTATATAATTTGTTTCATCAATTTTTCAGGTGATAATGATTCTCTGACATCTGGGGCGTCTGCAATGTCGCCTGGCGAGGAGAATTTCATAAAAATGGAACCTCCAAGGCCCGATCTAATGTCAAATGGTAAGAAATGCTGTTTGAACCGTGATTTTTCCAACATTAGCTGACAACTCATGCACCGCATAAAAGCTCCCCTAAAATGTATGATATGCTGTGCTTAATCAAAAATTCATTTCTTATTTGTTGTGCCCTTTTTTGCACCCACTTTTGGGCAAACTTTCTCCTCTGGCATGAAATTTGTAATAAAATAAAATAGCACTTTGGGGTAGCTTTTCTGGCATCACAAACACACATAATACATGAGCCACCTGTAAATCCCCTCAATTGTTTACTTCTCGTTATCCTTTCCTGTATGTGAAAAATCACTCCCGAACATTAGGATATCCGGTGAAAGTTTTCCCTCAATTCTATATTTTATTGAGTTTCAAGGGGACATTTTTTTGCGTGTGTGGGTGTTTTTCTGATGCAGATACGGATCAGATGATGAGGGATCAAGTGGCGAGTTTCCACAGCATGATTAACCAGTTCAACAGTGGACACGCAGGCAGCTTTGTTAATCCCATCGACCGACTCTATTCCATGCAGAATCTCTACTTCTTCGCCGACGACGAGAAGATGATTCGACAATGATTGGTTAATAAAAAGCATGAGCTCAGAGTTGAATATCACTTTCGGCTGCTTCCTTTTCCGCCCCCTTTCCTGAGGGATTTGCGCCACTGTCTTCAAGTCAATTGTGCGATGTTGAGGATTGTATGGCAACAATGTTAATGCTGCTGATGTGCGGGAGGGTTTTGTATTCTGAGGAGGGAAAAGTTTTCGGCAAAGATGTACCACTTTCCCTATTTGTTGTGTGTAGAATCTTCGGTGAAAAGCCATGCGGTTTTTCCACCCCAGAAGGCCGCCCATAATGATGGTGAAAGCGGCAAAACTTCCGATTAAATTTCCAACCTTTAAGCGAAACCCACAAACTCTCTTCCCTCATTTCTCGGCTCATATTGTTGGCCAAGGAAATTCGTTTGACCCAAAAGAACATCGAAAGGAGGAGCAACTTTGTGAATCTCAAGAAGTTGCCGAGCGCCATAAGTGGTATCATCTACGCAAAGTGGTATAGAGATGTTATTCGCATAGAGTTTAACTGTTTGAAGATGGGGCTTTCGGGAAATTCTCTAATTTTCATTTAATACACAGTTTGCAAAGAATTGAATAAACATTCAGTAAAGTATTATTAAAAATTTAATTAGTAGTTTTGCTCTCTGCAAATTGTTATTTGCAAATCGAGTGGGATTCCCAAGATTGTGGAATTCCCACCAAAACTCTTCCCTAAACCTTCAATTGAATTGCACAGCCAAGGCACACACAAAAGGCCAGTCGTTTGGCTCAGCAATAAATATCAGGGATTTTGTTTATTTAGCCCGGTTGGAAAATTTATTTATCTAGGAATTAGTATCGCGTGGCACTGTTGAAACATTTTTGATGTGCTCTTTCTTTTGACTTGTTTATTTACCAAGTAAGAGACATTAATCTCTGGTCCTGCGAAAATATCGAAGGGTACTTGACTGTTCTCTTGTCGCACATAAAAGTGTTGGAAAAAGTCCTATGTCACAATATATTTTGGGCATTTCTCGAGAAATTTCTGCATTCATTAAAAGTGGGAGGCCATCGTGACCAAATGTCACCAAATAAACCAAGATATAACCATCAAATGCCTTCCAGAAAAGTCATATCAATAAATTCTGCACGGAACGACTCGCAGAATGTACTACTTTCTCGCCATCCCCTCTCAGAAGGTCACCCCACAAGTGCCGCACATTTCGCATACATAATGCCATCGAGCTCAAGCCCCAGAATCTTTATGTCGTCTAAAGTGGGCCCACACTAATTCCCGGGCAATTTTGCCGGCAAAAAGCCACCCCCACGTGGAAGAACATAAACCACATTGGGCACAACAATAAAAATGTCGTTTGCACAAGTCGTTCTGGCGGCATCGCTGAAAGCCACGCCAAACGACCTCAACGATATGCGATTAGTGGATTTTATACTCATACTATTTCCTTTGGAGCCATAAGAAAGTCCTGTGACCGCAGAGAACGCGCCCGACTCCCTTAAAAATGATTCTGAATTGCTGAGGGTAGAATTTTTGTTTCATCAAAATCAAATCAATTTTCATGTGACAAATCACTTTCTTTAATTTCACAGAGTAACAATGTGATTAGCGAAAAATAGCGTATCACCCTAGCAATTTCAGCCACTTGCTTCTGCAACCCCTCGCCAAGGGTGCGTCTCATGCAGGTGGACAGTGTTTTTAGGAAGGCAAATAATAAATTAGAATTGGAAATTGAGCGCGACATTTGATTCGTCATACTCTCTGAGCTCTGTAGCATGTCACAAGAATGAGGGTTTGGGATTCTGTGTATCACACTGTGGAAGAATACGGTAAGAGACATTTCATGATGTTGGGCATATTTTAATTTGTCACACTGCGAGGAGGACAGTTCCACCCCTAAAAGTGTGACAGAAGACTATAATTTTGCACTGCACATCGTCAGAGGTCGAAAGACGCCTTTTTTCATGTGAATTGATCCACCTGTTCAACATGTATTTTAATATCAATTTATCAGCCTTATCACTTTTGTCTCTTGTCACTCGTGGTGTGTTATCTAATCGCCCAAACATGGTATTTGCGCCTCGACCCGCGGCGCATTTCAAAGAATGCGATCATCATAAGCATGGGTTTGGGGAGAAAGGCATAAAAACACCCTGACACTGAGGAATGTGGTATTTCTATTGTGTGCCAACGAGGGTGCCTCGTTTTCCATCGAGGGTCCTCACTTTTCAGCAAACGACCTCCCTGATGTATGTGTTTCAATCAAATTTACCGAATCGCTGATTCTCAATGATGGTAATTTATTGCATGAAACATTTTGATGAATTATGTGAAAAAGAGAGCATAATGACACAAATACCCAGCATTTTCATGCGGTCAATTCGTTTCTAATTAATTTTGCCGACCTTTTTTCGCTTTATGCTCATTTCTTCACTGTCAATACTTAGAACTCTGCATATGTATAGTCAAGTAAGAATGAGGAATCCTTCAACATTCAACACTTCCCTTTGAGGAATCAATCAACCATCGAGAAGGATCATGAAATTCATTGGGAAATATCAATCTTCGGAGGCAGCAAAGTTTCTCTTCCCCATCCCGAGGACTCGGGCTGACAAATGTACAAGTGGGCGAAGTCTGAGTGTGGCCCCAAGAGAGGAGGCATTCAACTGGAATACATGGCGTTTGCTCGCGGCTATTGATGTTCGCGCAATGTTTCGTGGAGCACATAAAACACCCCCAGCTCTCCTACCCAATCGCTGTCCTGCTCCCCACGCCATTCGCCTGACTTTTATTAAAAGTCCTGTCTGTCTGGCGTAGTGATAGATGAGGACAGAAATTTGAGAATCATGTGAATGGCTGAACTTTCAATGTTTTTGGGGCAATTCGCAAAGGCGCAGAAGGAATGTATGAACATTGAGTGCACGGTGATGTGCACTATGATGGCCTAATACTTCAAAATGGCCAGGACATCGGCAACCCATTCGCCATCTGCACGCCTCGAGAGAAGGGATCGTTTCTGTGTCATTGAAGCATTTATTAGAAAATGAGCTTCTCCAATGTGATTTCGAGCATAAATGAGGATTTATTCAACTATGAAAATCGCTCCCGTGGATCTCAAGTGCCGCTGAAAGTGTTTTGAGTTTACACAGGATTTTTCAGACCACACAATTCACCATGAGAAGTATCTCTTGAAGGGGTAAAGCCACGGAGGCTTCCTGGCGCCCAGATGATGCTCTTTGCTCTGGAAAGAGTCTTGAGGAGCTTAATTTATATTCAAATGAAGTGATTTCGCGAGATTCGTGTCGGTGAAGAGACATTCTCGGATTGTTCGTTGCTCATCAGTGAGGATTTATGAATATTCATCACAAAAAAGGTGATGATTAACATTTTTTAATTTATATCTCGTCCTTTTTGCCCAGACTGCTTCGATTATGGCAGTGGAATATCAGCTTAAGGATGCGTCAGACCTTCAATGTAATACAGACGACGCATAAAGATTCCATTGCTGAGGGAGATGATTTTATGGCGTATCTCTATTTCCAGAAAGGAGCACAGCTTATGTGGCGAGAAGCCCTGGAAAGAATTCCAAAGAAGGGTGGATCGAATAATATGAGATTCACGAAAAACCCTATGTATCACACACTGAATGGCGCTCTCTGTACATAAGCATTTCCCTATTATTTTTCCTCCGTGCGAGGGTGGCCTTAAGAATTTTCGCCATGTTTGCTGAAAACGCAGTTGTACGTCGTTGTGGGTGTTCTTCGTCGAAGATGAAAATTTCCACCATCGACAGGGGATGGAAAAAAGCCACCCTCTGGCAAGAGACTTCGACTTGCCGGCGCTCCATCGCCTCTGGAACACACCGGGGGTGAATATTTACAGCACGACGCTACCTATCCACCCCCTATTTACTCCCTGGCATCACACATAAAACCCGGCCCGGGGGAGGACAGAGATTCAGAGGGCGACTCACAAATGGTACTGTTTGAAGGCGTCATCTCGTTCAGCTGGAATTATAAACGCTCAAGGGAGGCTCTCGCATCCCACTCGCATTTTTCGAATTACTCCATCGATTTTTCTGCCCCCACGCAAATTCATGATTTTCTTTGTCATGGCTTCTTGCTCTCATTGTCCAATCTCATGAGTTTCCACACTTGAACATTCCCTACAATATCTTAAAGCTCATTCTTAGTGTTTTTACTAAAAGTTATTTTAAACAATGCTCAATTCCCATTTCTAAAATTCTTTCATTCTTCTCAGTGTAATTTTAATGTGAAATATATTTTTATAATAGATCCTAATCCTAAAATCGTACTTCATCGACTTTCTAACCCATTTAAGGAGTGTAATGAATTTAGAATGAGTTATTCCGCTGCGGTTTGAAAGGAGACCAAATCAGAAGCCACATTTATGAATAAATTATCGCGCCTTCAGTTCATTATCATGAAAATAAGGATGCATTAAATATGATTAGGAGATGACGCCTCCTGGAAATTCATCCTGACCCGCGCTAATAAATTCCGGGGGGACACTTGATTGGCCTCCGGTGTTGCCTTCGTGCATGTGCGGGGTTAAAGAGTGACACGTGCGCCCGTGAATATGTGTGAGGATTCAATTTAGTGCACCATCTCAGCAATTTAATATGGGAATCTGGCGCTCTTTATGCGGCGATAAAGATCGGCAACAATATTGACATGGTGAGTCGCCTTCCTGAGGGGTTGGCGAAAGTCACGCGTCGATAGACTTCCCGCACGTGACCCGCAAACTCTCCTCTGTTTACCTCTTTGACTGCACCGCCGGATCATTGAATGCCTCATCCGGACACGTGTCGAGGAAAAAGTGGACAAATTGGGGGTGAGAATATCACCTTGGACGACATTTCTCTGGCCTCATAATGCAAAATTCATTCGACCATTGAGAAAATCCGTGTCACACTTCGATAATCCCACGCAGAAACGATATATGTTGGCAATTCTCTGCGAAACCACAAACGCGCGTGTGAAACAATTTCATCTCTTCGTTATCACCGGTTTTTGCCGG